GTTGTCATTAGTCCAAACAGCCCCACTGAGACTTGTTGAGTGACGCAAAACCATCAATAGTGGCGGCTTGCGTCTCGCATCCGCACGACAACACCGCACCACCACCGCGGGCTGTTCAGGGGAGCTTGTAAAACTCATTAAATGACATGTAGGCGGACACACATGTTGCATAGTAAAATCACTATGCTGCCTGCTCATTTGACACAAAGCTCACAGTCACTCTCGCCTGTAAAAACAGGCATTCAGGCATGACGCAAAGCTACAACAACACACACACACACACGCATGCACGCACATACACGCTTGAGGGTGATTAACAATGCTCATTAAACCGAGCGGCACGATGCTTTAAGTAGACAGACATGATACAAATGATATAAATATATATACATGTATATATACACACATGGGGAATTACATTGTATTTGTAACGTTTTCAGCTGGAACGGTTATTTCAATGCAGCTGGAGCGTAATAGCAAAAAGGTCACAGCGGCCGGAGAGATTGAGTTGGGAAAGTACCGGGGGAAGGATATGACATTTTTTTTCTAGGACCATTTCATAAGGGGACACGGTACGACTATTTCCGTGGGTTAGAGCGTAATTGAAAAGGTCAAAATAGGCTGTCGTGATCAAAATGTGGATATCCCTGTGCAGAGAGAAGGGATGCTGAAAATGTAATTATCTTTTCAGAGCCTTCGATTCCATTCAAGTTGAATATATTTCTAGATCACAACTTTCAAGGTGAATTGCCCCGGTGTGTCGTATTATTACTGAATCCAATTATTTTTAAAAGGCACAGAAAAGCCATCTGAGATCCGGCCGGATGCAAACTCATTTGCAGTTTTAAAAACGGACCCAAAGCAATTTTCAATGGATTAACTGGCCACAAATGATTATGCGATGTCGGTCTATCAGTAACTAAATAAGTAAATCCACCACCCTCAACAAAACAATGTTATGTTTCAAAACAGTGGCTTTTTTTTTGCATCTCCACTGACTGGAAGTGCCAGTCCAAGCCTTTTAAAACGCTCACCGTACTGAGTCACCAGGCTGTTGGCCGTGTTGGGAACTGCTTCCACCAGGTTTCCCAAGAAGTTGAAGGTGGGCAGGAAATCCTTCACGCCGAGCCGATCGTTCAGCTGGACAGGAAACGCACAAAGTGAAGATCCACAAGAATGGAAAGGAACATTGTACGGTCACACATACACAATGTAAACCGTACCAGCATTTTATTAAGTCATTTTTTAGCAGCAATGGTGGCACGAACAAATTCAATAAAAATATCCATCTACGAGTTTCAACCACAGCACCACGTTTGAAAAACGTCAGTGTCTTCAAACATTCTGATTAGAATCTATTCCAGTGACCAGGGAGACCTGCGTGCACCTCTGCCTGCTGTCACCACCAGTACACACAACTTTAATATCATCCAGGCTGATGAGGGTTCTTCTAACACTGCCCCCCCCCCCCAGGGGTGACATCGCAGCAGCAGTCCGTCTGCTGGAGGACTCGCTGCTGCTGAGTGTCACTAAATGTTTGAGGATGTTAATTGATTGATGTCCTGCGTAGAGGAGCAGGTGTCCTGCGTTGTACGTCTGTAAATGTGTGTGTCCCACCTGGTTGGTTATCTCGTCCAAAACGAAGCGGTACGACACCTCGCTCTGCAGCTCCAGGAGCAGCTGGACCAGCACTGACACGCACAAACGCACACAAACGCACTCGTTTACAAAAGACGTCTGCAAAAACACACATATATTACACTTTGGTAATGAATCTTCTTCATAATATTTACAGATGTCAATGTAAAATAAGTGAGTGTAATTTTCCTTCACAACTGGAACTTGTCGATGTGCGTTGTCAATTTCAAGAGGCCAAAAGCTAAACATGTTGAGTTGTGTTTTGATCACAATTATCGAAATGTACTTAGTCGTTAAAACCCCATAAAAATGAAATCAAAATTGCGTAATTTTAGCGATAACCACTTTTCATATACTGAACTTTTCATCCTGTAACTTCATGCAGTGCAGATCTTTTGGGAATATATCATGTTTGTGTTATTTTTAATTCATAATAATACAGAATGAATACTGACATCAATTATGTTCATGAAATCATAGATAAGGAGCTTGGTCGTGGAACAATAAATTGATCATGGCAAAAGGTGTAGAGGTCACATTCACATGCTTCCTAAAATTCAGGTGTCTGCTGCATTTGTTTCTGTCTCACTTAAAATCTCAAATTTTCATTGATGACAATCTTGTCCTTTTTACCTTTTCCCCTCTTTTTTAGAAGTTCCCGTCCATCTCTGAACCTGAGCAGTTTCATCACAATCGACCTTGGATTATCAGCTCGATGTTCAAACTATCCCTTGTGATGTACTTATTCAACCTCAACAGATTTAGGGTCAAATTCCAAGCCAGCAAATCGTTAACTTTAGATTTTGTTCCTGGCCTCGACTCAATCAATGATGATGTTGTTCCTCTCTGACTGACAGTCATATTCTCACAAAGACCAACTGCAGGTATAATTCTCAGCTAAAACCGATAGCTGCTTAGCTGATGTTATAAAGGCTGTGATTTCTGGATTTCTTTCCGCTTCTTCGTTTGTCCGTATACTCACACACAAAAAATGCATTATTTATGATGCTTAAATGACTTTCACAATACGTTCCTCACAAATTATCTGTCCAAAGAGCAAAACCAGTGTCCAATTTAAGCACTCTCCTTAACTATTACAGCAAAGTGTTTCCTAAGGCATTGTGAAAAAGCTACTGTCAGATCATTTGCACTTTGGAAGACAAATGTGACTGAGCAGTTCACTGTGAATCCAACATCAGGAATAAATTTGCTTGTAGCAGCATAAACTGATTAATCAATTCTGAGAGTAAAGATACAGCAACGTGTTGCAGTGAAACAATATCAATAAAATGAGGTCAAAGCCCCCAGAAAACGTTACATTTAGAGACTGCAGGGAAAGTCAATGTGAGATCAATGTGTCAATGTGAGATCACCTTAGTCAACGGCAGAGAACATTACACAGTTCTTGCGTAAGTGTCTACATAAAGAGTGACTCATTGCCAATGTGTGTGTGTGTGTGTGTGTGTGTGTGTGTGTGTGTGTGCGTGTGTAGCCAGACTGTCTGCATTATAACAACTACATATAAAAGTGTGTCTATGTTTGTGAGCAGGCTGCACAGACACATACACACATATTATCTAAACCAAAAAGAGGCGTCTCTTCACCTTGGTCAACCTTTTCCAGAGTGGCTTGGTCCTCCACGGTGTGAAGCATCCCTGGGGACAGAAGGGACATGGTTTTAAAGAGCACACTTCACAAACCTATTGTGATTTTAAGAGGTCCATTAAAAAGAAAAAAGAGCAGGCTAGATAGATGAAAAGGGAATTAATTAAGTCAAGAAATGGGAGCTGAATGAAATAGGGGACACAAAGTACAATGACATTCATGATATTGACGGCTGAGGTCTAATTAATCCCACTGTACCGTTTGTACCCAAATGGAAGAGTGACAGAAACAAATCTACAGCCTCCTGCATCAGTCTGGCGGGATTTCCAAAAGATGTAGCCCCAAAAAAACAATGTCAGGAACCAAGTGTGTGATGAGTACAACAGCTGTTATGACAGCTTCTGCAAATACTACCCTATAAGCATGTAAAAATCAAACAAAAGGCATATTTTTTATTGGACTCTGCTCTCGTTAGCACATGTGAAACTCAGTTCCGTGCCCACTGTTTCTCACCCAATAGAGAGGCTGTAAAACGCAGAGAGACGCTGCTGTCCTGCCGGAGCAGCTCTCTCAGGGCCCCCGGGGAACATCTCAGCACCTGCAAGATACCGATCAAGGCGAAAGACTTCCTCGCCGACTGCAGCAGAAACGGAAGGAGAGAGAGTAACGGGATGGTAAATAAAGCAATAAAGTGATTTGTGTTAGTCTGGTTCATCTTCCTCACCGAAATATCTTCGCTCTCGATCATTTCGATGACACATGCCACACAGAGCAGCTGCCCGCCCCCCTCTGCAGGGCCCAGGCGGCCGCTCCATTTGGGGTCATGCCGGAAGTGAATCTTGTCATAAAAAATATCCCCACTTGACATTTTCACCTGTTGAAACAGAAAGAAAACTTACTTGCTTAACGCTTAGGTGAATAAAATGCTAAATATCGTAGCTACACCGCTTGAGTTAACGTTAACTAACCGGAACGTTAATGTACGACATTGAGCTAACGTTAGCAAATTAGCATCTCGCATCAAAAACAGACCATAACGTCAACGTTTAGATATTTTTAAGGAACGCGTTTTAAAATAAATTGTAGCCTACGTGTGGACAACGCTACCACAACAAAATGCATCAATGTAATTGGGTAAACTTGCCATTAAACTCCACAAAAAGTTGATGTGGGAAGATGATGGAGGTGAATTTCACCACGCAATGCTTCACGTGCTGATGGTGCGTTCGTGTCAACCTCGGAAGTGGGATTTTTCCATGTTGTAATTTTCATCTGCGTCAAACTCGAGAACAACTTCTTTTTAGTGAGAACTCTAACCATCAAATAATATAGTGAGGTTTTATATCATCAAGTTAAATGCAGAACAGGTTTTTACAAAACGACAGTAGTGGGAACGAATAGACAAGTGATGTTACTGATAACGTTTTTTTTTACAATGTTATAACTATTCAAGGTCAAATGAGTATACAAGTAAAAATTGCATCTTTTTACTTAGATGGGTTTTTTTTCGTTGTTTGAAGACGTGAGGTCAACCCAGTCAAATTTAAATAAATAAGTATACAAATAAATAACAGCACATCTATGAATACCACTGAATTAACAAAGCTAACACATTCGGAGCTGTTGCTCCAGGCAATAAGGCATTACTATGCAGTGAAAGTATCTCACTTGAATATATGACATTTCATCAAACTAATATATCGATGGGTTAAATGTCCTAGCACTCTATCAGTTACATCGCACTTGATTGATTCAGATAGGAGTAGTTTCGACTACTAACTGTTGTGACTGTTGCCATGTCATTATAACTTTATATTTTTTAACCTGAATTGACTCAATATAGGTTCTGTGTTTCTTCTCATTGGTTTGTTGGTCCATCCCCATTTCTAGGGTAGCACTAAGAACAGTTTAAGTGTATAAAAAGACTCCAAAGTTCAAAGATTATAGCTTTTCTCATATCTTTTATCTGACCAAAAGGCATACACTATCTTCAAAATGATGCATCAGCATCAATTTATCCTCCAAGGAAAGTCATTGCTGAATAATATGCTGTGGATAGTGGGATGCATGAGACTGTTTTCAAGTATCAGTTAACAGTGAAGGCCACAATTTGGTTATCGCCATGACAACCGCAACTATCTTCTGATGGGAGCGTGGGGGCGAGTATCACTACCAACATGTCAATTTATAATCCCTCTCTACTTCCCCCTAAACAGAGTTCAGTGCACATCAAAGTAGTGCATGACATAAAGCAGTCAGATCAGCTCTCCCTCATCGGGGCGAGTGTGCGTTTCTTTGTGACAGTGTGCACGATTGTGTGTGCACGAGTGTGCTTGGGCTGTCTGACGTCTTAGTGTGAGTGCAGGAAGTGGTCAAAGCCTTGTTTGGCTGACTAAAATGAGCAGCAGACCACAGACAAGCAGGTTTAAAATATTTGTGTCCCTTCGTCCTCGGACAGGAGCTAAATACGACAGTCTCAGCGTCTTATTGGCCCCCGAGGGAGAAAAAAAAACGCAGAAAGAGCCCCTCTTACTATTCAGGTGGGAGCCGATGCATATCCGTCATCTTTATTTGACAACGTTTTCACACAAAGAAGTCTTTGGGGGCCAATAAAGCAGAGACACATATAAGTTCAGCATAAGTGGAGTCCTCACCTGCAAGCATCTTACACATCCCCGTGGGGCATTTGCTTGTCTCTCATCTGACTTGACATATATTGAACCACTTCCTGTGCACAACCCCTCACGTACGCACATATAAGTGCTGAACGCCTCCAGCGTTGCCTGCCTGCTGTGACCCCGTCACGTATACTGTACAGCAGACATCACAGGAGGCGTCGAACTGCCCTAAATATAAGCCCATACCTTTTTCAAATCACCAACCCACACACCATCACTCGATGCTTTATTATTATGTCTCCAAGACATTTAGCTACTTCATTATGGGCAGTATAGCGACTGACTAAATATTGGCGGACTGTCTTCTGCTTCTTTTTTTTAATACCGCACTTGAAAGTAGATAATCTCAGCGCTGCTTTCGAGTGTTAAAAATATATTTTTTTTACCTAAAATATTTGAAAAATATGTTTTTATATTATATATAGAACTTTTATAGAACTTCGAAAGCAGCGCTAAAATGAATATGCATATATACAGATATACATCTGCTTTTGAGTGCGGTAAGTTCTGAGAAATGAATGAGCTAAAGTAGGAAGGGGGCGGGACAAACCGGACGCGCGCTTGTCTGTCTGTGCGTGCGTGCGTGCGTGCGTGGGAGAAGCCGCAGCCTCTCGCTCGGCTGCAGCGATCACTCTCTGAGGTGAACTCTCTTGAAGTTGGGACGATGGATTACATCTGACTAGCAGGCGGTTATTTCAGAGCAAGAACATGGAGGGTCAGCAGCGGAGAACAGCCACTTAAGGTAAGAAAAGAAAATCTCATCTACTTTGAACTGATCATCGATTGACCCCATTGCTCCACTATTAACTGTGGATTCTATGTTCCACATAGTACTAGTGTCTGTATACGGTTCTTGTAGGTTTATAAACACAAAACAAATCTCCTTTTTAATTGTTTTTTGGTCTTTATCAGGTTTGTTGGAACCCAACTAAAAGTATTCCAACTTTTAATGATGGTTCCGGTTGCGGTCTATTAATCTGCGCTCATGTTGTTCATGTGAATTGTCACGATTTGTAATTGGCTTCTTGCGTTGACGTCTTTCTGCCTGTTGCAATGTGTGCCACTGAATCTTTATTTATATTTAAGTCACTTACGTTTCTACACACTCCCTGGGAGGTTGCTGTCCCTTGTAGTTCATTTATTTCCTGTGGCGTTAGAAATATCATTCAGCCGATGTTTCCAGGAACCACTTGACAGAAACAGAAAGCCTGTTTTCAAACACACAGCACACTTTGACCTCAGCGTGTGACGTTAGAAAAACAACAACATCACCACAGCCTGAGATGCACTGACATGCAAAAAGCCACGATGACACAGCCGTGTGTGTGTGTGTGCGTTTTCACGGCTCAGCATGTGTTCTCTTCAACTAACGCATTTGTCTTCTCCTCTCAGGTGTTTTTCTTGTCTTATCTTTGTGCTGCCTTCAGCAAAACAAAGGCAAGCTAATCTACACTGTTCCATCAGCACTTTCCACAACTGATGTGAGACATAATAAACAAACACGGCAAAAGTGTCCCAATAACAATGCCTGGTATTAGCCACGTACGATATGAGCCAGCATCCCCACATGCAGGCAGTGCGGTTACTGTACACACCAGTGGGCCTCTCAGTGAGGTAGCAGGTACAATGCTAATGTGCCACCGCGGCGCCACTGTGGCCAGAGCCCTCACATTGTGTCCTTAGAGACCCCCGGCCAGCGGAGTATTGGCTTTCACACCGGGACGGTGGGATACTCAGCACACCGGGATTTAACAAAGGTCAAAGTAAAAAACAAAATGAAACTTGAGGCTTTCTTTTGGACGGGATGCTGGTGATGAGAGACTACACAGAGAGGATAGTGTTTGAATGGCCCCCCCACCCCGCCCAAGGAGGGGGGCTCCTTGTCCAAAGATGCAACCGGCAGGGATGACCTGAGCTGAACAGGCTTTAAAGTCCCGCCAAAATGTGGAAAAAAGAGAGACGAGAAAAAGCAGTGGAGAAGAAGGGCAGTGACGAATGTAAGGCGTGATGATTGAAGGGGGGAGGGCTGCGGGCCGTTATGCTCGACTGTATTTCAAAGTGTTTCGGGAGATTTTCAGGGTAAAAAGTGATTGACTGTAATAATGAAAGCCCAGTGACATTGATGATGATCATCACTTCCCAGCCGATGCTACGAAGACATTCATGGGATTGCTTTTCTTCGGTTAATTGATCGATCGGTTCGGTTGCTTAGTCCACACACAGCGAACCGTGTCGCACAATATCCAGTAACAGAGGGAACAAAAGGGAGAATAGCAGGAGACACAAATACAAATGCTGCGAGGCATTTGTTTCATCAACTGTGTTGTAACTTTTATCCTTTTATCCACCGACACAACAGCACTCAGCTCAGCTCAGCCTGTACGGACTGTTGTGTTTTCCTCCATTCATTCCCCCCCTGCACTCCTCCAGCTTTCTGATGACCTTTTCTCCTCTTTTACTCCTTCTCTGCATGAGGTCATTCTTGGTTTTTGCCACTTTCCTCGTCACGTCTCCCCTCTCCATGGCTCTTACCCTCCATCAAGTAATCCGTCCCTCACTCCTTTGCTGTTTTTTCGTTCTCCTCAGCAACCTCCCGTCTCCCGCGTTCTCCCTCGTCCTCTGCCGCCATGTCAGTATCCACGGGCAACAGGCTCCAGCGCCGGCGCTCTCTCGGCCCGGTCTCACCCAAACGCATCTACAGAAACCTGTCCGTCAGACTGAGGGGTGGGGAGTCATCTGTTGCCAAGGAAACGGACGTACCCAGACACCCGAGGAGGCCTGCAAGCGCTGTAAGATATTCTACGCGTCAATCTGAGGGGGTTGGGGGTGACCGGTGACTTTGACTGAATTGTCTCCCTGTCCTCTGGCAGGTTGTCTTTATTTTAGAATTACGAGATCTCATTTTGAAATTACACGCTGAGTCTGTGTAACTACGAATACATTATCCCGAGCCAGACGGCTTCTCTGATTTACGATTTGATAGATGTGTCCTTGGCTACCGCGTCGCTCGTCGCCTCTTTCCTCTGCTCTCTGGAAATATCTTATTCTGGTTTGATGTGAATTCTCATCTTCTTTGTCATTCCTCCTGTCGGCCGCTCACCCTGGTCCCCGTTAGTACCAGACCCTGTGGGAGGCAGTGGAAAATGAGGACACTTTGGCCGTACAAAGCCTGCTGTCCAGAGACAACATCCACTGTGGAGGAGGAGGAGGAAGCAGCACAAGGGAACGAGGAGAGAAGAAAGAGAAGAACTGCGAGAGGGAGAAGGAGAGGGGGGTGAACAGGGTGAGCGAACAGGGCCTGGTCCCCCTGGACGTGGCTGCCCTTACCCACAATTCCCCTCTGCTCCATGTGTTGACCAAGGCGGGGGCCAGCCATAACCCCGTTTGTAAGTCTCACGGGCCGAAACATCACGAGCACTCTGTTGGAAGTGGCCGGGGTTTAATTGCACGCAAATGATATTGACCCGCTGCCCCTCCACTGCGCCTCCTCTGCAGTGTGCCGGCCTGCGGAGTGGGCCCTTAAGCTGGACGCGCTGGTGGCGCTGGCGGGCAAACGGGTGGAGGAGAGGAAGAATGAGTTGGTGAAGAAGGCCGGCTCGGGGCCTCAGGCGCAGGTCGAGGTCCACAGAAGCATCTGTCTCTGGAGCCTGCGGCTGCAGCTGTACTGCCGCATGAGACGCAACTTCCAAAACACAGGTCGGTGGTCTCGGGTCACGGTTAGTGTGGCATTTTGTGAAGTGAAGCTTTGGAAGCAAACTGGGTCAGAGGCTTTTTTCCTATCTTCTCAGTTCCCATGTAGCGAGAAATACTGGTATTCTTGCTTTTTTTTCTTGCCCTGTTCAAATTGAATTTCAACGAGGTAAAGCCGCCTCATTTCTAACTCCCCTCCACGTATCCCCCCTCGTCCCCTTTAGCTGACAGCAGCACAGTCGGGGATTCAGCCTCACCTCGCTTCAGTTTTACTGATTTCCTGTGTGGACTCTTGTGACGTCTAGCTGGCTTCTCAAAAGTCTCTCCAACTCCTCTCACAGAATTCAACAAACTGCCTCGTCATCATTTGCCTTCGCTCTGTCCACCGGCTGCCGATAGCTGCTTGCTTAAAAAATTGAAACCTCGGTGCCGGTATATACTGTCCATGCGTAGAAATCCACACTCGGAATGGCTTCAAGGCGTTGGATTATTTTGCTCTTCTCTTTCTTTTCTATGCACCAAGCCACTCAGGTCCTCTTCCTCCCGGCTCTCTCCCTTCAAACCCACTTCTTTTAAAAAAATGATGCGCTGATGTCTCCCCTGCGCCTTCCTCGAGTGGCTCTGTATAAATGTTTCTCCTCAGCTCTTATTTTCTCTTAGTTCTGTTCCCAGACTGTTTTATGATCACAGTGTTATTGTAAGGGCAAAACCATATTAACTTTTATTCTTGCTGCACGGGTATTCATAACACTCTCGGGATAAGAGGGTCAGCTAAAAGCTGTAATGATAAGATACATATATATATATATATATGACATTTACATGCAGGAAGTCATGTTTAAGTGGGCTGCCTCACTGGCTCTATTCATAGGCAAGCAGTTCAGAGGGCAGGCTGTGCAACAGAGTAACAAATACACAGTATATTCAGTGTTTGGAAGTATATTTAGTGAAGGGAGTGAAATAGAAATATGTGTAGTGTTATTACATTAAAATATAACAGCAGTGCACTGGTTGTAAATGTATACGAGGGTTATTGTTACTTTTAAATTAGGAAATAAAACAGATTAAAAACCCAGAACATATCATAATAATTGTATTTTGAACAGTGCTCTGTTTAAATGTTCTACACCAGAACTGCCCGGGCCTCCCAGTCATGTGTCCATACTGGTGACCAGCGCGTCCTCTCTGTATGTGGTAATCAAAGAGCCGGAAGGGGACGCCATCGGCCTCATCACCCGCTACAGAGGTAGGTGGTGCATCACAAACCCTTAACACGTCGTAGCCAAAGAGAGGCTGAATGAACATATTCAAGGTCAAAAAGCCCCACTGGCCTTCTCTGTTTGTGCTACGTGGCTTTACGGCTGCATAGGTTTCATACTTTGCAGCAAAGGGTAGATTAAGTTCAGCAAGTTCTCCAAAACTGTAAATACTCAAAGCCTCAGTTCTCCCTTCACGGGGGTTTTGAGTAAAGCCAGAATAATCTGTCAGTGAGATGCTTTGTTGTGTTCGCAGTGGAATGGAGCACCTCGGCCAGCTTCAAGCGCATCCTGGGCTCACCCCAAGTCTTAGAGACCAAGAACCCTTCCTACAGCATCAAAGGGCTCACAACAGTAAGTGAGCCGGTGGACACACACACACACACACACCTGCAACTACACGCACACACATTAGCTCCGGACCTGCACACGGACTGTGTTTATTGGGCTCCGATCGTGGCGCACTGTGCTGAACCACTTCCCATTAGAGAGCACTTATCCCAGTCTGGGGCTGCCTTACTTAACCAGGTGAATTAATAATGACAGTGATGTGTGATTCCTGTGTCCCGGAATAAAAACGATTTTGAAAGGTTAATGCACGGTGATAATTGGTCCGCCTGTGCTTTCTCCAAATGCAGGGAGTGCATTACTTTGTGAGAGTGAGCTGCTATAACGTGAGAGGATGGGGCCCACCTCAGTGCTCCACTCCGGTCAGCGCCGCCCCCTCCAGTGAGTACACCCGACTGCACACTGCCATGAGGGCGCATTGGCGCCGCCAAAGGGCTCCATGCTGTTGCTCTCCGTCCTCCGAGTAATGGAATTAGTTGGCTGACATCAGGCTTAATGTGTAAAAAGTGGATTTCGCGAACGGCTGGCAGATTGATGAAATATTAAATTGTGCAATTAAAGACATCTGTGGGACTCGATGGGCCTTGTACTTTTTGAAGTGGCCTCCTAATCTCTCTCGCTCTCTTTGCATTACTTGCTGTTATTTCCCATTTCATACTGTAAAAGGAAAATTGTCACTCAACATGTTGCATTGTCAGTTCGGTCGTAATTGGACCTGAAAATCGAATTGAACTTTTACGGAGACGTGAGCAGCTCAGAATGATTCAGCATTGAAACGAATCACAAAAATAAGAAACCGAAGCACTCAGGATTCTCCTGCAAAATGACTTCTTGATGACTTCAATGATTTTTCCCTAATTGCATAAAAACTGAAAGCGATGATTGGTTTCTCCCTTTCTCCCTGTGCAGGTTGGAGAGAGTGCATCGGCGTGAAGTCACAGTTTAGAAATCATGAGGACCTCGTGAGGAAACTGTTGGAAGACGCCAGAGAACCACATTACAAAGGATTCTGCATCGGTAACGTCTTTGGTGATGTAACAACTGACGCACTCGCACGTGAAGCAAGAATATATCCGTCCATACATTTATCACCACAGTATCACTCTATTCTATTTTACAAGAATAAAGGAAAGAATAAATGAGAGCAAAGTTGTCTTCCATAATTTTTCTATGGCATTTCATATCAGCGGCGTGCACAGCACGGAGTCTATTCATTGCAGAGGGTACTGTCTCACCCTCTCTCACCCATTCAGATATGACGTGCGTGCTCAGCGAATGTGCTTTGGCAGATAAAAAGTGATTCTCATCCTGACTCATCCTCCTCTGCTCCGCAGAGAGCTCCAAGCCCCAGAGTCCCAGCAAGCGGCTGTCTGTGTCTCGAGGCATCAAACAACTGTTCCACTCCGCCACCAAGTTTGTTCGTCTCCTGCAGAGGTAGCGCTCCATTTGTCCCACCTGTCCCACGGAGCCTTGAGCACAGTAGTAGTGTAGACCACAACAGTGTAGATCACAAAGTCCGAGCACGTACCCGTTATGGTATTAAGAACAACAGTAGTCACGTTAAAGATGCTGTAGTCTCGGGATTAGTCGAGTGGTGTTTTTTAAAGGTTTCAGCCGCCACAATTGTTGGGCAGATCTCATTCACTGCATTAGATGCCAGTGTAACTGCATGGATATTTATTTTAGACACAAAAGTCTGCAATGGTTGACCTTGAGGTGAACTGACCTTTCGCAGTTGACTATGATGAGAGGGCCGCCTGCGTATCGGCGTGTTCAGAAAAACCCGATTCTTACCTTGATTGTGTTTGTTTTAGGGGCGTGTACTTGGCTACTGTGTTCTATCACAAGGAAAACATCCTGGTGACAGCTGAAGATCAAATCCCACTGGTGGAGATCCAGTGCTGCTCCACCTCCATCATCCATGACTTCCTTTGGTTTGCCAAGGTAAACGGCCAGAAGACATTGGATACGTTGATTCACCATAACATAAATGCCGTTAGGAACTATTGAGTCCATTCGCAACACGGTTAATACACATGTACTCAGTAAATTGTTTTATTGTCTCATTTATAAACACTACAGAATGTACTTATTCAGAATGAAGGCTGTGGAATTGTCTGTGTAAATTGCAGTTGATATATTGATTTCTATTTCTTTTTGCAGTTATCCTGTGCATGGCAACAAGTACCGTGGCTCCAGCAGGCCCTTTCCTCTGCTCATTCATCTTCCTCCTCCCTCCTGCAGAACAGACACAACATTTTAAGAGCCATTTCCCAGCTGCAGGTAAGAGGTTAAGCTGCATTTGTGCAGCACGATGAGAGGCATCAAAAATGAGTTGATTGCTATTTGAATCACCTCACAACATCTCTCCTTGGTCCCCATCTCACTGCCATCCTCCCTGGTGCCTCGCCTCCCCATCGCAGGCTGCATAGCTGTGGAACTTGTGTGTTTCATTGCGTTAATCCCTAATGTCCTCATAATGTATTCCTCTTCATGTTTCTGTTTCACACCTCAACCACTTATCTTCCTTCAGTCTTCTCTGGGAACAATGCAGCTGGGCCAGGTGTACTACGAACCTCTGAAAGACCGGCAGGGGAACGTCCTACTGGTGACTCTGAAAGAGTTCCCAAACCCGCCCAGGTGAGAAAGGGGCCTTTGTTTTTCTCCCGTTCTTCCATAGAAACAAAGCATTTTCAACCAGCCAGCTTGGCTTTATCAATAGGACCGGGCTGGAGATGATTTCTTTATCAGACAACAGACTGAGCTCGCTGAGCACAAGTACAGAGTGAGGAGCTCTTTGGGTTTTTGGCATCATACTGGCTTTGTTGTGACAATAGGAACTGATATCCTTTGGTGGCTCCATGTGGTTGCACTTCCTTTTAACCCTTTGCCGTGTGCACCTGTAAAAGCCCTCCAGACCCCCCGCTCCACTGGATGCCCCTGGCTCGTCTGGAGAAGAACCGCGGCAGAACTCCTCTGGTGCCCGAGCCCACTGCCATGGACATGCTCTACGACCAGCTCAAGGTGAGCCCGTGTTTGTGTAAAAGGGAAGCACACACACAGGAAGCAGTGCGAACGTGTAACAGAATGAAGCCAGCGCTGAGTGCTTTCCCCATTCCATCTGTGTGGTTTTCTCTATGGTGCCGCTCAGCCCTGAAAAAGGCAATAGAATTGATCCAGCCAGCCCAAAAGACAGAGTGAGATACGCCAAAGAAACCGCATCTGAACCCTGCGTCCTAGGAACACGTCTTACAGTCCGTAACCCCGCGTCGGCTTCTCTCTGTTGTCCAGGACAAGCTGACCCTCCACAGGCACAGCGTTCAGAGCGCCAAGCCGGGTCTCTACGTCGGCATCCTGAAGTTGTGCAGCTCAGTGGAGCAGATCCGGGTCCTGGTGCCCCAGAGGCTGCCCAATGTCCTCTGCCACACGCGGGTCCGACACAATGCCCACGTCTCCAGGTAAAGCGGTCGGAACGTGCGACTTGCCGCGCCCGTTTCAAATGTGGTAATAACTTTCCCTGCACTGCCAACAAGGCCTTTTTTAACGGCGGTGTCTCGCTAACTGCTTCCCCCGCTGTGTGACAGGGAGGAGTGGGCGTGGCTTCAGAGTCACGTTTACACCACGACCAATGGCACCGCTCCAAACCCGTTGAGCGGCGAGGACGAGAGCGGCCTGGAGAGCGGCGAGCTGGGGGAGTTCATCATGTCTCTGAGAGTGGCCGTCACGCACCTCCTGACGAAGCTCAACATCCCCCTCTACAGGGTAACAGAAATGAGCTTTTCAAGACAGCCCCCGTGGCGCTCTCCTTTCTCCTGAAGAACTTGGATCAGAGAGGATTATTCTGAACTCCCTTGGTTTGCCCGTGTTTTTATGCTCCTGTGCCGTGATGCTGGATGTGGGTGAACATGACGTGTTTGTCCCCGTCCCTTACAGGCGTATCAGTACGGCGTGTACACCCGGGAGCTCCTGCACTTTGGGGACACGCTGTCCATGCTGCTGCTGCTGCCCCCCAGTGAGGACTTCAGCTCCAGCTACTGGCCTCTGTCGGGGACAAAAGAGCCCGGACTCACCATGCCCCTGCAGATCTTTGAGCTGGGTAGGGGGAGAACTATAGGTGTCCATGGATACGGGATCTCACTGACGATAGCAGCACAGTGGTGGTGAGAGAGAGGGCCCAAAACAAGGCGGGGGCCAAGGATAAAAGATAAAAAATGATTGACCAAAGAGGAACCACTGAGGACCTTGATGATGACAGGAAAACCTCCGTTTGCAGCTCGGGTCTCAGGGACGTTTGAGTTGACAAAACTAGCTTCACCATTTGAGGACAAAGTCACAGGAGACACTTTTTCTCTTTGAGATCAATACGTAGTTTCATCTAAGTTGGTACTAAAGTAAATCCTTTTAGTCAACCCCCCCAAAAATAATGATCACCAGTTTGACTGGAAGGTATAATATCCATGTTAGTCACTTCTTTTGTGTTCGCACGTCTAATTAGTGCAATGATCCTCCTTTTCATCCATTCTTTAGGGTTTATTTTGTCTCTAATTTAAATCCATCCCTCCTTTTGAACCTTTCGGGAAACTCCCACGCTAAAGGTCTGACGAAGAGCACTAATGACTTCCGAGGCCGACTTGACTTTCTCTCTGTGGTGATTTGTTATTCCTCTCAACTCCGGCTCTCGTCACCAGTTCACTTCTGGACCTACGAACGCGACTTCCTGTCCCAGTACTGCCAGGCCTGGGTGCGGCTGGAGCTGGACTCCCATCTGGCCCAGCAGGCTCTGCGGGAGGCGCTGGACACCAAGGAGGTGCAGGAGGCCCGCGAGCGCCTGAACCACATCACGGAGCTTTCCCGGGTAAGATCATGACAGCGGAGACAAAAGACCACTTGTTTTTTTGTCTGTTTTCACGTTTCCACATCTCCTCTTCTGTGACTGTTGTGGGTATAATGAGGGAAATATATACATTAAATACATGAATCAATGTATTGATTAAGTCACCATCCCCAAATATATTGCATTTTGAGAATCCCACTCAATCACCAAGAAGGAATTTATCAGTAGAATGATGACAAAATCCACTATACCCGTTTCTTCAGCGGCTCGATGTGGTGTGGAGGGACGCACGCTGGATTATGGACTGTCTGCAGTGCGTCCGCTCCAAGCAGTGGGTCGGCGCGGTGCCTCTCGGCCTGGTGATGGGAGGAGAACCACCGCCGCGTCCGGATGGGGAGGACGAGAGCTTGACTGCCAGACTGACGTGGCCCCATCGCCTGCAGGCACAGAGAGCCATCGCGGGTACAACCATGATGCGCTTGTGTGACTACCGTCCGCAATTATTAAATATGCTGTGTTGCGTCAAAGGGAGAGACTGTCAACTAAAAATCTAATTCTGTATTCGTGACACTTTGCACAAGTGAGATGACACTGCTTTGATAACAAAGTTGACGTCTGTTCTTAGCTTTTCTCACGTCTACCATGTTAGCTGCTATATGAACAGATTTTAGTTTAGCCTTTCTGCTGCTATACAAAAGTTTACATTAAATGCGGTTTAGGATCAAGACCTTAACATCCTTTTTGTCGCCCCACATCCCTTCCCAGAATCTTTGGTTGACGGGACTCCATTCAACACCGTGTCCGCTGAGGTCGCCGCGCCATCAGGAATCATGGTCGTCCCTGAAGAGGCCACGCTATTGATGGAGGGCGTCGCCAAGGGAGGCTACCCTTTAGACATCAGCCAATCCAGCGTAGACTTGACGAGCCTCGGCCAGTCGGAGCTCGGGTGTGCCAGCGCGTTGATCGAATCCGGACTGGAGCCCGGCGCGGTCGCACAGTTTGAAGTGGGCTACGCGGTTTTGGAGAGACAGGAGTCGTACAGGGGGGAAGAGGACTTTGCATCGAGCCTCACTGAGGTAATGCGACCGATGGAGATGGCGGAGCTGGTGGACATCTTGCCCACGCTGACCCTCATCGATGAGGAGACCCCACGTGGCCCGTCCACCCCGTCGGTATTGGATATGCTGGAGAGCTTTGGACTGGGGATTGGTGAGAGCAACACCTTCTTTGAGTTCGAGGACTCAGCCGGTGGCGTGCGTCAGCCCGACCGTCTCTCTGACAGCAACGACAGTGCGAGAGAGGCTCCCTGTGGGAATACAGGTACGTCTGCCCCCACCGCCAGCAAGGGAGCGGGCCTTCCGCAGAGAAACCAGGTGGAGTGGGACAGACCAGCTGACGGTTCATCCTGATGACAGCTCGAGCACCAGCCGCCCACGACCTTTGGCCGACTGGAAAACCAATCAGCGGGCTGCAGAGCAGTTGATCTACAAACAGAAGAGCCTGGCTGGGTCTTTTTAAATGGCTTGGAAATGGTATTTTTACTTTGTGTGTCCAACTGTCCATTTAAGTAAAATTCCAGTGACAACTCCATCTAACACGCGATTGATGTTACTTGCACATTTCTGGCCCTATAGTTCTAGCTCTATAGCTCTAACGTCCATTCAAGCGTATTGTTTAGGAAGTTGTAGTAGTCATTTTTATGATTTAAAAGACAATCACTCACCAACAGCATAAAGCAACATTGCTGCTGGATGGAGCTTGTAAACAAATGTCTCTAAAAGGCCATTATACTGAATATGTAATTGAATTGGTTCCTCTTGGTTTACCGGTTTGCACTTTTGGCATAACAAATCAGTATCGAGATTTATGCTAAGGTTGATTTTACATTATTTACCGTCGGTCCTACCAGTTTGCAGATTCTGACAAGATCAACATCAAGCTGAAGACTCGATATCGAAAGAGAAAACAAGCAACTCAGATAAGAAAGAAATGTCGAAGACAAATGGTCAGTGATGGAAAACTCAAGATGTCTACTCACAGGGCTGAGAAGGACATAGAGTATTTTTTTCCACCCTTTCAATTTCTTTCAAGGATGTTCCTTCACTACAAAGGCCTATTCATAGGTTTTGAAAAGTACTCGCAGTTGCCTACTATAAAGCATACACGTTACGACAAATGTTTTTTGGGTCTCAATTTGTGAAGGAAAATGTGCATAGAAGAATGGAGTACAGTCTAAACAAAACGTAGCTATAAATAGCTCAGCGCCCTTAAACAAACCATAAACAGCTATTTTTAATTAGGAGTTCTTATTCACTATCTTTGGTAGAAATAAGATGGCTGCATCAAGAATGATCATTATGTGTTAAACTGTCCACTGGGTTGACACAGGCCAAAGTGTTGTTGCTAATCCTATTAAATACTGCCCGTGATCACAAACTGCTCCAGCATTCCATGTTTCATTTCCTAGACTTACACATTTCTCGTGTAAAGGAAGGACAGTCTGTACGTCAAGAGAACCACACCTCGAGGCCCTGCTGGCGCTTTCACTTGTTTGGCCTAAAAGGATGTTTTCTTCCTGCGGGCTTGCCATGACATCCTCTCACTCTCCAGTTGCACTTGTTAAGGCCACACAGCTCATTCTTACGGATACTTTGACGACAACTTCTGAATCCATCATAGTCCAGTGTAATTGGCACATTAATCAGTGATAAAGTAAAAATATGAGGGACAACTATTTGGTATTTTTTGTCATGCGATGTATTCCATTTCTACAAATAAACATCGTGGCATCGTCCTAACATCAGTCCCTGATTAGGAGATCAAAGCAGAACGTTATGTTTTCTCTCTCAACAGCCAATTTCGCTTTTCCTATCACGATAAATGTTGTTACTCATTGCTGGTGTCAATGATGAGCTAGCTTCAATCGTTTTAATGATCTAAAGGGTTACATTCTGATGGAACGACCTCTATCGCCTCCGCGTGATTCAGTGTCGGTTGATGTTAAAAACATTTCTGTCTCATTTTAATTGTGTCGTTTTCACCGAATATATAAGCGCTGCTCCGCCGCCGCGTAGAGTGAGCGCTGCGGTGAGTGTCTGCTGCCCCCCGGTGGTCACAGCGAGGAACTACAGCACTGCGTCAACATCAGCATCCACCTGCAAGTGTTTGGATGTGTGATCGCTACGATGCGAACGGGGACAACAGTCGGATTATTGCAGCGTATTGATGAAGAAATCTTTCAATAAGTGTTGTGACACTGCTGCAGCGCGTTCTCATTTCAGGGGATTAATAGCGCCCCTCCGCGCGTTGCCGCTACTTGAATGACAATTAAAAGCAAGAAAACGTCTCAGTCGCAGAGGAAACCTACGACATCTCTTTTAAGTTCGGTGCCCAAAAAGACGCCGGGCCAACGGCTTAATGCTGGTTTCTGCTGGGATGTCATCTGAAAATGCTGCGTCACATAAAGGTATGTCGATCCCAGTTACTGCCCGTCAGAGCAGCACCGTGACTACAGGCTGCGGAAAAGGAAATCAGTCATCCTATAGAACGTTTATATAAATAAAACTAAATACACAAATCCGTTATTAAAAAAGGGAAATATGGTTTGAGAAGTATTTTTTTAATACCTGCTAGATGTTACTATTATTGTATTATTATAAAATGATAATAACATACATGTACCATATCATTTTATTTGGGCGCAGTCCGTGAGGCGTCGGAGGCTGAACCCCTGAGGATTGTTCTGTTGGGGAGGACGGGAACAGGCAGGAGCTCCTCGGGTAACACCATCCTGGGCAGGTCGGCCTTCTGGGTCACCGCCTCCCCCTGTTCGGTCACCGCGCGGTGCGAGAGACAGTTCGGGACGGTCCACGGGCGGAGCATCGCTGTGATTGACACGCCGGGCTTCTTACACACGCGGCTGTCCCCCGAGGAGGTCATGGCAGAGGTGGGACAGAGTATCGCCCTGTCCTCTCCGGGACCCCACGCCTTTTTGGTGACCCTGCAGCTCGGCAAGTTCACCCAGGAGGAAAGGGACGCCTTGCAGTGGATCAAGGCCACGTTTGGACCTGGAGCCACCAGGTTTACCACAGTCCTGTTCACCTGGGGAGACCAGCTGCGGGGCAAAAGCATCAGGGACTTCCTGGGGGAGAGCGAAGAACTGTCCCAGTTTGTCAGCAGCTGCCGCGGAGGGTGCCACGTCTTTGATAACAGTGGACAGGACGAGACGGCGGCGGCCTTGCAACAGGTGGCCCAACTCCTGGAGAAGGTGAATGACACTGTGGCAAGCAATGGAGGCGGTTGCTATAGCAACGAGATGTTCAAGGAAGCGGAGAGGGCCATCAGGGAGGCGCAAGAGAGGATTCTGGGAGAGAGAGGACACAAGGTGGAGACGCCTAAGGCGGCGGCTACAAACCCAGAGGTGCAGAGACCCGAGACGGGGAGGAGGAGGAGGGAGGAAGAGGAGAGGAGAGAAGAAGAGGAGGCCAGGAAACGAGCCGAGAGGCTTTTCTGGTGTGAGTTGTTGACAGCTGTGGGGAAAGGCGCTGCAGAGGGAGCAGGGATCCTGGGGAAAGACGACAAAGGGAAAGGGAAGGCCGTGAGGAAGGCGAAGGTGGTGGAGAGGGCAGCGGCTCTGGCGGCGTCGCCGCTCTCCGTCACTTCAGCCGCGAAAGCGGTGGGAGGAGCCGTGAGAGAAGGAAGCAAGGTGCTCTATAAACACAGGAAAACTTTCCTGAAAACACCTCACTGACTAAAGTCAAGAATCTCTTATTGCAGTGGAGAGGATGATGTGTCAAAGTCACTCAGCTGTATTGTTTTTTTTTTTTTTTTTTTTTAATTTAACGTCCTCAATCTCTGTTTTAACAGGAGCACAATGCACCACCTTCAAACCATTCTGTTAAGGAATGCATTTCTATCTGTGCTTTTATGTGTGTGTAGCGTTCAGAAAGGTAAACATCCTGGTTGTCATGTAGATTGGTAACAAAGAAAATAGCCACTCCTTTAAATTGAATACACATGTTATAATAAAAGGGAAGGTCATAAAATAGTGTTCAATTACTGTACTAAAATATTTGCAGTATATAAAAAAAAAGTTCAACATGCTCTTTTGCCCATAGTCACATTTCTTTTTTTTATCCTTTTACACAAAAAGACACTTTGGTCAGAGATAAAAAAAAACAGCCTTTTGTGTGACTAAAATCTTTGGCTTCATTTAACATGACAAACATTTAGCCCTTTTTCCCCTCCCATGAAGAATTACATTGACATATGAACGATGACAAAGAGGAAATACAAAAATGAACATTCTTTGGAGTAAGGAAATAAATCGTTTGCATAGAATTCAATTAGCCACGTGTCAAACATTATTTGACCAATGACGAACACGATGTACAGATTGTGCAGCCCCTTAAAATTTTTGGTTATTGATATTGTGCTACATAAATAAAATTAACTTGACTTAAAGGGTACAGCGTAAAAAAATGTTGTCACTAAAAGACGTGAGTTTGTAAAATGCGGCCGTGATTGGATAACGTTTAGCGAGCTATGACGTGAAACTACATACAAACTACCTAAAGTACAATTTTGTGGATTCAACATTTTAACTATTGCCAGAGCCAAAGTCCCGGAGTAAAAAGACAAACAGTTTCCATCACCCTAATTTAAGTACCTGGTGCACATCAGGGACCAATTTATAGGGTCACAATTGCATCTTCTGAGGAAAAAAAACAAACAAATGTCCCTTCTGACTGAAACAGGGCGTGTAATTCATACGGACTCACACACTAAGAGCCAATCACAGCCGACTATCAGGTGCACACATTTTGCTCAACAGAATGACGCCAGACCGTCGGTTCCGTCTTTGAAAACGGGCGCGGCGCTGCGGGCGGGCCCAGACGTCCGGTTCAAATGGGCATCGGCAGGCTCATCTTTCCTTTTCCCCGAAGCACTGCAGACAGGCGGAGGACAAACGGGAAGAACAAAGACAGTCTTGAGAAGGGAGTTTGCGTTTGAAAACCTCAAAGTGAAACAGCTCTGGTTACCCGGTGAGCCAACAACAGAAAAACAACAGCCCCCCATTTCCTCAACAGATCCATTCATTTCACCCTCACGGCAGCTTCGCCGTAGTCTCCACTCACCCCTTGTGACGTAGAGGTAGAAGAAATCGCAGTAGAAAATGGTCTGCACGACGCCGGACACCACGGCGATCTGGTCAAAGAAGCCCTCGGTGTGGTAACGCCACACCCAGTTGGCGATGTAGAGGGCTCGGTAGAGGCCGAGGAAGAACAGGTAGTGGGTGGTGATGGACTCGGCCTCGCCGGTCTTTGTGATCAGGAAGAGCTGCGGCATTATGGCCACCGCCTCCAGGAAGATGGAGAAGGTCCACAGGATCTGGATGGAATCAGTGGGAGGGAGACACATGAGAAGAAGAGCATCGCCTGGGCGACCGGTATCATTGATGAAAACTGAATTTAAACTGACAGCGATCTAAACGTCTCTACTCCTCAACCCAAATGTACCAGAGACACGGCCCTGGTGCTCATATACCTCCAGCGGGGTGAACGCGTAGTTCTCCAGGAAGGACAGCCCGATGGTCGGCACCAACAGGAACTCCACACGGAAGGTGTCGTTCTCGGAGTCGTAGGTGCTCCTGAAGCGCATGTAGATCAGGTACACCGTGGCGTAGGCCAGAGCCAGAAACACCACCTGAGAGCAGAGTCCAATGCTGACTGTGTGTCGGCCACCAAAGACCATGTGATCCCTGTACGGGATTATTATCAATGACAAACTGCCTGCTGCATGATTTACATGGTGTGTGTGTGCGTGTGTATCTTACCTTCATGACCGTGTTGTAGGCCGAGATGAAGACAGTGAACAAATCAAGGTACCTGCTGGTGAAGACGAGTGCAAAGAGCACCTGAGATTTCCCAGAGATGCCTACAGAGATGAAGAGAGGAAAACATGCTCAGATGTGCTTTGTTGTGAGGACACACATGCAGCAGGCGGCGCATTGCTCGCCAACGTGCCACGTCGCTTCCCTTCCTGCGGACCCACTCAGCATTCCGCGCATCCCCAGCATGTGCACGGCGGTGGACACAATGACGCGCCGCCGTGTATTTGCGAGCGGCCCGCGAGTCGATCCTGCAGCGCAGCTGCATGCATTTTAGTGTCAGCGGTGTGAGCCTACCGGCGCAGGACTTGGACCTCCATATCTTCAGCAGCAGGATGATGATGGCCACCAAATGTGACACGTCCCCCGCAAGACGGAAGACGTTCATGGTGTTTGGGCTGCGACAGGCAAAAAGAGAGTAAAAACTCCTGCGGGCCTTCGGGCAGAGCCGTGCAGCCGCAACAGGTCACGAGTCGAGATTAAGGAGAAGCTCAGCAGCGGAACCGTCTTTCCGGTAGTTCGGGCGCTCGTCGGCTAAAAGGATGACGAGATAGTGCGTGCGTTGACTCGGGTGTGTGCCCTGTCGTCTCGGAGGAAAGTTGTTTCAGGGGAGGTGACGTGGCTGACAGTTTAGACCGCAGGAAGTGGCGTCATGCTAACCGGCTACAAACAAACGTGTCCTTTTCCGGTTTGGATTTTTCAAAGTAAAAGCCGCATTGGCCAACAGGCTGCCTGGGGATGAGATGCTCACTATTCTGTACACAGTTGGCCTGTGTCGTGAGTATGTTAACAAGGGTTTAACACAGGTGAAGGTTATATGACGATTGTTCTACCTATAAAGGGCAAAACCCGCGATGTCGTGTGTTGCTTGACGATGAACATGAAACATTTTTCGTAATTTATGAGCCATCGTGAAGAAATAAAGCCTTGATTAAACAGCAGATGGCAACAAACTGCAGGGAATATGGAAGGAGGAAAACATAAAAGACATTAGTCAAATTCATTGTTCTCATTTAGGGAATGTATTCCTTCATCAGATCACAATATTGGATATATGATAGTCTTTCATATACTGTTGATATTTTCTCCACTTCCTATCATTGAACCTTAAACATCCATTACCATCCATGTTATACATTAACGTCTGTACCCGTCTTCTATTTATTCAGCATTTTTATTTAGTTAATTGTTGCTCTCCTTTTCATGTGTGCTCCATAAATGAATATATGATCCCTAAACTCATTGACATGCCACGTAGCAGCCTGCTTCAAGGCCTCCACCGCCATCCCTGTTTCCAAGAAGCCCACAATCACAGGACCTAATGACTACGGGCTCCCACGTACTTTGGTAATAAATAATAAAGATGGTGTTTCACTGTAGATGATGAATAATTATTTGTGACAAGTTGTAATTCCAAAATATTCCATCCCACACATACAGGAGCGCTGAGTGTCTTGCAGCTGTGTGATGAGCTGTTTCTATTTCTGTTATTGTTATTTAAATTGAGCTGATTCTTAAGAATTAATATAATAGTTTATGTCCTATGTGGTGGAGTACTGTCTCTCAAAGTCTTTCTTTTACCCAGTCAGGGCTTGTGGCATTGTTCTCTTGCTTTTCAGTGTTCTAAAATACTCTTACACCCTCTCAGTCTTCCGGCACGTCCGCTCCACCTGCCTCCGTTTCCCAATTCTTTTATTTGAGTCACTGTCGAAACCCAAAACCACTCGGTGTCTCCCTTTTTTCCACCGTTTCCGCCGCGCCCCCCCCCCCCCCCCCCTGCGTCCTCCCTCTAAATCCCAAAATTGCATCTTGGCTCTGCCATCGCACACGTCCTGCTCCCTTACACCCTACTCTTTGTTTGATGCAGTAATATCAGCACAGGCCTACATAAACTGCATCCGTGGTGATGCAGAGAAGTGAGGGGGCACCGCGTACCAACCACAGATCACACACACAGCTTCTGTGTGCACCCCTGAAGCATCCTGCACAGGGCCCGGTCTCATTCTAAAGCAGACATCTTATGTGAAAACCATGAACTGGACATGGAGAGGAATAGATGAGCAAAGAAGAAGGGAGCAAGACAAATGAACAGACAAATTCACACAATGTTTTCACTGTAGAGGACATCCTTTGGACCGAGCTGACCCACAGGCAGGCTGTACCGTAATGACTGTCTGCTTAGCAGAAGGTTATGGGAACTAATCTGACCCCCATGCCTGATTAATAGCTATTTATACACATACACACAGCCCAGTCATTTCCTCCTCAGATGCTGATCTGAGGGAATGTCCGATCAGTCTGAAACCCTCAAACTCATCGTTCTCCCCGTGTTTCTGTGTCTTCTCTCACAAGAATAATTTCCTTCAAAGTGCACGTTCCCATTGGAAAGACCCTTCCTCCGTGTGTTTTCGGTTTCCCTCATTGTGGCTGTTACAGTGCTGTGAGTCCGTCCGCCCCCATACTCCTCTTTGTGAATTTGTCATGAGTAGATGTACACCCACATCGCTGTTTAGAGAGAGAATTTGAGAAGCCCTATAATTTAGAGTAGACAGTGGAGGAAGGAGTGCACGAGGGAGGGGGCATCGAGGGGGCAAAGGGAGAACTGTTGTTGAGGCCTGGAGGGGATGGGGTTGGTTTACAAACAGTTTGGCTCAAGTCATCTTTCCTAATAGTTGTGTGGATTCCGGATAAAGAAATCCTGAATCAAACTAGAAAATGTCTCTTTTGGCATCTGTTGATAGTAAGAGTTGTTCAATCTTAAATAGCCAGCAGAACATGAGAGCACCAGATTGTTTAGGCACTTGTTAAGTAACTTCTAATGGTGATTGTCACATCCTGGCTCCTGGGCCATGATTGAAATGGATGGAGATGGAAATGTAGATGGCACGTGTGATTTATTTGTGGTTCAAAAACACAAAGAAATAGCGCTCCCAGTGAGGACTGGGACGGACGGGTCTTGAATACAACTGGGGGACTGGCCAGGTGCTCCCAGTTGCGCCGACAAGCTCCTCCATGGACCTGCAAGACAAGACAAAGGGACCAGCGCGCGCATACACACAACACACACACGGCAGGCACTGCTCGACACCACAGGGCCGACAAGAATTATAATGTTGTTTCAGAGCCAAAATGCCGATATTTACTCCCAAAGGTATCTCTGAAGTTCCCACTTTTCATCTACTAAGGAGCCACGTCCTTGTGTGAGAGTGAGTTTCACAGAACCGTTGTTTGCTTGAACCGTTCAAAACAGCACTTTTTCTTCCCCGTGTACCCGTGTGTTGATGTGGCATTTCACATGTGTGCACAGAAGTGAGTTATTTTTAATGTACATACTGGGACCATGTCGTTGTATGTAGTTATGTGTGGTGATTTACAGTTTTTATAAACTATGGCGGCAACGCAACCGCTTCATTTCCAAGACCCCTTTTGTCTCTCACCTGCTGCACTGTATCATCCCCCGTGTTCCTCAAAGAGAGTCAGCCTAGAAATCATGACTCAAACGAGCCCTCGCTTGCTTTCATGGGCACATCAGGCGATATGCAACACCTACACATGATGAGAGTGCAGAGACAAAGTGGCAGACCCCCTGTAGCCAACTCCCCTTTGCACTCTCTGTCTTTAATGTATCTATTTCTCTTCTACTTTTCCTCTCCTCCTCCTCTTCTCCCTCCCTCCCAAACCCATGCTGTGCAGAGGGGAGATTGACACAGCATCCTCAGCCTGCGGCATGCCAGCACAGAGGAAGCACGGCGCGGGCAGGATTAGAGCCAGCGAGGGAAGCAGCAGACAACAGGGGATTCAACGAGGAGAAGCAACGGGCATGAGAGAATGAAGAAGAAGCGATGAAGAGGACACTAAACGAGAGAACGACTGAAGAGGGGAGGGAGAGTCTCACAGATCGTGAGTTTAAGGCTGTGCGTCCTTTTTGCCTGGAATAGTGATTGTTGAAACGTACAACCAAGTGACAGAACACAGCAACCCCCCTTTGCAGGGTGAGTGTCATTTATGATTAAATTGTGTATTTCAGTATCAGGAGACATGCACCATGTGGTTAGATCATGTTTTTTATTTGTCACTTTGCACTCCAGATGACAGACATTTAGAGCCGTTACAGTTGTAGTTTCTGTGTTAGACATTATGTAAAAGCACTGTGTCACCCAGACTGTCGCTCAGGCACTGGGAATAAGGCTGCACCTGTTGATCGACTGGAAACATTTATTTTTAAATGTCTCTTTTTATGTCATATGAAGTCCTGTTGGTTTCCAGCTTTTGGGCAATTGTGTAGTTTACTATTATTTTTGTTAAATTTAAAATACATCTCTACTCTCCAACAGATAAATAGATGTATAAATAATCAGCTTGTGACTTGAATCCATACAAAAAGAAAGAAATATCCAAAATAAAACCTCCTTAATAAAATCTTTCATCTGCTTTAAAAAAGTGCAACGTCCCATTACATACGTCCCGTTACAGGAAACAAGGTATGAAGTGAGGTGGATGTAATGTGAATTAATGTGAATGTAATTAATCTACTTTGCATGATCACCTGGCTCTAACCTAATATCTTGATCCAGACAACCCGGTGAGCATTGACCAGGACTTAAACAAACACTTCCACTGAGACCTTCTCTGTCCGTGTGTCCAGTGGGCGAGCATCCAGGCTGAAGCTCAGATGGAGACACAGGCGACCCTCCTGAGAAAGAAAGACTTTCACCTTTAAAGTAAATGGATGTTACTTTGCTTTACTTTGCTGACGTGTCATAAATGTTCCCTTTCAGTCAATCAATTATTTCAGTCAATCAATTACATGAACAGGGAAATACAATATGTTTAGCAAAGATTAAAAATGGACAACATGGGAAAACGAGAAATGTGAAATGAGGCCAACGCGGAGGCTGTCGGGGATGCGACGGTAGCGTGGGAATCATTCTTCTCTGTGGGTTGGCTCGTGACAGGCAGAGGTGGAACCAGGGTTTTGTATCGCTCAGTGTTATACAAAAAAATCATACAAAGCAGTTCTACAAAAGAAAACGAGGGGAGAGAACAGTGGAGCTGGTCAGAGGAACACACAGTCCCAGCATCCCAACACAAAGGCCTGAGTCACTTTAGAGACGGACTCAGCAGGTCCTTCACTTGGGTGAATTATATCACTGATGTTTTGCAAAAATGTGCTTCCATTGATAGACAGAATTTATATAACAAGACTATTCTGCCAGTAGTTCATCGGCTTGACAATCAGATCCAGAAAATAAATCCTGTCGAGGTTACATAATTTGCCTTTGAAGGCACCAGGTAATTGATACGCAAACCTTTCACAGACAGTGAGGCTTAATTGCTCTTTTCTGTGACCACTTACGACCAGCTTGTAACAGCACAGGAATGACCAGTATGCATAAATACTCCACCTCAGCTGCCATATCTTCCAGACATTAATGTTCAAGTATTTCCACTTAGAGAGTAGAATTTATTATTGTGGCAGATGTAATAGTGTGTCTAATGATGGGAGATTACAAGAGGTTTTAGGAGAAGTTGACAATGCATCTGAATTTCTCTATTCCCTCAATTCTTTTGGGATTAACAGCCATGAAATTCCCACCTTTGTTATTCCAAGGAGGCCGATTATAAGTCCGCATCTGCAAATGTATGAGATTAGAGAGGAGTGAGTCACACATGGACACAGTGAAATAATTCCACAAGTGTATTAGTGTTAGTTCAACACTAATGAATCTACTGTAATGTTTCAAAGGCAGGACATAAGTACGTACACAGTTAAGGCTGCAACTGGCAATACATTTTTTAATGAAAAGTAAATATAGTTAATACAATTTTATTTGTTTGAGCAACAGTCAAAATTTGAATTACACTTTTTTCTTCTCGAGCCACTCAATCACTTCAGGATACAACCTTGTATATTTGCTACATCTCAATTTACTTTATCCTTCTATTAATTGATATTGCTCTAATATAACACAACCCCCGAGACAAGATGCTCAAAAATCTCAAATCCAAACTAGATATACAACCAAAGGTAATGCTTACAGAGACGTCCACTGTGTAAAATATTATTCAGAGCTTTCTGTATTTAGTGAACTCGTCGTTCCCTCGGTGTCCTGGGTCAAATCATAAATAGATAAATAGGATAGAGAAAAACATCAAAGCTTTTGGAGAATGCTTTCTTGACCCAAGTCTTCACAGATGTCTTTCAGCCTTATCTGCATTGTCCCTCAGTAATATGGATCAAAGGGAAGAGTCACCTCTTGTCCCTCATTCAGAATCTATTTAAGGTTTAATGTAGATTTTGCATTGCTGCACATTCTCTCATCCCCTCGCTGCCTCCCTCTGTGATACATGTTATAAGAGCACTTAACACTGTATTCTCGCCCCCTTTTCACCATAATGTCTCTGGTGTCTCTCTCCACTGCTCTCTGTCCCCCAAATGCCACAGGAGATGTGTTCCCATGGAAACCAGCTTCACTGAAGGTCCCAGTATTACCTGCATGGTGACCATTAACTGTTTGGTATTGTGTCTACCGCCATCATTACAGGTTATAAAATATTTCCACCGAGATGGAGACAACACTGATGTTGTAGCTGGTTGTATTTTCCTTTATCAGCTCGGAGGTTGGAGATATTATTCTTACAGCTGCGTAGCTTGGGACAACAGAGCCAAAAACAAATGACATCGCCTCCTGGTGTTCAGTAATTTCACGTCGAGCTTGTTCATTCCCTTAAAAATGCCTTAAGTACATGAAGAAAAAACAAACAGCTTCCACTGCAGGCTTTGCCTTGGATTCACTGTTTGCTATAAGGGAAAGTTTATGTGACAGGATTTTCTTTGTGTTTTCTGGACAGACAGTTTGTGTAAAAAAACATTTACGCCGGGCTCATGTTTAATATTTACGGTTTCTTTTGGTGTAACACAAGCAAACACTTTGGTTTGTCTGTAATTACAAATACCAGATGTCTCCATCATGTACATGAAACCGCTACTTACACCCACATACAACGTTCCCCCTCGGTTCTCACGAGTACGGCCGCTGTTCCTCAGAACAATCAGCAGAGTCTAATCATGCACATCTTCAGCTCACGACTAGACTGGAGACACAGACGCACATCATATAACTAGATGCAATGCAATGAAACCGTGTACATTTGGGTTTTCAAAGTTAAGGAGGGAATATTTTGCAGTTGTAAAAGTGTGCCTTCCTTAATCGAAAGCTCTCTGTATTTTCACGAGCTTGACCCCCATTTATTTAGATAGTGGAGATTTCACATGGTTCTGTTTCTCTCTTTCTCTTTCCTGCAGTGGTCTTCTCAGTGGTACCAGCACTACCTCCTTAGCGGTGACCTGACCTTTGGGAGCAGGACATGGTGCCATGGGAACAAGTAGGTTCAACAGGTGACCGATTCGATCCTCAGCTGCCAATTGTACTTTTAAAATTCTTAATCTTATTAAGTTGACTTTTGGAGTTTTTATAGATGCCTAAATCTGCTCCTGATGTTAAGCATCCCTGTGTTACCGTTAATTTGTCACCTAGTTTGATGAAGTCAGTTTAAAAATGTAAACCAAATGACAAACTAATAATAATAATAAAAAGGATCTGAAAGTAGCAATTCTTAATAGAGGGTGAATCATAGGCTGACTGGCTTTGATATATATATATATATATATATATATATATATATATGTATGTTAATCAATTTAATGTGTGCATCAAAGGACATTACAACAGATGCTTTACAGTACTGTTGGTTTTCTTTTGTAACAATCTCTTAACACAGCCGGTAAGAATCGGCTTGCCGTTTTGGTGATCTTGTCGGGGTGAGTCAGGACCGGCTCAGGGATATTTACAGCGAGCACATCCTCAGAAAGGCCAAAGCCGCCCTACACCGTCCTGACGAGCTTCAGGCACCTGCAACAGATCGCCCAATAAGGGAACAAGAAGACCGAAGGCTGTTGTTAGTAATGGTCATCAATAAGCTGGACATTGAATAGTTTGCTCATTATGCCTCATTAACAATATTTCTTTCCATCTCCGCTGTCAGGGTTTGCATGTGTCATACTTTTTGTTTCCTTTTGTCTGTCTCATTGTTCTCTGTTTGGTAAAATGTACTTCCAAGACTCAATAATTGAAAATTAACTGCATGGAGAAAATGTATGGTAGAAAAAAACAAAAGACCTCTCCTTATAAGTGAGCTAACGAACGATTAAACAAGGGTGTCATTGTTCATTTATATATAACTGGTCACGTAAATGTTGGTCCATCTCAAAACGGGTTGTCTGACACTGACTCAGATATAATCCTGTAATCTGTGATAACCGGCAATCCTTCTCACGGAGCTGAACTCACCTTCCCAGAAGGTAATCCTCCATGTAACAGAAAGAGAGGCAGGTTAGGTTGATCGATACACTAAGGTGACCGGGAGTTAGGTCAATTTGAGTATATGGGATTGTGAATTAAATATATATTGTATCACTGAGTTCATTGAGGAGTTTCCCCCTTAAACTGTGAGGTGGTTTCCTATTTGATACTGCTGATGACCTTTGTGTCCCTGATGAGTCAGGTATTAATCTTCTTGTTTCTGCCAATGAGACTGTACATTGTGTCTTTGGGTGCTTTAAATGGTCCCATAGAAAGTGCACAGGGATCAAGCTCTATAAATTGTTCCTACATTTTGCGTACACAATAATTTGGATGATGCTTTTTGAATCCTAATCTCCCCCTATCTGTTTGCCCGACAGGTACGGCATTGTGTTTCAGGCGATTTTACCAGAGGAGGCACGCCAGAAGATCTCCAGCTCCGGACTCCACAACGGCCACAGTTCCCTCAACATTGGACTGCAAACGGCCGCCACGCAGAGACAGAAGACAGTGGTAGGAAGACGGGAGCCTCTGCTGCAGTGCCCTGCAGAAGTGGACAAGGAGAGATGAACAACTACAACGGGAAGATCCTGACAAGGGGCTCCAGCCAAGCACGGAGCCGGTTTGTAAAGAAGGATGGACAATGCAATGTTCTGTCCACCAACATGGATGAGAAGAGGCAGCGCTACCTTGCGGACTTCTTTACCACATGCGTGGACATCCGCTGGCGATACCTGCTGTTTATATTCTGCGCCAGCTTCCTGGTCTCGTGGCTTTTCTTCGGCATCATCTTCTACGGCGTCTCCCTGGTGCATGGGGACTTTGAGGGGCAACCGGAGGCGAAAGCTGATGCGGTGGCGGGGCTGCACGGGCCCCCTTCCGGACCCACATCTGGCGAGCCGACACAAAGGATCCCCTGCATACTCCATGTCCACGGCTTTGTCGGGGCGCTCCTATTCTCCATGGAGACCCAGACCACCATTGGTTACGGCTGGCGCTGCGTCACCGAGGAGTGTCCCATTGCAGTGATGACAGTGGTCGTCCAGTCCATCGTGGGCTGCATCATTGACTCTTTCATGGTTGGCACCATCATGGCCAAGATGGCGCGGCCCAAGAAGAGGAACCGGACCCTTGTGTTCTCCAAAAATGCTGTCATCGCCCTGCGTGATGGCAAGCTGTGCCTCATGTGGAGGGTAGGCAACCTGCGCAAGAGCCACATTGTGGAGGCTCATGTCCGTGCCCAGCTCATACGTTCCTACGTCACAGCGGAGGGAGAGTTCATCCCCTTGGAGCAGATGGACCTCAATGTGGGCTATGACGAGGGCACCGACAGACTGTTTCTAGTGTCTCCACTGGTGATAATCCACGAGATAGATAAAGACAGCCCCTTGTACACTTTGAGTCAAGCTGATCTGGAGGCAGATGACTTTGAGATTGTCGTGATCTTAGAGGGGATGGTGGAGGCCACGGCCATGACTACCCAGTTCCGTAGCTCCTACCTTGCCAGAGAGGTCTTCTGGGGTCACAGGTTTGAGCCTGTGATTTATGAAGACCGGGACCGCTACAAGGTAGACTACTCTCGCTTCCACAAGACCTACGAGGTACCGTCAACGCCCCACCTCAGCGCCAAGGAGCTCGACGAGGTTGCCAGTCGGGCCTCATGCGCCGCCTCTCCAGCCTCGGCCTACAGATCCAACCAAGACTTGATTCCCAGATCCCTGAGCGCCTTTTGTTACGAGAACGAGGTGGCACTGAGCTGCGGGGAGGACGAGGACGAAATCTTCGACTCCCAGATCGTGGGGAAGGAGAGGGCAGAGGAGAGGAGGGCTTCAGTGTCTGCAGACTTTCAAAATAAGTTCCAGGACACAGCGACATCGGGCAGTCACAGCGTCATGTGTGTTCTGGACATGGACAACAACCAGATGGAGTTTGATATCCTACAGACTGCAATCCCTCTTGATCCAGTGTCCTATAAGAGTGAGCAAGACATCTAAAGATATTTGTCCCTCTTATATTTCAACACAAATCCTCCAAGGTGAAGGTTACGCTTGGTGAAGTTTGCATTTGCATCTCCAGAAATGAAAACCCCCTTTGCCTTGTGTGTGTTGTTTTACATTTATATTCATTTGTTTTTTCTTCTCAATGCGATTAGAAATGACAAAAAAGTACACATTTCTGAATAACATTTGGCACTTGCAACTGCAAAACTTCAGAGAGCCCAAAATCTTCAACCAGACTCAGGACAAGGCATCTGACGGGCTTTTGTAAGGAAAGTACAAAGGCGGTAAAATAAATCATGTTTTGGAGTGTTTGTACATTTTCACAGTTGAAGGAATAATTTATACAAGATTCATTGTTTTGTGGATGGAAACAAGATATTTTATGAAAGCAATTGCCGTTTGGAGGAAATTCTGTTGAGAGAGAAATGAGGTCACGATTTAAATGGTTGATTAAGAGAAAATGCACTGTCTCAATGTATGCTTGATCTCCATGTTATTAATCCTGCGATAGTTCCCTGCAAAGCCAACCGTTTGTGAGACTGTCAGTTTAGTATAATCTTCTTCCAGGAATTTATAAGAAATTCTCCCTTTGTTTAGTGAGAAACTACTGTTGATTTTGTTGTGTAGTATACTGTTGCATTCTTATGTGCACCTACTGCCTTTAGAGTCATGCATCTATCAGAACAGTCGACCTGCTGCACCAGATGACCCTACAACTCTCTTTTTTTAAATTCCTTGTGTTTGGGGTTTTCAATCAATCAATATGAACATGAGACCGACATTTGTAACAAGCTTTCATGCAACACTTGCTGACATCTAGTAACACTTTATGTATTACATACACTGCCAGCTAAAGGAAAATTTGATATTATGTTTAACATTTTCTAAAAAGCTATGTATTCATAAATGTGATACAAATACCTGTTTAAGTAATATAAAACACTTTGAGGAGGTACCTCTGACAGACAGAAGTACCGTATCAACTATAAAATGTACAGTATATGTACGTATTTTGTAGGCTACAAATGTTTAACTGTTTTATAACTCTTTTTATGAGTGCTCTGAAATTAAAAGCTTATTTTTGATGCTCCCAAAATCTCGGGCTGGTATTGTCATGCCGTGCTCCAGGTACTGGCTCACTGATACCGTTTTTACGGCTGCACCTGAAGGAGCCATTGTTAGGGTCATTAGTTCCACCTGTGCGATTAAGGACCTACCGCTCAAATCCTAATAAGACACAGCGGTTTTTATATAAGTATTTTATATTTTAACATGGGTACAAAGGGGGAGCCATCAAAATACAATCCAGATGTAATGTAGTGTAACCGAGAGATAATTTGTTATATTTACTGGCTGCTTTGTATAATTCTAATGATAAAGATGGACTGAGCAAACTATTGTCCACAATGAGAAGAAAGAAAATCATAAAAGCACTTTATCCTTCCCTGTATTCCTTTTGATGTTGCAAATAAATATTTACATAATTCTGCTTGTTTCTCTCTTTTTTTAAATCCTGGTAAAATGGTACATAAAACGCATCCTCTTTTCAAACGCAACTATGAAAGCTGAAGCTCCAGAGCCACTAGATGTCTCTGCAGCCATTTCTATTGAAGAGAGCTTTGGCACAATACACCGAACCCCGCGCTCCCTCTGGCGGTGTACGATGGAAGCAGAATGAGTTCCAACCTGCATCATGAAGTCCAAATCAAGAATGTTTGGAGAAAAACACACATGATAACTAATACCCCATGGAACAAAAGTTGGATTGGTTCTCTTGTGTGTGCTGGTATGAAAGCTGAAGCACATTGTGAATCGGGGCTCACACTGCTAACGCGTTGAATTGGCACCTCACAAGACACGACATGATGGCGCCCTGGTGAATTCTCAATGAACAGTGCAGATGGCTAAACTGATCCTAAAAAGACCTCACATATCTGATGACTTAATGATGAACTGTTCAACACAGTTTCTGTTTGCAAAATGAATGTATTATAAGTATTTTTGCAGTGGAGGCCTGTGACCCTCTGCTGGCCGGTTTCAGTAATAGGGTCAGAATTTATTTTTGTTCAGTTCATAAATGCCACCAACAAATCTCCGGGTATGTCCAGATGTGGAAACATTATCAGTCAAAGGTTTTTAGCATGTAAAATGTAAATGTTTTTAGATTATTTGAAATAGCAGAAAGCCAAAAGGACACAGGTAAACTATAAAATGAGAATATCAACATAGATACATTGTTTCCCAAAAAGCAGCTTCAGACATTGTGGACACATTTCCATGGTCGATATGTTGTAGATTCACAGTTTCTCTCCTGTGTTTTTCAGCTTGTGTTACTTTGAGCAGGAGAAGCAAGAGAAGAAAGGGAAGAATTTGAAAGACACTGAAGACACCGAACCTCCGAACATCAACACTTGTTGACAGGTGGATCAGAAGCATCTATCGGGGGAATTTGGCACTTATGCAGTAATTCCACAGCAAATCTCAGGTGCTGCTTGAAATAAAGACTCCTAAGGAATTTGACTGAAGGTTCAGTGAGGCTTAACCTCCACGCAGACAGAACCAGGCTCACCGCGGCTCATGTGAAACGGGCTTTGGGGCGCAGCTCACCACATGTCCCGACCCCCTGACATTTGGAGGATATCAGCACTGCATTTGAACAAAAAGGTACTTTCCTCACATCAACATGTAAAGTATCTCCATTTCCCCCCCGTAATTAAATCATTTCTCTCTGGATTTTAATCAAGTTAAAATCACCCTGTTTCAGGACAAGAGACTTCCACTTTCAGGTGGTCCTGCCTTCATCTTCCTTTAATTACAAACCCCCCCCCCCTCCCCCCATCCCTGTCTTGTCAGGTTGTCGCTGTTCCCATGCCCGCACATTGGACCTCTGAACCTCGGGAGAACTGGAGAGGCATTTCTGTCGGTGGAGGAAAAGATGAAAAGAGGGAAATGAGGAGGAAGGGGCAAGCTGCTCAGTGACCGAAGGCCTGGAGGCTATCGGCTTTTCATTAGCCGGTAAGTGAGTGAATGGCTGCGATGGGCGCGAGGGGAAGAGAGGGGAAGCCACGCTGGGCCACGTCGGCTATTAGGGTGATTTGGGGGCTCCCACTGACTCCCATTGTGCATTGTCTCCAAAGTGAGCAACCAGGGCTCAACAGTGAGCCTTTGTGTGGGGCATTTAACTGCCTGTTAGCATACTAATTATGGGATGTGTATGTGTGTGTGTGTGTGTGTGTGTGTGTGTGTGTGTGTGTGCCTGTGTGCGTCCATCATCTTCTCGACCTTTCCATCCCTCCGCCTCTCTCTTGGGATTTGAACTCCTCCAATTCCTCTTCCCGTGTCCCATCTTTACTATCTTTCCCCAAGGCAGTAATGCACCACTGGGCTCTCTGCTGCGAGTTTCCCCTTCATGTGATTTTCTTCACTTCTGTCTTTATTTCTAAATCTTTGTGCTCCAAGTGTCTTTTTTTATTTTTATTAATCAGCTGCCTCTGATTCGGCCACGCTTGAATCCGCTCCGCTCTCGCTCCGACATTCAAACAAGCCTCTCTCACAGTTAGGGAGGGACATTGTCCTCACACTTAGCATGTGGAAAAACCCCGTCTTTCATAAGCGACAACGTCTCCTGGAAGCTTTTTTGGGGTATCTGCGTTGTTTTCACCTGTCTACCTGCTGCCATATCGGGGGTGTAGGGTTACAGATTCCAAAAATATTTTAGGTCAAAGGGAGCCATCTTAGAATGGAGAAGACCAGCACTGTCAACACAACAACGTGTTACAATGCATTCAAAAGAAGTAGTGGGTTATTTCCTACACTCCTGGCATGTGGTATATAACACGGGTGTTTAGTTAACTGTATCCAGGTCTGGATTGGTAGCCAGGTAGCGCTGTGTAAACATCACTCTTTATTAAGATTAAGATACTGGATTCCTGTTTCAGGGTCATTTACAGAAATATTCAGCAAAACATTTGGAGCCTCCCCTCTAAAAACGTCTCTGTTGTACAAGAGGATATGCATGTACCCAAACAACGGGCTTACTCAGTAGCTTTTGCTTGTCTAGAAAATAGAAAATACACCCAAAAGACAACGAGGCTCTCGACTAGAACGGCTCTTCCTCCCATAGGATGGAAGCAAGCCCCATTTAGACATTTGGATCAATGTTTTAATATGTTTGTGTTCTTAAAGATTATGACATGAGTTCTTAATGCTCTCTGAAAAGATTTTTCTTTGTGGTCTGAAATAGCACTGCTCATGCCATGTTTTTGTGCACTCTCACAATCCTTTGTTGTGAATAACTTTAAATTTATTTGGCCAAAGAATTTAAGCGACGAAGAGAAGCCTTCCAACACACACACACGCAGCCTATGTGCTGCATACTTTCAATAAACGTAAAACATGTAAAGATAAGTTGATGCCAGAATACGTTAGTATAAATAATATGTGTATTACCAACCTATAACCAGCTTGACTTTTGCTAGTTTAAAAAAAAGCACGACAGGCCAAAACATCCAGACATCCATTCAAACTGAACCCTGTCAGGTCTCCATCTCCCCTCCATTGATGGATCTCTGCATCCCACCTCAGCGCGGACACTTTTGGTGTCCATGTAGGTTAGTGAGTCAACCAAACAAATCAACGGGCTCTGATGTCACTGGTAATTTAAATGGGATTATCGTACCTCATCTGGATGAAACACAATGCACGGTAACAAGCGTCTCTCTCTGAGCACAACAAGGGCGTCTTTGTTTGATGGGCCTGATAACCTGAACCCAAACTTCTAATAGAGATGCTTTCGTCTAGACTGAATGGGAGTGACTCGGTTACAGGTGCGGTAAATAAATAAGAAACATCCTGCTCGAGCTGTAAAGCCCTGCTGCAGTTTTTTCATGCAGGTGTATTCCTGTATTTATCTGCTGTGTCTATGCACGCATAGTCATGCACAATGTATCATTCACTTAGAAGAGCATTTGTTCACATTGTTCACTTCCTCAGATGAACTGCAATGGACTTTTTAAATCACATTTTTTTCATTTCAACTTCTCTCAATTTTAATGTTTTGTTCATTACAAGTACTCTCTTTCAACTCACATTTTGTACCCTCATACTAAACAGATTCAGGTTCCTTCTCGTATTTTTCTTCACATATGCCCTGTCAGAGATTAATCTTCATTATGTACTGGGCAATAGAACATTTTTTTAATTGTCTATTGTTGTCTCCTGATCATGTTTGATGTTTCTGTCTGTAAAGGACTTTTGTTTTTCCAGTTTGCAGCAAAAGTCACTGCATGCACATGTGACTGGCTGCGTGTCTGTGTGTGTTTGCCTGTCAACTGATGGGTACTTAAATGCATTTCTTTAAGCAGTTTGAGCGTCTGGCTGTATACTGTGTGTGTGTGTGTGTGTGTGTGTGTGTGTGTGTGTGTGTGTGTGTGTGTGTGTGTGTGTGTGAGCAGCTGTGGGCCCAGCGTTTGAACCCCAGCTCACATGGGCAGAGCGAGGGAAGGCCGCAGGGTGAGAAGGCAATGGGAGAGAGGACTGATGTCCGACAAACTCGCCGTCTCCCGCTCCCCTTTCATCTCCCTCTCCCAGCACCGAACAACGGACTCTTTCATTCAGGCATCTTTGCGGCCAGCCGCCCCCAGACCCTCCAGGCCCCCACCCGTTCACGCTGCTTAATTCAATGTTCCGAGAAAAACTCATGATTGGAAAGTGACTCTGTTATCCTCCTTTTTTCCATATCTCCTCCTGAGAGGCATCACCCCTCTTCCTGCTCTCCCTCGCTCTGTCAAAACTGCTTCTGTGCTGTAAACACGAAGGACGTAGAACCCGGGTCGAGCCTCTCTCAGAGCTACACAGGGACGGTAAAAGGCATCCAATGATTGGTACAATTAAGATGGTACAGCATTACATTGATCCATCTCCACATCAGCAACTACATTTAGCAATACCAGAATAAAGATGTGCTCCATTACAACATTAACTCCTACGTTAAGTATTGCACGATGTATTATTGTATAATGTCATATAATCGGTTTATTAATAGTGATGCATTATAACGCTACACTTATTATAGGGTTACTGTCACTTTGTTACCGAAATGCATAATGTTCAAAAATAATGATGGCATTAGGAATAGTATTGGTGTGAGTGGAAGAACACATTGCATTATTAATATCAATCATGCAATCATTTCTAACAATGCATCCAATTGTGTTTCCTATGATTGTTTGCAGCAAAGCGAGTTCAAAGCACTAAATCCTTCTCAAACGTAGTAAATACGGAAGAATATGAAGACACATGAAATGTTTTGAAGAGCAGCACAAAACGCTTGAGCAGTACTCAAGATACAGTACATGAATAAATGTACTTTCCACCACTGTTTGCGAGTATCTGAAATGCATATTTTTGTTCTCAGCTTGCAAGACGTCAAGCTAAATTAGATATTTAATGAGATTTCTTTTTGTTGTGACCCGGGGGAGATTCACTTAAATCGGACATCTTTAGAGAGGCATATCAATGCTGTGTGACGATGTTCCAAACAGCAACCAGCCAGCCAGACGTGCAGCAGAAACATCCTCACAGAGGACACCCTTGTTCCCAGCGGAATTCTTGAACATCATTTTCTGCATTTTCCTGCAAATGACTCAATCTCCACGTCCCTCGCCTCTCATTCCGCCCAATTATCATTTGTCAAGCACGTCCCCTTGGTCCTGCAGAGAATGGTTGTTTGGGGTTTTCCAAATCTTGCCATAAAATCTGCTTACATGTGTCGGGATGTGTGAGGGGATTGTACAGACAAAATCACCTTCACATGAAGCGAGGTGGACTTAAAAGAATAACGTGATTGATTGAGCTCAGAGAGGGAGAGACACAAGGCGACATTGAGGATTCCCTTGTTCTCCCTGAATCTGCCTCTTTTTTCTCTCACCCCTCTGGTTGCCATCACAGCTGCAGCAGGGTTCTGCGGCCTCACGGCTTTACCGGCCTATTTGATACAAAATCAGTGTGTTAGTGCCTCTGTGGCCGAGTGTGGGTGTATAAAAAGTTAGCAATGTAAACCTGGATTGGTGCATTTAAAGGTGAAAAGGCCACGTGTCTCGACGGGGCATAAACACTTAGACACCAAAAGCAAAACCTCACAGAAAGATCATTCTTTTTGTCAAACTAATATGTCTTATATATGTCCTTTTCCGTGACGTCATCATAGAACATGACGCCACCGAACACACAGACACATTAATACACAACTCTTAACAGCCCCACTGCTGCTCTATCACGGATATTTTGTCATGCTTGAACTTCAACTGAACAAAAATAAGATGCATGAAACCGTTCCCTTAATCACAGGGGCTGGTACACTGTGCCATCTCATCACCAAGTTGTATTGAAGTGCCACAAGCCAAACACAAGCATGGAAAAGAGTCACTGCAGTGCTTTGAGCTAAATGCTAATGCCAGTGTACTAGCATGTTCTCAATCACAGTGCTGACATGCTGGTTTCGCAGGTATAAAGCCCAACGTCTTCTCCATCTTACTTCAGCATGCTGACATTTGTAAACAATGTCCATCTGAGGCTGATGGGGATGTCATTCATTTTCAATTATATAGTCATAAACCATAAGCTAGATGTTGGTGCTGAGTGAAAAATCAGGGAATTCCCAAAGCGAGGATGCTTCTTCCTCAACAGGAAGCGTCAGAGCGTCATGAGGACACATCAAGGAACAGCAACGCCAAACGCAGCGTGATGAGCAACAAATGAGCACAACACCAACTGCTGAGAGTGTGAAGAGAAAAGGCAGGTTCTCAAAAGCAGGCCGAGGGATGATTACAGAATACCAGCAGGGATCAGCAGCAGGTAACTCAACTCTCCCGCTCCGTCTCACCTGGGACCCTGAGCCCAATACCCCGAAACACGCCAACCTCCCCCACACACACCACCTCAACCCCGTGTATCCGTTTCCTTTAGATGTTCCCCCTCACACAATTGAAGTAACTAGAGTATTTCCTTTGGCCGGCCAGTGGAGATATGGAGCAGAACCCACAATGGGCTATTCATTAAGGTAGCAACACACACACACACACACACACACACACAGACCACAGACAAACGTCTTACCCCATTCATCTCCAACCGACCAGTAGCAGCAGTGTTCATCACATGTTTACCAACCATGTCCCTTTGTAACATGCAGACACACACACGGGACGCATTCATTATGCACACACACACCCACACACAAGCACACAATCTCACAAAACTATACAAAAATCCATGCAAATACGTGTACATTTGGCACACACAACGTCTCAATTTACACTCGAGCTGCAGTGAAAGCTCTTCAAAATTTATGCCAACCCCGAACACACAAACACACACACACACACACACACACACACACACACACACACACACACACAGAGTTTCTATCACTCCTCCCTAACCAGTAACTTAGAGAGAGAGAAGGCGAAAACAATAAAATAGGAACATGATATGAGCACAAAGACAGGATTCACAGAGGTTCGAGCGGGTAAGAAAGTAACACAGCTGCATGAATTTGGGAAGACGGATGGGAAGAGCGACGAGCTCAGGAAGCATTAATGAAAGGCTTGATTTTTCTTATGGCCCATAAACAGGATCCGTGAAATTTGAATTGGGGATGTAACTCATATTTATTACCATTCGAGAATAATCTATAAATGATTGATTCTTAGTTAGTTTCGGCCTTTCGGCTCGGTAGGCCTCTAAAACGGTGAATTGTTCAGACGAAAAAGACTCTGAATCGCTACCAGCTCCAGCTGTGAGGTTCTACGTCTGACCCTGACCTTTGACGTCCCAGTCCGGCAGGGAAATAAATGGCAATCCATCAGTATCTCATTTGCTGCTTATATTTCAAAGTATAAGTTGATAGCGTTTGTAATAACTTAATAACTGCAGCCCACCGGATCCCTTTGCACGCTTGACTGATTCACTTCAACAAGCAAATTTGGACACACCTGCTCCATCCTGCACAGGTGCAGAGAGAAGAGAGAGAGAGAGAGGGAGAGAGAGGGAGAGAGTCGCAGAGGAGGGGAGGTAGAGTATGTTTGTGAGCTAGACAGGGATATCAACAGATTTCAGGACCACTCGAACATCATTTCAAGGGTCACATGAGCAGATCGCTGCCTCTTGTGAGTCAGCAGGAATGTGTTTTTGCGAAACAGGCAAAAAGTGCGGCGTCTTTGCTGCAGAACGCCGTCTCTTGTTTCATAGCACACGACAAGTTTGGGATTTGGATTGGATTTCATGTATGGGAAACACTTGCTCTTCTTAACTTAATACCAGCAAAATAACTAGATACAAAATACAAAACAATTGGTTCAAAAGAATACAAGTTATAAACACAAGTTTTATTTAAACATTCTTAGATTTGATCGTGTTTTATGGGGCTGCAAAATCTATTTGGATTCCATTTTGTTGTTAATAAACCATAACAAATTAATAAAAAATATTTATAAAGAAAATGTTCTCCGACCAAAATATTCCCCAATTCAGTTTGTTAAATTCCAACAAATTTGTACATTTATAGTATATTTGTGTTTTGGTCCTTATACATGTCTGATAGCGAAGGGCATCCTAGATCAGCTAACAGCACTCACTTAAGCAGAATAGATAATAGTTTAAATAAATGTGACGTCAGGTCATTGTGGCCCTGGTGATCAGGTTGTAGACTCCCGGCCGCGTTGCCTGCGTTCGGCCCGGCCTGTAGACTGCTGACCGTTAGCTGCTACCCTCCATGTGCTGTGTGCTTCATAACAGACGCTTCTCTGTCACGTGGCAGGTTAGATTAGGCTTTTCCCCACCCGACAAGTTCTTCTCTGGGCTCTTTGTTTATGTGGAAAACTAATCCACTCCATTATAATTATCTTCTCGTTTCTTCGACGCAGAAAAGAATTTACGGTGAAAACAAAAACTACTTTTAAAGTGCGTCTCAGTAGTTGGATGTGTGCACAATGAAACCAAACACAGAGGAATTAAAGCTGAATGTTATCAGTTTTCCATATTTGTTGGTTACTTTTAAACGTACATTTTGCATGGTCAATAATAAGATGTTAATATTGTTCATTGGGACTGTTCAATAATGCACTGCCTATAATGTACTTTTGTTTGCAGGCCTTGTATTATTTGAATTAGACACACTTTTATTATTTTTATTTTGTTATTTTAGAAGTAATGGTTTTCTCATTGAAAATAATGTAAATTAAATTTCACTCCGATTATTTAAACCAAAGTGAGCTTTTTTAAGTATCAAACAGCTGCAAGACCAGACTTATACTGAATCCATTGTTTCCCTGAGAAATAACAATCTTGAATTATACGCATTAATCTATTTTAACATGGCAACATTTTATTCCTGTAAATGCAAAACAAACTTTATTCACCAACATGTTTAGCACTTCAGTAGCATTATCATGTAATACATTACAAATTAGTCTTCTAAACCTTTCATCAATCTTTAGAATTAATGTATTTTTTTCATTCTGAGTGACCTCAGCAAACTCTCAAGTCATCCATCATTTTTCGTTTTTTTTTATCAAACAAGATGCTTCTTCCCTTCTTTATCTCGGCCTGTAACCGCCTCTGGTTCTCACCAATGGATTATATATAACAAGAGGCTCGTCAGATAACACGAGTTATTTTTGAAGCATTTCAATCTGACCCAGTTCTTAACTAATGTAATCAACCAGCACCTTGTGGCCCTGGAAGCATGTGTGCCGTTAATTAAGCTTTTAAGTCCAAACAGCATCAATTTAAGTAGCAATGCATTTGTGGGGCCTGTTCACTTCTCTCCGTTTTAATTATCAAACACACACACACACACACACACACACACACACACACACACACACACAACCAGCACTCACGTCAAATCGAGGCCTCAAATCCTCCGCTGCGCAGGGGGAGCAAAATGTGTGAAGATCCCCGGGTTAAAGCTCCAGGAGCCGGACTTCCCCCACACGGCTCCCCGGGGCCCGAGTCCCCGCTCCGGGAGCATTTCTGTCGGTAGGTCAGTTTGTTGAGACGGACACAAAGAGTGGAGGAAGACGGGAAAGACGCAAGCTATTCCCTTCTCTCCTTTTCTTTTTTTCCCCCCACATGCACAAAACTGCTTTTTGTTCCCCACTTCTTCTTTTTTTTCATTTAAGGGGGAAGAGGGGTGCTCGTTTTGATCACATGATTACAATTCACCTGAGATAAAACAACGGGCGCAGCGTGAGGAGGGACGAGGGGGAGGCGGACAAAGAGACGCGCTCACGGCGGCGGGTTCCCCGTATCGCCGTCAACGTGAACGGATAATGAAATATAAAAAATAAAAAAAAAGTGGGGGTTTTGAGTCCGGGTGCCAGGGTGTCGCATGGCGGGGATACAAGGGGTCATTGTTGTGACATGAGAGCGCTCGTGTTTGTGTCCCCCGCTCGTCACGCCGTTTGAAAACGCGCTGCGTGGATCTCTGCAATCGGAAAACTCACGTGAGATTCGTTTCACTTTTACTCATTTTCTTCATAACGTTTGCCACCAGAATGGAGAAAGAGAACATAATGTCCCCTTTAAGATGTCCACATCCAAGTCATGACAGCACAGTGGACCCTCGTCAAAATATCATATGTCATAAGCCACGTGCAGAGTGTTTTAATCGCCTCACAAATTGATTTGTGCATAAAAACGAAACTTGTAAACCATTTTTTCTTTTTTCTTTTTTTTACATGATAATGCTTAATGCAAATCTCCCTAACATTTAAATGGGTTTAGAACTAAAGAGGAATGACCTGTCTACTTGACCCTGTTATAGGAGAAAACAATATTTTCTCCATCCTGTGTTCCTGCATGAAAAATGTGTGTTTGTGAGGTGTAGCTCGTCTCCATAGAAAGGACCAGGTCTCCGATAAAGCCAGGTTGTTGTTGTTGTTTTTAATACGTGCATTTGTCAGTGACGGAAAGGCCTTCGAGCATGTCCTGAAATTCAACCTCATCAAATGCTCCATAGGCGACACGAGAATATTTATATTATATGAAGTCCGCGAAACCCCCGAAGCGGCAAACTTAATGTCATTATTTATAGAATGAAATCTATACAATTGAATTAAAACTGTTATTTTCGGAAGAAAACAACTGTACGATATAAATACATATTGTAATAACCTTTTATCTGCATACAACTTAAAGCAAAGGGCACCTCGGTATGAACTTTCCTCTCCATTCCATCAAGTTTCATGGTTTCGTGTGGATGGATGAGAGAGGGAGCGGAGGTGGGGTGGAGTTGGGGGGTGGAGGCGGGATAGGGGGGGGGGGGGTGTTGTAGCCAATCGGAGATCCCCAACCCAGCATGGGCACGGCTCCTTTAAGACTCAACCTCCCCGGCTACTTTATACTTTTTTTTCCTTTTTTTCCTCCCTCCGCGGTCATACAAGGAGCTCTTTAAGCCTCGGCCCGGGCACACAGAGCGGGCATTCATAACAGGGCAGCGCGAGCGAAGGGGGCTCGGGAGCGAGCGTCACTTTTGGAAACTCGCGGATTCTCGTGCGAAACCGGCGACCTTCCTTTTCTCTCCACTGAAGTAAGACGCTCGGCATGTCCGACTCTTTCCTTTGCGCTGCTGCGGGCCGCTGGGACGCTTTGCAGATTTCTCCTCGCCGACTCGCATCTGTAGTCTTGTAACCAGGGAGTCGTTAGCGTTGCATTGACAGCCAGTGAGATTAGTGTGTGCCCCCCCCCCCCCCCCCTACCAAAATCCGACATGAGCTTTAAGAATCATTTTGATACCTTCGACATGGGTTGTTGTCATAGATGTCATGGATGCTGTGGCGCGGAATCCTATCAGAGCAACAAGTGCTCCCGCGGCTTCGTTTGTTATTTTATACAGCTGAGAGTTTATAGTTCGGACAGTCTTTTTTTATTACAAATGTCCTGCTAATTGAGAATAAAATAAGCTGTTCGAACAGAGACGTTTTAGAAGTATAAGATACCTTTAAATTAAACGGACATTAACGGCATTGGGGTTTGTTTTGCAGATGGGACAGACATGATATTGTGCTTGGTTCATTTGCGACTTTTGTTGGTTTGTTCTATGCATACTGTTGTTTTGAAGCAGTTTGGACTTGGCATCTAATCTGTTGTAAATCTAATGAAAAGAAATGTCCCCAAACAAGCAAATTAAGGCCAACTCACAGGTCAAGCGTGGAAAGTTCACAGAACCGAAAACCATTACGCACTTAAAATGTGCTCATGGATGTTATTGATAACAAGCACAATTAGGTTTTAACATAACACAACATATCAACAGATGATAAATCAAAAGGTAGAACGCTCAGTATTGAGTTCATTTCTCGCTTGTTCCTAATCTAAGGCACTTTATGGCCAGTTACTCAGCTGAAGGATTCTAGATCGAGACTATTTGTGTTATTTCATTAACGAACAGTGCGTCGTGCAAAAACAGGCAACGCGCGCGTAATGCGTCATTTGGTGCCTTTTACGCACGATGCTGTGCGGCAGCGATGCTTTTGAGCCCGAGGAGGCCTCGCGAAGCAGCTGGCAGGCGAATATCGTTATCGATGCGTATTGGACAGATGGAGCAGCTGTACATGCGCCTCTGCGGGGGAATTGATACGCATGATTAAAGTTTGACGTTTGGAACAAGTCGACTTTCATCCACACGACACAATCTGGCATTTAATGGATTGTTTTTATCATCTAAATATCAATACGTCTTGGCCAAATGTTTTTTTTTAAAGTATTTTAACCTTTATTCCTTACTCTACCTTAAAAGTTAAGTAACCGGAGTGTTAAGCGCGTAAAGCTATTTCATAATGCCACTGGAACGCTAATTTCTCTGCAACAGGACTCCGGTGTGCAAAACCAACCAGCGGCGTAGTGCGGTTCACAGGAAGTTGGCTGATTTGGGACGTAAAGTTAGCAGCATGGTGCGGATTTAATGGACAAAACAAGAACACATTTCGCCCCCGTCTGTGGGTCTGCTCCTGTTTAACAAACAGACAGTGTCTAATTCACACGCGGGGGTTTATATTTCCAGCGCCAGGCCAGTGTTTATCCAAGAGCGCGCAGAGCATCAATCCGAGGTCTGTGCTGCCGCGGCCTCACATCATTCCAACACTCCGTCTCCGGGGAGCTTGGAATAACTGCTAAACCCTAAACAGTACGTGTGTTAAAGGGGGGGGCGCGGGGTGGGGGCTACACAGGAGCCGGACCTCTGTAAACGAACCTTACATCCTTATTTTGAAGCTGAACTTTTATTTTCCTGAGCTCTACTTTTCCACATTTTTTGACATAATTCTTTTGGATCAGCTTTTTTTTTGCATAGATTTTAAGAAATATGCATTCCATGAAAATATTTTCAATATACTCCTGACATTTAAACCCTTCACATATCAGTGGTTGAGTGTTGCAGACAATGGAGGGAAAGATGGAGTCAGTGTGGAGACGTGGCCCACAAAGGGACTATTTAATGAGGGGGAAATCGTGTCGGACAATCCTTTCAGACCCAGTCTCATGTTTAATTACTCGGATGGAGAGAGAGACTAATTGTAAATAATGAAGCCCAAATATTCCCCAAAGTGAGGTCTTGACTCACGCTTTGATGTATTAAACTCACTAATCGATAACAGCCCCTCGTGCCAACGGGACACCTCGCGCTTGTTGCTGAACTGACGCTGCATCGTCCTTCATTTTCAGGTCCTCGCCGTTGGATTTCAACCGCGAGACAAGCGGAGGAGAGCGTGAAGGGGAAGTCAGGAGGGGAAGTGAGACCGGGTGAGTTTGGCGCACGGTTGTGCTTTAGCAGGTAAACTGGGGTCCAAGGTGCGCACTGAGCCGCCTATGATACCAAAAACACGGATGGAAGGAACTTTGATGTGGAATCCTCACAGAGTTTTGCAACGGAGGCTGAGAGTAGAGACAGACTGGCAGTTCATATTATAACTTGAGGGACGCCAGAGGGACAGATCGAACAGAACAAGCGGTCAGCCGACAACTCCAACAACAACAACAACAACACCACCAACAACAGCAATAGGGACAGGGACACAAGTGCAGGTGCAGCTCAGCATTTAGGAACAGGCCGAGCATCCTCTGCGTACCTCAGGGGGGTGGTGGGTGTCTAGGAAGATGTCCAGAGAGGAGCAGAGCATGTCGGACGTTGAGCTCAGTCCCGGCATGTCGGACGACAGTCGCTCCCTGTCGCCGGGCCATTCCTGCGGCGCCGCCGGCGGGGGGGACTCGCCTCTGAGCGCGCGGCAGCAGCCGCAGCCGGCGGGTCTGGACGACTCGGTGGCGGGCTGCTCGTCCATCAAATCCGAGGACGAGGACGAGCGCTTCCCCGCGGGGATCCGCGACGCGGTGAGCCAGGTTCTCAACTGCTACGACTGGACCCTGGTGCCCATGCCCGTGCGCGTCAACAACGGAAGCAAGAACAAGCCGCACGTGAAGAGGCCGATGAACGCCTTCATGGTGTGGGCGCAGGCGGCGCGGAGGAAACTGGCCGACCAGCATCCGCACCTGCACAACGCGGAGCTCAGCAAGACCCTGGGGAAGCTGTGGAGGTGAGGTGTCACGTTCACCTGAGGGAACTCGCTGTAGGTTATGAAGCCTGACCCAGCCTTCATATTAGAATGAATGCAATAGTGTCCAGAAAGCCAGTTATTGGGGGTGTAGTAGGGAGTACATCCTTAGTCAGCTGATCCTGTATTCTAAAAACATCCCCCCACATTGTTTTCTTAATTCCCCCTTTGTTTGTTTGTTTGTAGTCAATCATCTCTCTTCTGTGGGGTTTCCTTCAGGACAACATAGAGGATTACATTTTATTATACATTATACTCGTTTTAAGTAACAGGAGCTTGTGAACTGTTATGGAAAACACACAGGTTATTGTGCAGAAGCAGACCCCTCTTTTATTGTGTGTTATTGTTCGGATCTTTTTAGTTTTGCCTACAACAATGATAATTATCCAACAAGCTTTGACTTTTTCCGTGACTATTTGTGTAAGTTTAAGTCAGATCTTCCTAAACACATGAGACCTCGTCAACAAGATCATGTCGAAAGACATTCCAACATCGCAAATGTTTTCTGTAAATCAGTTTTACTGTACAAAGTTGATTTTTAGGAGACGTGGTTTCGACCTGTTTGAGAACAATTCGTATGTTTAGTGTGAACGTGCCACTGTCACGTATTCCTAATTTCATTCAATGTTTAATTACTGGCCGTGTAGCTGGATTAAGCAAATCTTGGCAATGTTTTTTGCACATATTTTAAGTACTAATCAAGTTTAAAGGCATTGCTTTTGAATTAGTATATTTAAATCCTTTTTTGTTTGTTTGATTGAATGCTAAAGCTTCGAGCCAGTTGTCAACACAGCTGCCTCTTGATCAATTCTTAAGGTTAAAAGATCCATCCAGTTTGGATATTCTCACAAAATCTCCTATTAGCTGAATAGAAGGTCAGAGAGGTTAAATTTTTTATGTTAATTAGATGAAGACTTGACCTTGAGCTCAGACATTATTGGCTAATTGGCCCAGAAACACGATGAACAGGGAGGTTGAGGGAGGTCAGGAGTTTCTCATGCCATTGCTGCCAGCAGCAATATTAAGGAGCAGACCTCATATGCTCCCATTATTTTATTACTGTCCAGTAGACAAAACTCCTGGAAGATATGAAGTTAGATGCAGCTTTGCAGAAGCAGCGAATGAAGCATAATGTATTACCGAGCAGTGCTGTTATGTGTGGAAGCTTGTTTTGATTCTTCATGCCCCGGACTTTCCCCTGCAGGCACAAAGAATTCATGTTAATGTGCATTTTACAATATTCACGTAACAATTAAATTCTAAAGGTTCTACATTGAGTCAAAAACCAAATGTACCAACATTTTTTATATTATGGTGTAGAATACATACATGCAATCATTATCGATACCTCTTCTCTGTAACCTAAACCAATCTACCAACGTTTTTTTCCTTTTACCCAAGGCTTCTTAACGAGAGCGACAAGCGACCCTTCATTGAGGAGGCAGAGCGGCTGCGGAAGCAGCACAAGAAGGACTACCCTGACTACAAATACCAGCCACGACGCCGCAAAAGCGGAAAGCCCGGTTCTGGGTCAGGAAGTGAGGCCGATGGCCATTCAGAGGGTGAGGTCAGCCACAACCAGCCCCACTACAAGGGCCTCCAACTGGACGTGGCCCTCATCAGAGGAGCCGGGTCCCCTCTGGCAGATGGGCACCACCCTGCAGGTGGGCTGCAGGCTCTGCCACAACTTCACGGTTCCTTTGTCACATGGTTTCCAGATTAGTCTGCATACAATGCGGCACAGTAATACATAATCGGTTGAGTCTTCCAGCCAATAAAAAACACTATAACTACATCTTTTCTTGTGTCTCCACAGGTCACAGTCCTCCCACCCCTCCCACCACTCCCAAGACCGAGCCCCAGCCTGGGAAGTTGGGGGATGGAAAGCGGGAGGGGTCTGGGAAGGGGGGCTCGCGTGGCGCGATGGGACCAGAGGGAAGCTCGGGCGCTGCGGGATCTGGCAAACCTCACATCGACTTTGGTAACGTGGACATTGGGGAGATGAGCCACGAGGTGATGGCCAACATGGAGCCTTTCGACGTCAACGAGTTTGACCAGTACCTTCCCCCAAATGGACACCCGGGGGTCGGGCAGAGTGCTGGGGCGGGAGCGGCCGCTACACCCTCCCCAGCCTCTCCGTACACCTACGGCATCTCCTCGGCTCTGGCGGCGGCCAGCGGACACTCGGCAGCCTGGCTCTCCAAGCAGCAGCAGCAGCAGCAGCCGCCGCTGCAACACCACGGCCCGTCTCTGGGCGCGGATCCCTCCAAAGGCCAGATCAAGAGTGAGGCCGGCGGTACCGGGGGTCACTTTGCAGAGGCGGCCTCTGTAGGTACCCATGTCACCTATACCCCCCTCAGCCTTCCTCACTACGGCTCTGCCTTCCCCTCACTGGCCTCCAGGGCCCAGTTCGCAGAGTATTCCGACCACCAGGCCTCGGGGTCTTATTACGCTCACTCCGGCCAGGCCTCGGGGTTGTACTCTGCCTTCTCTTACATGGGGCCCTCCCAGAGGCCCCTGTACACCGCCATCACCGACCCGGCCAGCGTGCCGCAGTCACATAGCCCCACGCACTGGGAACAGCCCATCTACACGACTCTGTCGCGGCCATGACAGACAACGAGACCAGAGGGCACTGGCGCAGGTTCCGCCCCCATGTCAGACCCGCGGAGCAGCGGCTCCAGCAGACGTGTTGGTGGCGGCAGGGGTGGAAGTGGGCTGGTCAGGGGGGTCTGGGCGGGCCCCGGGGGAGTCGGCAGTGGAGACAGGAGGGGAGAGACCCCGTTCTGCCCCTGCCCAGATACAGAAATGCCATCGCAGGCCAAGGTTGAGCATGCAGCGTGGTGCTTTCCAAGCGTGGTCGATCATTTGGGGAAATCGGTGTAAACGTGTCAGAGTGAATCACTTTACACCATTGCAGAGTTTCGAGCTAGATCGACTGCAGCCAAGACTCAGCCCCCCCAAACAAGACGATTGACAGTGTTCACAAGTGGTTTAGGATCATGTCCCTGTCAGTTTTGTGTATCAGAGGAGGCACTTTGTCGTCTACGCCATTCTCCCACAGGCCACCAGGGGTCAGCAGCAGCAGCAGAGGGCGGAACACATTGAGAATTAGCGAGACTTCGATCTCTACTGTGAAGGGTTTGACTGAGATGGAGCCAAATTCATTCTATTTCATGTGAAATAGTTATTTTTTGTTACGGAAGAATGCAGTGCCAAACTATTTGGCTGTGGCCCATTCACTTCTCAGGCGAGATTGATCTTATTACAGATGTTAAATTGTATTACTTTTAGGAAAATAATACAACAAATACTGATATGAATGTGTTGGTTTCCGAGGCACATTTGTTATCAATTCATTGCTTCAAATGATTACGCTTTGTTCACCTTTTGTACATGTGCATGGAAGCAAAATGCCATAAAACTATGTTGAGGTTTCGTGAAGTGAAATCTATATTCAGTCAAAAGAACGTTTTGATTATTATCAGGATAGTTTATATGATGTACTTGAAATTACAAATATACCTTTACTGATACATGCAGATTCCTGGTATTTGTAAAAAGACCAAAGTTGAGAGACCAAAACTTAAAGAGAAGAAGCTGATTATACAGACATTTCTCCCAACGTGACATTCAAAACTACCTTGCATTATATAGGAGACTAGTTTTCAATTAACTTTCAACATTTTTTCCAATGTGACTTATTATAAATGCCTTAAAAACATATTGGTATCAAAAGCTATTTTTGCCACAATGGCCCTGATGAGTGTGATGATTTTTATTAATGGACGCATTCATAAAGGGAAGAACCATTCTATTTGCATTTGCTATATCCATTTTCATTGACCATGGGATCAGGGATGAACATCAACCAATAATGGTAAATATACATATCCATGTATTATTTGGATAATTAAATCTCTCTCTATATATATAGCGAGAGCTGATATTAAGTAGCCAAATTGCTCTGTGCCAACAAACACAAAGAAGAACCAGCGTGACGCGCCGACTTGAGACACACGTGGTCGCCGGTGACGACGTTCTACGCGGCTTCAGAGGAACAATTGCAGATTAAAAGACAATGGGGTTTTTTTAAAGGGAAAGAACATTTGAAGCGTCAGAAGTGTTCTTTGTTGTGTGTTAACTTCCTAGTGCTGACGAATTTGGTTAAATCAGAGCTTAATAAGATATTAAATCCATCTTAGTACATCTCAGTCTTTCTGTCACTCAGGTGTGCAAAATAAAACACAGCTAATTAACTTTAGCTAAAATTAACCTTGACAGCAGAGAATGATCAGTTATCCTACTGGCTGTAAAAAAATCATTCATTCATCCCTCGTCGCAATGTGTCATAACATGCGTAGTAGAAGCATTTTCATTGTTCTAACTTCTCTGTATTAATATTGTTGAACTATTTTTGCACCCTGCCGTTTCTTTATATTTGTGTGTTATTTAACATGTGTATCAATATTAGATCTTTTGATTGTAGTTGTGTTACTTTGACCTATTTTTTTCTTGCATTTTAAGTACAGTTTCAATGTGAGAGACGCCAATACTGAGAATCAGTTGCAAGAAATTAAGCGAATAAAGCTTCCCACAGCAAAAAACATTTAAACCCAGCCTATTAAATACAAAATGTGCCTACTCCTTAAAAATACTTGCTGCATCGCACGTGGAACAGAGAGGTATATTTGATCTTAAATCAAATTTGTATCCTCTCATAATAATTAGTTCGTCTAGTTTTCCAAAGTGTTTTCTATCTTTGGTCTTTATAGTGTACCTTGTTTCCACATGTCATTTATTTCCATCATTTCCTAAACGGAACTCTATCTTAAGAAGAAAAAAAAAGTTCATTTATCTTTGCTTTATTTTTTGTGTATAATAATTAAATACATTTTATCACTACTGGACGCCGATCCAAACCATATGCATGCAGCACTGCTCGTTTTAATTCATAGTCCATCAACGCTTAAAGCCCATTCCTATATAACCATTTACTTTCAGCAGAAGAAGCTGTTTATTTTACGTCCTTGTTGCTATGTGTGAAATATGTGTTGTATTGCTACAAATTTCTTATTTATAATTGTCTTATTATTGTGTTTGCGCTGTTAGTTGTTTCTCTCCAAAATGAGGACAACATGTGATCGGTGCTGCCATTTTAGTATTCCACAGTTCCCATCCTTGTATAACTGTTGCCAGCACAACAAAACAACTTATCAAAGTAACACCAGGAGCGAAAGCCTAAACATGTGATGATGACTAATGACCTTTCACGCTCATTTGAAATAAAGCTCTATTATTCCTGCTTTGATAGATGTCTGCTTCTTGGAATTTTCTTTTTGTACGACCCAACAAATATTCCTAAAATGGGATAAAACGCATCAGTCAACAACACATCGTCGCTTAGATTCATTTAAAAGAAAATAGTTCCTTTAATGAACTAAACAAAATGTTGTCTTTGTGGCATCTAGAGACTCGACCCCTGCTCACACCCTCTGCATCACCCCGATGGATGAGTCCCTTTATCCCAGGTAAAGAGGACGCAAGCGACGCGGCCCATATGAGCCCTGTATGAGCGTGCGCGGCTTGGTGTGCTGCATTTCAACAGTAGCCCTCATCGCATGTGCGTTCACGTACTGCAGGTTCAAGGCTTTTACTGCGACTGAGCTGGAACGAGGGTTTGATTGCATGCCTATATGCATATTTCATTACAGCGTGCATGTGTGTTTCTCTGTGAGTTGGGGGTTAAGCCCGACTCTTAATTCCCTCCTTCTTAATCAGCTGTGTGATACTTTGGAAAGACAAAGAGGGCCATTGACGGGGAGCTAAGGGGGAGGAGGGACAGGGGGTAATGAGGGAGCCTTACCCATAACTGCCGGGCCTGTAGCTCCGGCGGGATACAATGGGACTCTCATACTCTCTGCACATGCCCTGCAACCCCCCTCAACGCCCCCCCCTCACTCCCTCACTCGCCCCATCCACCGAGAAAAAACCCTCTATACGTTCAGATTGCAGCTGTAGTGGGATTAAAACATTCCCAAAATAAAGAGGTTTATCAGAAAGAAGACAAGAGCTATTTAACTTTTTTTTTTTAGCGCCAATATGTCAAAGCAGGTTTTCAGGCAGGAGCAGGAACCGTACAGCAACTCACCCTGCCGGCGCGGAATCTAATCTACACATTCAATACACTGATGCTGGGAGCGGTGTACTATTTAGTCCAGCTCGCCGCGTTATCACAGGGTTCAGGTTGGGAAAAAGACAGATCAGACTCCAGGATGTGGCACCGATCAACAGAACAGAGAAATACTGGCATGAGAGGGAGAATAACAGCCAGAAGATATTAGTCAAACCCTAAAGTTTGAGGTCGACCTGATGGTGGCCTCGCGGTGGTTTGGCGGGTGTCACGTGGGCTGCTGCCCCTCCACCTCACAAAAGGACTTCCTCTGTCACATTTTCCTTTTATCAAAAGATCCACAGATTAAAGCAGTTTTTTTTTAAAATGTAACAGTTTGGCCGTGGCTACAGATAATTGTAGATTCTGGTCCAAACCGTACTCTCCAAGATGACGTTTGAATGCTGGCGAGACAGACACACACACTGCTTGACTTTAATTTGCCTATAGGAGAAACTTTCTATATTCTAAAATGGTCACATAATCCATCCATCTCCCACAACAAAGCTGTTAATCCTCCCATTATCACGACCTATCAGCCCCTTCCATCTATCTGCATGCATTGACCCTCTTTCTGCCTGGGCAACCACCCATTTTGGTGTAACAATACGATGACTGTTTGGCTGCTTTGTGAGTATGTGTTGGGATGTGGGTGTTAAGGGTGGAGGCATGTGGGGGGCTGAAAGAGGAGAGAGTAACTGTTGCGCTTCTCCATCAGCTGCAGCTTCTGGCAGTTAAGAGAAGTACACAAATGTGAACGCTAGAGAGGACTTTGTCAAAATCACCTCTATGGGACAAACTATGGGTATTTTATGTCCTGGAGATATCGTGATATTAACCCATAGTATAACTTCCAACTTATTATAAACATCTGTGTGTCAATACAGCCGGACACGGACATTTATACAAAAGAGTTTATTAACAATAAAACAGTTTTTGTACACGATCACCTCCCTCCATCAGAACAAAAACATAAAATAATTACAAGACAAGTATATTTTGTAAAACAAAGTAAAGGACTGATGTTACATTTCCCCCTTGTGGCTCTTTGTTGCAACTGTCAAAGAAGAACTGTTAATGTATCAGGAGTCATGTGACAAACGACCCAATGGGGCTGAAAAGCAGTCAGATTATTCGATCAGAACCCTGCCAGAGTCTCTCTGTTTAATTAGTCTTTCAGTGTCACTTTAGCACACTTGCTTTATTCATATTTCACCCACAGTCACCTGAAGCAAGGGTGTCTGTGCATAAAACTGAGGCATTAACAGGTGGGGGGTGCTTGGATCAGCCCGGGGAATCTTCTGGGTTTTTGTGGCTAACCGACCTGATACGATAGGTGTGAATTATTATATATTGATTCATCAGTGCAGACCGGATGAGCGGTTTAATCAGTTATGATGAGGTCGTCGCAGCCCCAGTCCTCATAACTCCCATCAGGAAGGTACCTGCGGATGATGATCGGGATCTTTCTGCTCCTGTTGGACGAGGTCGGAAAATATTCACGGTGAGAGAATGGACACTACAGAGAAGTTTACATCAAAGAACATCAATCTACTCTCTAAATAATGAAAGAAGGAAACTATGTGTGCAGGCACGATGTATAATCTTACAAAGCATTACTTATGATTCAAGCTATACAATTAGCACCTACTTGAGCTCTTTCATAGCTATTTGCAAGGGGTCGGTTTCTCCCTCCAGCTCCACCATGACTGGAGCGCACATGCTGTTGGAAGAAGATAGACAGGTAGAGTAAATGCTGACAAACAGGCAATTCAAAATAGCCCTTTGAATTGTATGCTCAAAAATGTTAATGAATCCAACTGAAAACCCAGCACAAGGTTGCCAACTCTCTTCAGATGAAGGTCCAATCGCTATTAAATTTAGCCAGAAAGTCAACAAGACTGACAGCCCATCATGTGCCTCAAAAGGAGGATAAAATCGCTGTTGGGACGTAAAGCAGCAAAATGTTTCTGAAATGCACAACCGGGCCACGCCGTAATCATTTAACTCACTCGGTTGTACAGTGGCTTATATTTCAAAACAGTACATGACAAATTCCTGCATAGGAATAAACAATTATGCTTTTATGCAAAAAAAAAAACCTGTGGTAGTGGTAGAAATCAACTAATGACAGTGATGTGGTCCTGGAAACAAAAAAACCCACCTTATCTGTGGTGGATAAAAGGTTCGAGGTGAGAGTTCGGATTTGAACCCAGGACCTTGTCGTCACATCACCTGCATACAATTACTCACGCGATCTGCAGCGCTCGCGTGCCCAGCACTCTGGCCCGCTCGTATTTGGTCATGTAGGGCGTCGTGATCCTCTTCAGGTTGGCCTGCTGCCCTTCTCCTGCCGGGAGGATCTGCACGTTCTCCCGGTCCTCCTGCACACCAGAGCAAGTCACACGGGTTTGGACTATTAAAACACAACGATATCATCAGAGTCAGCGGGGGAACTTGTGTAGAGACAATTGCAAATGGTTTGATAAATTACACACGAGCTAAATGCTCGTTAAAACAGCCAGTGGTCATTTAATTAAACGCCAAACTCACATCACCGGCGTTTTCCAGGTCATCCATTCCATCGTCTTCTTCGGCATCTTCAAAGTCTCCGTCGTCGAAGCTACAGACATGACATCAAAACAATTATCACAAAGCGTAAGCATCCATAACAATCCTAGGCAGCGGTGCTGAATGATGCTAGACGTCAGTTAGCTAACGTTAGCACGCGTTGGGTAGTGATCCGGTGAACACGCAGCTCCGTGTATCAGGTGAACGCTGCGTGTTGCCACTCACTTGTCTTCGTTGTCGGACATGTTTAATGTTGAAGTTTTCAAACGCTCTCAGGGAATAACTAATCAAAAGGTTCAGAGACACTTTCCGTTGTCAACACGGACCCACATGAACGTCGAGGAGGTTTAACTTCCGGTAACTCGGTCCGCTGGGCAGCATTCCGGGTGCTCCAGAGGAAGGCTTTTCTTGTTCCGCTTGCTCTCGTTTTCCAAAAAGTATTTAAAGAAAACGCTCGAGCTTGCTTTGGTCTAATGCTATTTTAAATAAAACGATTATGGTGAAAGCCGCATTTAGTGTTAACAAGACAGAGGCACACACATGTGCTGAGTTCTTACGTATTGGGAGTATGTCAGTCTTTACTTCATGTTTATGTTAGAACAGAAGCCTTGTTTTGCTTTTTACACAAATCATAAAGGGAAATTAAAAATAAACATAAAAGAAGTTGGCCTCTTGGAAATATTTATTTCCAAAATCCATATCCATTTCATAAAATTCCTTTAAAAAAAGTATGTAACATAAAATAAATATTGTGAGAACAGTGAGCAAAACCACATGGAAGATAAAATGTACATTGGCAACACCAAAACATTTACTGAGAATATTGAACTTCACTAGGGAGACTTAATATTACATGCATTGAGATCAGATCCTACTCACATCATCTTTATTATCTCAAAGTACAAGTTTGTTTTCTGCAATCAGGTTAGTACTTCAGCTCTTTTTGTCCACAGAGTCTTTCTTGCTCTCAGCTTTATGGTTCAACATCTTGAACATTTTTGCAGGCTTGAATTTGACTTTTGACTTTTTCAGCTCTTTAAGTTCTTCTTTCTGAATCTCTGTGGGGAGAAATCACGGTTAGGGTCGGGAGAACAAGAATCAGTGCTATCAAAACTTGTTTTTGAAGCCGTAAAGCTTTATGAGCATTACGTGTTTAAATTTACTTTGCCTTCTCCACAAGCAGAGAGGGGAGTAAGAGTTAGACAGGAGAAGTCACATAACAGTATAAAATATATACTTTTAAATGTGGACTTTTTGATCCAAACATTTTCTTTCACCTTTGTTTTTCATCATGTCTTCCAAAAGCATATCTTCTTCTCTTTCCCTAATTAAACAAACCAAAGTCATTTTCAGCAGAAGTATTTGAGAAAGGCTGAGGTATAATAATATATATATATATTTCTCTTCTGCCCACCTCTGCCTCTCCTGATCCAAGCTGCTGACGATCTGGTTCCTCCGTTCGATGATGGCGACCAGCTCGTCCATCAGCTGCTGCTCTCGAGCGCAGTCCTCCGGACTCCGGTCGCTCACTGAATGGTGAAGACGAATGCGTGTAACATTTAACGAAACAGCAAAGCAGCACGACACGTTTCATTAACCGCATCCCGTTAACCACATTCAGGAATGTAAACCTAGTGAGGTTTAGGATGTATTTCTTGTTTGCCTTCACAAAAAGGCAGTTGAGGTTAGAAGGTCAATCTCACAGTTCAAAGGATGGGAGGCTGACAGAGTGTTTTCAAGAAAAGTAATTGTGATTATTGTAAGACATGTTGGATAAAAAAAGTAACAATGTAACGCAGATAGCATCATACTGACCGGGTTTATTTAGCACACATCTGAGCTCATACTCCACATCTGCCTGTTTCTCCTCCAGCTGCTGCTGCTTTGTCCTGAGAAAAGGCACGAGACACAAAGTAGACAAAAACGTAGATGAAACCTCCCGGTCACAACACTCAAGTAACATTTTGGATGCAGAGCGGACTTCAATGTGTGTGACCAATACTGGCACACACTGTATACATATATGTACTCATAGGGCGGCGCTAAAGTCCTTGTCCTGGTCTCGTCTACTTACAGGTGAACCAGCTCTGTGTCTCTGCACATCAGAACGTGTCTCTCGTGGACCAGAGAGAACCAGGCCATCAGCATTTGTTCCTCTTCTTCATCTAAAAGAAAAATAACAGGTAATTGGAACTAACATATTAGCGAACGGCTATTACATAGTTCTTATTTATACACTACATCCACAAATACGGTGATGCGGCGCCAGCCGGTCAATGATTTGAGTTGAACTAGTGACAGTCTGCCGAACCGTCCTTGCAGCCTCTCAGATTCCTCTCCAGTTCAACTCCTCTATGTTCCAATGCCTCCAGATGTTTCTCCAGCTCTCTCATCTGCGCCTGCAGGTCTTTGGTGGACACATTCTGGTCAGACTGCACCTGTTCATCAACATACAAGTCACAGAAATATCTCACACTTTATGCAAAATGTCTGCAAAACCAAGTGCTTGTTTGCATCCAATCACCCAATTAGGTTGGATATGATGACGCGGAAGGAAACCTTTGTGCGGCAATGTGTGTTTAGAACATCAATCATATGAAAAAGTATAAGCATTCATTGAGTTTTGTTAATATGACCTGTCTCTGGAGTTCATTGTACCTTCCTCTTGATGAGCGGGAATCCGTGTCCGGGGGCGGGGGCCCGTGTAGAGGAGAGGGCCTGAACTGTCTTTGATTTGGGCATCGCATCGCATCGATCAAAAGGGTTCTCTTTGCACCCCAGCTGAAAATAAAAAAAAACATGTTTGTCCTGAAGTATTTTGTATGGGACTGCAAAAGAAAATGTTCATATAAACTTCATTATTAACCGTTATCTCTTTCCATACCTTTCTTTGAGTTGACGCAACCTGGTCGGACTCCTTCGAGTCAGAATGCAAAAGGGAGCTTTGAGGGCGGGCCGGTGCGATAGCCGGCACAGACAGACTCTTGGGTAAAACGGGACTTTGTGTTTGTTCTGCAGCTTCGGTCACATCCACAGGGAAACCCTTTGTGTTTCTGGTTGTTTTAGTTCCTTCGCTTGAAGTCCCCACATCATCATCATCATCAGGTGTTGATTTAATAGCATCAATTGAGGGCTCTGTTTGGTCGGCAGGCTCAGGTCTCGTGCCGTCTTTCTGGCTGTCCTCCTCTTCCCCAAATGGATTGGGAGCAGGCTCCCTGGGCCTGTTCCAGGACCTCCGCGCGCTGGAGACGGATTTGGATCGAGGAGCAGGTACCGGGGGAGGAGCGGGAGGCAGTTGTGTCCAGGGTCCGGGGTGGATGATATTCATCCACGGATGGTTGGTTCGCACTTTAGGGCTACCTGTCGTTGGGTTGGTGTTACTAGGGGAAAGACAAGAGGGGTTTTAAGGGAAACTTCTGAGGAAATCAGTAATCATTATTATGATAAATCTAATCCCATTGTTTAATAAAGCTCCTAAAGCATCACTGTGTGGTACGGCAGCACATCTATAACGCCACTCATCTATAGCAAATTGTAAATTGGCTTATTTGAGGAAATTGCACTTTCTTCTTTCTTGTTCTTCTGAGTTTGTACCCCTATGGTTGAATGCACTTATTGTAAGTCACTTTGGATAAAAGCGTCAGCTAAATGACATGTAATGTAATGTAATCTACCATGGACCGCAAACTCCTGCAGAGAGTAGTGAGGACAGCAGAAAAGATCATCAAGACCCCACTGCCTCCTCTGCAGAGCATCTACCACCGCAGGGTTCACAGGAGAGCTGCCTCCATTCTCAAAGACCCCACCCGCCCCCAACATGGTCTGTTCAAGCTTCTACCCTCAGGCAGGAGGTACAGAAGTGTCAAATGCAGGACCACCAGACTGAAAAACACTTTTTTTCCCCACTGCCATTAGAGCCATCAGCAGCTGAGAGGACTCTATAACCTAATCCACAACTGGCACTTTAGCTTGTTAGGATTTCACTTACTGTTAATTTATATTAAACATTGAATTTAATTACATTTATTTTACAACCTGCTCAGTTTTGCACATTTCCCCTTACCTCATTTCTGCCTTATTTTTATTTCATGTACATTTATGTAAATATTGTTTTTTTTGTTTTTATTTTAAAATTGGTCGGCTTTCCAGAAAAGGGAAGCATAAGAATTTAAATACACAGGGGGTGTGCTCTTGAATCTTTTACACGATAGTTCAAATGTTCCCAACTACATACAGTATGTTTTAAACATTGCCTTTTATTAGATTAAGATATTCAATGGGATTTCTTTTCAACATCTCTAAATTCCTAACTAAAAATCTAGAATAATCAAGAGAAATCCCCTCCATAATAAAGTACACTTACAGAGATGATCTGGATGAACATATCTGTTTATTGGATGAATGTCCTGCGTGGAAAAACAAAGACAAAAAAACTAAGCGTCACAAAAGAAAAGAGCACGTCGACATGCAAACATGTAGCGGAAAAACGTATCAGCTGCGGTCAAAAGAAGACGGGGCCTTTCACCTGCAGAGGGGGAGCTGACCTCGGGCTGGGCCGCTCTGGTCCTCGGTGCAGGAACCGGGACTCCAGAAGAGTCCAACATTCTCCTGGGTGCTGCAACCGGCCGACAGCTTCCTTCTGTCACTCGTGCACACGGCGAAGAAAGCTCAGAGGTCCCACGAGTCTCTGTCCCCTCCCGCTGTATCTTACCTTCTGCGGGAGCGGACACAGGTTCAGCTCTTTTGACGGTCCCGTCTTTAACTCTGGACGGAGGAAGACGAGGAGACGGCGGCTTCAAGATGTGATGAGCTGAGTCTCTGTCTTTCAGCTCTCCGCTCCTCTCCTTGCTTTCTCTCTCCTCTGTCTTCTTACAAGCGTCCTGTGTCTCTTTGTAGTCGGGGACTCTGGAGATGGCCAATCCTGCCAGAGAGAAATAACCTGCCTGAAACGTACAGTTGGGCCGACCGTCAGTGGTCACGTGGTGAGTGCAGCTCGACGAGCCGGCGCCACTTCCCTCGGGGAGGAGAGCGCTACGGCACGCGCTGCACCTGCAAGACAAATGGGAAAGGTCCCGCTGTGAAAGCGCTCTTCACGTACATCTATCGGAAAAAGGGGATCCTATGAATTTACCGGCATTGATGTTCAAATAATGTACATACAGTATATTAGAATAATTATTATTATTATATAATGAGAAAATTCTTTGACAGTTGAGCCCGCCCCCCCAAAAAAAACCAGATACGCTGCATGGCCCAAGTACAGATGTAGTTTCCTTCAGCTTTACACCAGTAGGGATGTCCAATATGACCACGGTGGTCACTTGAGACACATTCTGTCAAGTGTCAACTGCCCCCCCGACTCCAACCGGATTCACACACGCTGGATAAACTGGATCCAGACACTGCCAGAAGACAGCAGACCCAAAAAGACGGATCTTACCATGTGAACTGCGCTGTTACCTGAAACAGCTGCGATGGAAGACCTTCCCGTCGGTCAAATGCCTCTGTATGAGGTGGACAGGCTTGAAACAGACATGGCACACGGTCCCCGGCCTCGTGTTGGATAATCGAACCTCTCTACTGGTTTCCAGATCAGTCTGGCTCTGAAAGAAGAAGAGAAACCAGCGAGTGAGACACAAAAGCCCAGCGGCTGAGATGAGAAAAAGCATTACACTATATTTACCATGAGGCGTTTCAGAGCATCGGAGGTTTTACTCTTTGCGTGTGATGACCTCGCACCGGCCCGACCGGCTGCAAAGTCAAGAGGAGACATGCAAACGAGAGCATTGAGAGAAAAATCTAATCGGTGGAGATGAGGAGGCAACATTCCACTCAGGATGAGAAGCGTCGTGATAAAGCAGGCGAAGACGAGAACGATAATGTTCCTGTGAGAAGGACTATAAACCGCAGCGTGCACTGATTCTCTGCAAGTGGCTACGACTAAAAGCATCCGACAGACAGTTACGCAACGGAGCGGCGGCATTGTACTCAGCCCACCCTGAGACTTCCTGTTGAAGAAGCAGTAGAACCGGGACAGGTAGGTGATGACGCTGAGACAATCGGGCTCCTTGGTGGATACCATGGCCCCGGGGTCCAGCAGCGCGGGGATCCCCAGCCTCCTCTCGGCAATCTCAAATGCCTGATGGAAGCCGGCGAAGAGTGAACACAGAGAGAAAGCGTCAGACTGGAAGCAGACGATGAAGTACTTTTTGTGAGCAACGGAGGTGAGAGGCACAGGTGTAAATGACTCACCATCTTGTTATTTTGATAAACATTATCCTTGCAGAGGGAGCTGAAATCTCTGCAGCAAGGTGAGGAAGATTGTACATTGATTAAGTGTCAACAGTAAAGGACAAACAAACAAAACAGAGGCCTGTTGGTGAATGGTTGATAACCACAGACATAAAGAAGCAAGCAAAGTTCACTGAATCAATGGGATGATTCAAGTTCAATCATTTTATCTAAAGAAAAAAGGTAGAAACAAACCAACTAATCCCTTTAAACTGGTCAAGAAGAAGAGAGGCAGACAGAGATTAAGCATGGGAGAGCAGATTAGACGGTGTGCAGGTCCTGCTCTGCTCCAGATTACACAGCACGTTAGTCAATCTGCCCCACATATAAATGTGTCCTAAACATGCAGCGCACCCACAGAGCAGACCGGTGTCTACCAGCAATACACCCCATGCAACCACCGCTCTACTCACATCAGGTCAGGTCGGTGTCTGTGGATGATGGCGCAAAATGCAAGCCCATCTCTGAATGACGTCGACATGTTCTTGATTTCCACGTTGGGGTAAGTGGCGCATGCGGCGCGGCACCAGTCCCGCACGTCCCTCGGCGATGCCATCGGTTGCGTGAGATGGGACACGCGGGCAGGATGAACATCGCACTTTGGAAGTGAGAGGGGTTCGAAGACAGCGGAGCAGGTTGGGCTTCTGGGACAGGAAACGAGCATCTACGTGCAAAGTACTTCTTGCAGGAACCCCCACCCGCCCAAACCGGGTTGGTGAAGCAGCAGCACACAGGAAGGAGGGTTGACTTTCTGTTTTTTTTTGTTGCGGTTACCTTGTCAAGTAAACACCAAGGAAGCGACGTTCGCCGTGGCTCGCTCACAACAACGTCACTTTCCACCAGTCAACGCGAAAGGAGATTCTGAATGTGGATGACTGTCGCCTAAAACAAGGCCGATTTAAATGAAAACAGTTCACTTATAAAAAAATCAAATCCCGTTACATGCCGTAGTAACGGCGGTGTTGTGCTCCACATTCAGTGAAACGCACAATAGCTGTCGCCAGGGGGAGATACAGAGCTGCTGCATCTAGAATTAGGACAGGGAGGCCTCTGCCTACAAGTGGATTTCTCCTTCTTTCTTTTCTCTCCCAGGAAAAATATTTAATAAATAAGAATAAAAAGGAAATGAATGCATAACTGCAACTGCTGCAAAGAAATGTGTAAATAACCAAAGATATTGATGATCAATGAATATATATATTTCAGGTCCACTTGTCATTTTCAGAACGATTACGAAAGAAACGTCAGTAAAATGTCCGTTTATATCCAAATCTTAAGTGTCCAAAATGGAATACTTTGATTTTGAAAGAATTTTACTCGGTCATGTGACTGTCCGTTCGCGTGACTCTCTGATCATAGAAACTAGTTAGATAGAACGGAAAACGCAAACTTGGTCATTGGTGTTGACTTGGCACATTACAATCAAAATATCACCACCCAATGAAACAAATATGTGTTAAAACCTTGGGTACTATATATATTTCTACATATCTTTGAAATCTATTCTCAAACCTGTCTTTCTGCCTGTTAATCTATGTGTGTGTCCGCCTGTCTTTCCACTTGTTAAACACTATCAAGCAGTGTGTGTCCGCCTTGTCTTAAGGAGTTGTTGGCTTTTCACTGTTGCTGGTTCCGGCCGTGAGGAGGAACAACTGGTGCGTTTGATGAGGAACGACCAGCAGCCCCCCCGCAGGTCGCTCTGAGCCGCCACGCACCCCACGGGCACCGCCTGCGGGTGTCTCTTCTATGCGCTCTACTTCTACGTCCCCTCTGCCTCTACGTGGACGCGCGTCCCTCGCGAGACCGACGCAGCGCATAAATCTCGCAGTGATGGCTGCGCCGCCCGACGCGGAGAGTTTGGAGTCTCGTATCAGTGAGTGTTTTAAAGATGTCGCAGCGAGCAGATATAGTCCGGAGTGAGGGACCCTCACGCGTCATAGTCCGAGTGCCGTCGCAGACGAGATGACAGCCCGGCGAAGCCGCGCGGGTCCCAGCGGAGGGGACTCGAACCCTGTCGCCACGTCCAGGATGCTAAGCTAGCTCCGGAGCCGCTGCTAACTGTCAACACACCGTTTAACTCACAGCCGCACGGAGATTTAGCGCTGCGGCTCGATTGCTCAACGCGTTATTTTGCGATAATATCTCGAGGGGGGCATCCGAAGACACGGGGGTCAGGTCCTGATTAAGGAAAAGCTGTGGCTTCGTAAGAAAGTTCGAGAAAGACAATGACACAGTGCGAATACGGACAGCAAGCTAGCTCACGCGATCCCCTGGTAGCACGTTCACCGCGTCTTCCTCTGCAAGGTGGCATGCTGGGCTTAATTAAGTCAACGTCATGGTGTCACTAGGACATCTTGGACCTTCTTGTGTGCTTGGCTAAAGTGTTTTGGACTCGGCATCTGTAGCGGTACGGTTCTACAGGCGTGTGAACAAACCGTATTAATCGGTGGACCTGCTAAAGTGGCATCTGACCATAGAAACATCTGCCACCTCCGCTGTCTGATGCCCCGTTTTTCTAACCTTCCAGACCGAGCTACAAACCCACTGAACAGAGACGCCGACTGGAGCAGCATCCACGCCTTCTGTGACCAGCTCAACAATGACTTGGAGGGGTGAGAGGAGGCCACATGGCTGATGCTGATTCTATTTGATAAATCCTGGATCAACAGGATTCCCTGTTGAATTTCAGATCGAGGAAATTCATCTCGTTGACAAAACTAAACCGTCAGTCCATATGGACAAGTGTTTAATTCAATATCTTCACGTGTACTTTCTGGACGTTGGGTTCTGTTTGTGTTCTGTTACAGTCCTCAGCTTGCCACAAGGCTCCTGGCCCACAAGATCCAGTCTCCACAGGAGTGTGAGGCCATGCAGGCCCTGCTGGTGAGTTCCGATGTGAACCATGTTCTGCTCGGCGCAATCAGCTGCCTGATTTCAACGTGTTTTTTAGTGGAAATGTTTTTGTTTTGTCAAGTTTTTCCTTATCCACTAAGGCTGTACAAATGTTCTACCTTGCTAATGAAATGGGTGTGTACGTTTCCTAATAGTTTTCACTGCTATAAAATAACAATATTGAAGATCATTTTACTATGAGAAAAAAAAAATGTGCATTTTAACTTTTCAAAGGAGTCCGTGTTCCCGAATGTATCTCAGGAATGTAATCTAATGTAACAGAGACATGAGTGTTGGTTTGAATATGTCAATCCATGGCTTGATGTGGGATTCCTTGCGAGCACGTGGGATCTGTTTTCAGTTCTCGCATTGTAATTATTGCCCAGGTTCTGGAGACATGTATGAAAAACTGCGGGAAAAGGTTTCACAGTGAAGTTGGCAAGTTCCGTTTTCTCAACGAACTTATCAAAGTCGTTTCCCCAAAGGTAAAACTCCCCACGAGTTTCTCTGGCTGCTTGTTTGTTCCCCCCCCCCCATCTGTTGTGTCACATGTTCTCACTTATTGTTGTCCTCCAGTATTTGGGTTCCCGCTCACCAGAGCCGGTTAAAAAGAAGGTTTTGGAGTTGATCTTTAGCTGGACTTTGGGTTTACCTGATGAGGCCAAGATCTCAGACGCCTACCAGATGCTGAAGAAACAAGGTGAGATGTCCTCAGTTACTTTAGTTAGTTAGTTAGTTACTAACTAACTTCCCAGAGTTGTGGGAAGGCACCAAACTGTCTCGGGCAAAGTTAATTTTTAATAGTTGGAAGCATTTAACGCTGTTATTTTTTGTATTTTTTTTTGGCAAATCAGGTATTATTAAACAAGACCCAGAGCTGCCTCCTGACAAACTGCTGAACCTTCCTCCACCCAGACCCAAGAATGCCATTTTTGAGGATGAGGAGAAGTCAAAAGTGAGGAATTGTCTGTTCATAATCGCAGTTATTTGAAAATGTGCTTTTGAACACTTCATTAAAAGTGACCTTGGTCGCTCCTGCTGCTAAAACTGTGCTCTCCTCCGGCATCGAGGAAGCCTGTTCAGTCCCTTCTCACCATGAGAACCCTGTCTGCTTTGTCAGGTGTTGTCTCGCCTGTTGAACAGCTCGCACCCCGACGACCTAAAAGCCGCCAACAAACTCATCAAGGAAATGGTCCAGGAGGTAACTATCACTACTTTAATGAACATTAGTGGGATGAGGAAAAAGGGGTCCTGATTTCAGGGTAACAGAAACAGGCCCTAGACGTTCCTGGTTAATCTCCCTGACCTGGCTGTTTTTGTGTTTTTCTATTGGTTAGTGCAGCTTGATTCGTGTATGATCTTTTCTTCACATGGCGACGCTATTTGTGGCCTCTGTGAAACTCCTTTGGTCCGTTGCAGGATCAGAAGCGAGCGGAGAAGGTGTCCAAGCGGGTGAACGCCATTCAGGAGGTGAATGAGAGCGTCTCCCTGCTGACTCAGCTTCTGCAGGACTACGACGGCACCGCCGACAACCAGAGCAACGCTGAACTCGTCCAGGTGAACCGAGAGATGCTTTTTAACACATTTAGACGTCTGTGACGTTGTGATCAACCAGACAACAAACTTGAGATCAATTACTTTGCACTTTCTATTATTGTAAGTAATTTATGTACAAAACCGTTCTTTTCTCAAACCCTTCAGTCATTGGTGTACTTTGGTAGGAAGGGTTATAACTGATTGTTTTGTGTGACCAGGATCTGTACCAGCGCTGTGAGAAGATGAGACCCACACTGTTCAGACTGGCAAGTGATACGGAAGACAACGACGAGGCTCTCGGTGAGCATCACTCGCATCCATCCGTCACTGAACATCACGAAGAAAAAAAAAGGAGAACGGTCGCTCCTTGTTTATTTGCTGCTGCATTCAATATTCACGCGTTAATTAACTGAACTGAACTCTGTGATCTTTCAGAGTCGCGTATTTGACACTCTCACTATATAAAGTCTTTGTCCTTCTTGGTTGTGGTCCAAAGGCTTTTCGACTGGCGTACTGGAGTTGAAGGGTTGAGCTTAGCTGCTTTGGTTGACTATAGTGTAATAAACAACATCCCAAACCTTATTCAAAATAAACCGGCATTTACTAGAAGTTCAAATCTGTGGCGAAATAAACAAATTCATCACATCGAACTGATTTAAACTGACCAAAATAACCAAAACATGCTGCAGCTGAAAAATGTTTCCTTGTTGCGTATTAGTCCGAATTTTCGGCCCACCTTCCTTCAATAACGGCTTCCACAGATGTGAGGTCAGGTGAACACTAACACTGTAGTACTGGAGGTAAATAAGAAACAATACAAAAAATATAAAAGTTCCGAGACATAACTGACTGTTACCATAACCCTGTAAAAATCAATGTAGAAAACGTTTTCTCCCGTCTGTCCACAGCGGAGATCCTGCAGGCCAACGACAGTCTGACGCAAGTCATCAACCAGTACAAGCAGCAGGTGAAGGGGGAGATGGTGAACGGCAACAACACGTTAAACAGGACCACAGGTGGGTGAAGCCTTCAGAAGACTGACATGAAGGAGTCCACCGGTCGGTCGTAGAATTATCAGTTAAGCCCGAGTCCCCCACTGACTGACTGACTGACTGACTACTAAAGACACCGTTGGACACTTTCAATAGCATTGCTACTTGTTTTCCGCTGCGCTTTATTTTCTATTTTTAATTTCATAGCATCTATATTTGTCCGTTTGCAATAAAGTGGCGTGTATGCGTTTCTCACAGGCGGAGGAACGGCGCTGCTCGATCTGTCAGGATTGGACACGTCCCCACAGTCTCCCCCGTCCTTCCCAGAATTCCCCACTCCAACAGACCGCCTCCACATCCCTTTGCAGGAGATGGGGATCAGTCTCCTGGATGACGAGCTCATGTCACTTGGTAACCCCCCCCCCCCCCCACACACACACACACACACACACACACACACACACGTGAAGATGCCGTTTGCAGGATTTTGATTGTGTTTGTTTTAGATAAATAGTAGCGTCTCTCTTTGTGCATCCCAAAGGTTTAAGTGAAGGAACACACACCAATCCCCCCTCCCAGCCCGAGGACTCCACTGCCTGGGACTCCTTCCAGGTTTAGTATTATTTATCTGTCCATCATGTCAACAGGCGTCATCGCCCTCGATACAGCGCCGGTATAATCCAGGCATTCATACTTTCTTCCAGTCCTCTGACAGCATAGACGCAGACATCCCAGCAGGACCCAGTCTCCTTCTGAGTCCGGACCCCTCCCACTCTCAGCCCCTTTCGTCCTGCTCCACACCTGGGAACTCGGCCCTGGACGAGCTGGACCTGCTGGGAAAGACGCTGATGCAGCAGTCGCTGCCTCCAGAGGGCCTGCAGGTCAAATGGTATTTAACGAACGCCACTCAAACTGACTCGCATTGCGTGCGTGCGTGCGTGTGTGTTGTGTGGGTTAAAGATCGGTTCAATAGCAGCTACTATTGGATTTCTGTCTAGTTTTTAAATCATTGACTCTCCATCGCTGATCAGAGAAGCAGACTGCTACATGCTTTTATTCTGCCTCAAAATGCTCCCCCAGAGGTAAAATGGTAATTTGGGAAATGGTATGACATCATACATTCACCCGTAAAGCAAACTGGGATGAATTGTTCAATCATTGGCTTTCAGGGACAAGCAGCAGTGCAAACCCACTCTGAGGGACCTCCAGAGCAAATCTGGGTGCAACATCACCCCGAGCCCCATACCGACCTTCGCCGCGGAACACGCCGCACCGCTCGCCGTCCCTCAGCCCGGCCCCGCGGCCACGTTGCTGGACACGTCCCCGCCTCGCGCAGAGACGCCGCCCGCAGAAGTCACGCTGACTGATGTTTTCGTACCGCTAGAATCCATTAAGCCCAGTAGGTTGAACGCCGACGGCTCAAAGCATCTCCCTGCCTGTGAGCGTGGATCATGTACTCTTCCCTCTCTCTCTCTCCAGGTAGTCTGTTACCTGTGACGGTGTTTGACGGACACAGTCTGCGGGTTCTCTTTCACTTTGCCAGCGACTCGCCCCCTTCTCGTCCGGATGTGCTGGTGGTGATCATCTCCATGTTGTCGTCCGCTCCCGTCCCCGTCTGCAAGATAAACTTCCAGACCACGGCTCCGAAGGTCAGCAGGGAGACTGTGTAACTCTCGACTTTTAAAAGACATTTGCAAGTGATTCACCGCCGAGTTCAAATGTTTGACTTGTTTTTTTATTTATCAACTGTAGTCCATGGCGGTGAAGCTTCAGCCCCCGTCAGGGACCGAGCTCCCGGCCTTCAACCCAATCCTTCCCCCTGCTGCCGTCACACAGATCCTGCTGCTGGCCAACCCAAACCGGGTAAGCAGACAGTTGTACCGCTCTACACACTGATGGTGCGCCTTGAAAGCAGCCACTAAGCTACAGTTTGTCTTTAAACACGCGAGTACAGATGCTGTAAATACTGAACTATAATTCTGTGTGTGTGTGTGTGTGTGTGTGTGTGTGTGTGTGTGTGTGTGTCAGGAGAAAGTGCATCTGCAGTACAGATTAACCTTCACCATGGGGGAGGAGGAGCACAGCGAGAGCGGCGGTCTAGAACAGTTCCCTCCTCCAGAGACTTGGGGGAACCTATAGCATTGAAACGCAACCACAACCTGACACTCTCAGCTTTCAGACTCCTTCCGAAAAACCACCTCTCCAACGCGACACTGTGCATTCGCTCAATTTCCTTTTGTAAAGACGTGCTTTCTTTGATCGGTATTGATTTGTTTCCTTGCTTTGCGCTTGTACTTTCTCACATTATTCTTAACAGGCTACATCATATTATTTGGTGTGCTTGATGTTTATCTCTTTACAACGTTGGTCTGATTAGTTGCGTCGAGCTTCACCTCTGCATGCTTTTCATATGTGGGACACAATCCAGCACACCGAGCGGACGTTAGTCATCTTAGTTTTCACAAAGCTATACTTAATCATCCTTTTGTGGTGTGTTTGGTAATTTATTTTGCTACGAATGAGGACACTTTCTGATTTGCACGGAAAATGATGTTTGATTGTACGGTTGTCATGTCTGTTCATCTTGTGAAAAGAACAAAATTAACTCCGAGAATTGTGTATCATTTACCATATGTGCCTATTTTGCAGTTCTAACATTATTTAACGGTCTGTTTGGATGGATTTGTTTTTCTCATCTGTGACACACCCGGCATGTTGGTTCTGTCTGAGATGCAGTTCAGCGATGTAATATTCTTAAGATTCTTGTGTATTTTCGTTACTTACATTCTGATTTAAGTTGCTATTGGGGCATCTTGTGCTGGTGATCTCAAACAAGTTCAACTGGTTTACCGGCGTGATGCATGTCAGCCACGTTCAACCCCCCCCCCCGGCTCTCAAACACCTCGCTCAATACGACTGCTTTGTAAATACCAGTGATAGCAGACCCGTTATGTATATTTGACTTGTGCGAGAGCATAATATTCCAAATGGGTAATAAAGGATTTTTCTTGGTGAACTGAAGCCCTGTTCATTTGTTTCATCACATGGAAACTACACACCTGGATGTCAAGGAAATAAAGACCACAGCTTGATACAGTGAGCTTTATTAAACTGTAAAAATGATTTTGCATGGAAAATCTCACCCCACATTGGTGACTAACTGAATAAGCAAATGTGGAAAAAAGCTAATGTATGTGCTTGATGCACAGCTGCCTCTATCAGGCCAAAATAAGTATAATAATAAAATCAAAAAGAAGAAATCCCTTTTACACCAAGTTTTGTTAAATCTACTCAGTGATTTTTGAACACAAGATAAGACCTTGAACACTAACCGCTCTTGTACAATAATTCACAACACCTACCTCATACACCTAAAGGGAAAATCTGATTACAAATACAGCAAGTTTGAAAGACATTTATTTCTCCCCAAAATCCTAACTAGCTTCTGTGAAACTTAACTCTGATTTAGTGGACCAATCAAACAAACTGGGAATCAGGCCCCATTCTGTCGTGGCTTGTTTTAAATTGAATGTAGATGTTGTAATGGTCAGATGGGTGTGTGCGTGGGACCGACTCACAAGCGACATTACTCTGTGCCTGGCGGCAGCGGAGGGGCGAACTGGAAGGGGGCGTGGCCCATCATGGGCTGGGGAAGGTTGAACTGCATTAGTGGCTGTGGCCCCACCGCAGAGAGCGGGAGCGGGAGCGGCACCAACCCACCGGCCCCCGACCCAGAACTGCTGGTGCTGCTGCTGGTATTCTGGAACTGCTCGTATGAGCTGCTGCGCCCGCCGTCCCTGCTGCTGCGATCTCTGTAGGAGGAGGAAGAGGACGAGCGCTCGCCGTCCCGGCTGCTTCCTCTGCGGCCGTTCCGGCTGATCTCTTTGTCGCTGCCGCCGCCCGCAGGGCGCATTCGCCTCTCACACTCGCTCTGGTACATCAGGTTGGGGTTGTTCGAGTCGCCGCCACTGCGAAAACGAGGACGCCCACCTGCAGATGGAAAAAGAGGAAGACAACAATATTCCACATTCCAATAGCCTCATAGTACATTAGGAAGTGAATATCTAATCCAGCGAGGTCTCACCTCCTGCACGTCCAGTGTCCACCAGCTGCAGCAGTTTGGGATTGATGGCCTGTCGGGCCTCCTCCAGCACCCGAATCAGCTCGCGGGCCTGCCGCAGGTTCCCCGGGGTGAAGAAGGTGTAGGCGGTGCTTTTGTTGTTGCTGCGGGCCGTGCGGCCGATGCGATGGATGTAGTCCTCCGACGAGTTGGGATAGTCATAGTTGATGACAAATTTGACATCCTCCACATCTGGACATTTGAGGCGGCGGTGGTTGAGGGGGGGGGGCGGCGTGACGGGGGAGGAGAAGACGAGTACACAATTCAGGACAAAACTAAGACATGAACTCCATTTGTGAATTTTTAAGTTTTCGTGCTTTTGAAAGATGGGAAGTTGTAGACAGGAAATACCATCATCATCCTCGAAAAAGCTTACGGCCACTTACCTTAAATCAACAATTGGAAAAGGAGTTGACTTACCATGCTAATTACTCCTTATCTAGCATAGAGCAGTGCACACATGCACATAAGATACGTGTGGCCAAAGGGGGACACGTCAAATGAATTCATGAAAAGTCTGCAGTTTGCTGAAGAGGAAGCAGGTTTCGGGGGTGGGGGGCAGGGGGGGTTAAAGTACAGTACTCACCCTACATCAGAGATATAGTGTTGGCTTATAAAGTGACCCCTCTGTCTTCCTACCCATCACCAGTCCTGGGAGGTCTGCAGGGGGAGGAGAAGGACCGCACGGTACAGAAGTGGTCCCCCCCCCCCTCACAACAACACCCCCAAAGCTGTGAATGGTGAGTCATAGCTGCAGTGGGACCGTGCTGGGAAACTCATCATCAATATCTCATCTTAGCATCTCAAGTCCTTGTAACAATGCCTACTTTGATGGGGGGGGGGGGGCAAATAACTTGCCCCATAATAACCGATTGTGATGTAGAGCGGTGGAAATGGCAGAAATATGGTCTTTGAATTTGTTGTGGCTGGTTCCAAATGCCCCAGATAGGAGTGACATCAACGAGCCGAGCTTAAGTTTATCACACTAAGGAGAAGCCAAGTGAATGTTCTCTGAGAGGGGAGGGAGGAGGGGGGTCTGTCAGGGGACACGAGTCCTCACAGAGGGACTTAAAGAAGTCATCGAGAGCTGGTGAGTTATTAACAGACTGGTGCTCTGGGATTAGGTCTACAAAGGTAAACGTCCAAAGTCCTACAGGTAAAGAGGGGTTAGAGGCAGGACACGGTGTGGATTTGGAAATGGGGGGGGGGGCAGAGGGACAAAGTGTGTCAGTAATGATTTAAAAAGGAAACAACAGGAAGATAATACAGGACCGGACAGGAAGTTGGGTGGTAAAAAGAGAGAGTGAAGAGATGAACGAGAGAAAGGACCAGAGGAAGTGAGAGAAAGGAGGGACGGAGAGGCCGAGGAGGGGAAAGGGGGGGCGGACCGGATTATAGAGAGGTGGCTCCTCCAGGCCAGGACTCCTGCCAGCCAGGACCAGACATGACGTCCGCAGAGGGAGAGGCCGGCCGGCACAGCGGTGGTGGGGGGCGTCAGGGGCTGGCATCAGGGGGCGGTTGAGAGGGAAGCCTCCAGCATAGCCGGCCATGCCTGGCTTTGGCTGCTGTGCACGCTCACTTCCTGGCAGTCGTCTTCCTGTGACGCACCACCGTACCTCGGCTTCACGGGGCACCTATCAGACCGGATTGTACGCAGAACCAATTTGGGGCAAAAACGTCACTCTCCAAAGTTTGTTAGGGAGAATGGAAATGTATCTCCTCAAGGACGGTCAAGAAAAGTCTTCTTAATCCATCTCCTATCAGAAAAACTATGGGAATATTTAAAAACTGTTAAAAAAAAAAATGTCTGAGTCTGAGTTAATTCAATCAATGGTGTGGTGCGTCACTGTGGTGGTGGCGTGGCTGAGGGGAACCCAAGCCTCCTCTCCTCCGTACCCCCCTCATCGCCCTCTCTCCTGACAGCCGCCCCCGACCCTCGGATCAAATTTGGAAGACCAGCAGCAGCAGCCCACGCTTGCTCCCCGCCCCACCCCTGTCGTCCAGGCAGCCATTGTCCTGGAAAGGGGGGGGGGGAAGAGTCTGGTTTGGGGGCTCTGCTCTAGGTTTTCCTCGGAGGTAGCTGTGTCTGGGGCCGATTAATCAGGCCGTCTCTCTCCCCACGTCAGCTTTCGACTTGTCATGCCTAGGTCCGGCTGCAGGCTCCCGAGGGCCTGTGTGCTTCTAGTTGCCGGAGAAGAGACTTGGAAACAAAACAAAAAACAAACAAAAAAAACAAACAAAGAAAAAAATATGAAAAGAAAACAAATGAACATAGAGTTAGGTTAAAGGTTGCTAGCCATCCTGTAAAGGGCTGCTTGGCCAACACTCACCCCTTACGTCTCCACACTACTCAACATCATTCCCACGTTCAGCCTAGAGTTATTCAATAGACCCAAGTGGCTTAAACCCTGCTTCAATGATGCACATTGTATCTGAGAAGCAGTGCTGTATGCGTCTGTGATTGTTTGTTTTCATCATAATTACTGTGTGTAAACATGCAGTGTGGGGTCATTATGGACTGACCATTGGTATCATCATACCGCTAGTTAAATGGTTGAATATACTGCATGTGTTGCATCTCAGTGTGTTTGCACTTGAGCACACAGGACGTACCCAAACCACGAGAGGCCACGTCAGTTGCAATGAGGATGGGAGCTTTGCCGCTACGGAATTCTGCAACAAAGATCAGATGTTCAGGAGCTGAACGTCTTCTCGAAAGAAAAAAAACAGAAGAGAAAAATTCAATTTCACTTTTGTTCAAACGTCAGTGGATTCGTTGTACCTGATAACACCCAGTCTCTCTCTGGCTGGCTCTTGTCGCCATGGATACACATTGCTGGCCACCTGGAAGGGAGACAAGCAAACTGTAACTTAAACCGCCGTGTACAGTTAATATCGCAATGACTTTTCTTAATCCCCAGAGAGCAATGCATGCAGACCCGTTCACACATACTTCTGTTTCAGATACAGGATGCGATTAACATGGTAATGCATGACCGCAAAGATCAAACTCCAGAGAATGATATTCTATTCCTATTGTACATCAATATTACTCACCCGTCTCGTCTCATCCTGCGTGTGAGATCGTCACAGCGTTTCTTGGTCTCCGCGAAGATGATGGTCTTGTTCTCTTTCTCAGCCATGATCTCCTCCATCAGCTGGATCAACCTGAGCAAAGGGAGCAAAAAGAAAACGGGTTACGATCATTAAAGTAGGAATTGGAAAAGGGAGGGAAAAGAGTAGGAAGCGAGACGAATAAAGGACGAGCGGCCCAAAACAATACGAACCAAACAAAGCAGGAAGAGACAGACAACTTACTTGTGTTCCTTCTCACTCTCAATACAGACGTCAACTATCTGAAGGATGTTGTGGTTGGCGCTGAGTTCCAGAGCTCCGACATTGATTTGGACATAATCTTTCAGGAAGTCCTCTGCCAGCTGGCGGACCTCTTTGGGCCACGTGGCGCTCCACATCAGGGTCTGTCTGTCGGGCTGGGCCAGGGAGAAAAAAGGAATAATAACATTTTTAAGAAAGATTCACGACGGATACTAAAATGACTGCTTCATTTGGCAAAGACATATCAAAACATAACGCGTAAGCTTTCAGAATTTACCCTGATCTGGTCCACAATCTTACGGATCTGTGGTTCAAAACCCATATCCAGCATGCGGTCAGCTTCATCCAGAACCAAGTAGGTGCAGCGGCGCAGGTTGGTCTTCCCGGCTTCGAGGAAGTCTATCAGACGACCTGGTGTGGCAATGCAGATCTCAACCCCTGAAGGAGACACATTAGTGTTACAGACTAATTAAATGTGGATTTCAATGGGAAGAAATTGTAGCAATGTAAACCAAACTGGTGTCAATCTCATTAGTTAATATGGCCAACCTCTCTCCAGGTCTCTGATTTGAGGTCCCTTGGGAGCACCCCCATACACACAAGTGCTTTTGATGCGGGAGCACTTCCCATAATCGCAGGCCACCTGCTGGACCTGCTGCGCCAGTTCTCTTGTGGGCGCCAGGACCAAGCACTGCAGAGCACACAAACAATACACGGTTTAGTGCACTAGACTCTTTCATTTAGGGCAGAGATGTCATTTTTAAACTCAGCTAAGCGATCGGTGTATTCCTATTCTCTGCGCTTACAATGGGCCCGTCTCCCCGCTCCAGGTAGGGCTGATGATTGATGTGCACAATGGCAGGCAGGAGGTACTGAGGTAAAACAAAACAGAGGGGTGTCAGTTGATGGTGCTGCTCTGGCTGGTGTCTCGGTTAGAGGAAGACGCGCGCCTCACCGATAGTGTCTTCCCGGAGCCCGTCTGAGCAATGCCCACCATGTCCCTGCCGCTCAGGGCCAATGGGAAACCTTGTGACTGAATGGCTGTGGGCTCCTTGAAATTCTGCTTCACCAGGACATCCAATACATATTCTAGATGGAGAGGCAGAACAAAAACAGACTTGAGTTTGGTATTCATTTGGAGTTGGTGTGCAGTGAATGCGGGTGCTTACGGGGAAACTGCGCCTGGTGGAAGTGCGTGACGGGTTTTGGGCAACCTGAACCCCGAACAGTGATTTCTTTTTTCCTGCAGTACTCCTCGATGTCAAACTGAAAGCACAAGAGAGGAAAACCAACAGAGCAGCTTTAATAACGTTAACCCGGAGTGTCTCTTCTCCAGCCAGGGGGTCAGAGGATCACACGGAGATAACGTCATGTCAGGACCACCTCGCTTAATCGCTGCACTTCCGAATGTTCGACGTAAAAGTTCTTCTCGAATTTAGGAAGCTCGTCCAGGTCCCATCGCTTCTTCCGTAGACGGTCCCCGGGGTTCCCAAACTTCCTGCCCGACGACGGGCCGCCTCTGCTGGACCCGTAACGAGGGCTGCTGCAACGAGACGAGACACACACGGTGGGTGGCTAACGCTACATTAGCTTCATGGCGGCATTACTGGGCTGCGATGTGAGCCGTGCACGCGTGTTTCTTGTACGGGACACTGACGTCAGCGCGAACGGTAGCTGGCGGTTTAGCTGCTTACCCTCGGTCTCTGTCTCTGTCGCGGCCTCTGTCTCGGTCTCTGTCGCCATAAGAACCTCTCATTGTGCGGAGGAGATGTGAGGCAGTACAATGGCGGTGGCGTTAGCTCAGTGGGTCCTTTTCTCGAAGAAGTTTCCCGGCTTTCGCTTTTCACTCGAACTGTTAACTACCGTCACGGGCCTTGACAACAAACCACCGTAACGTTCGTAATACCAAACGTAACGTTTGCCGAGGCCTACCTCTGCTTTGTTGTTGTTAACAAAGCGCATGCGCAGCGGGAGAGCGGAAGTGGGAGTGGCTGACTGTTTATGAAGCCCCGCCCCCACTTCTGACTGAACGTCTGTCCTCTTTGTGGAAAGGGGCGATTTCTTTTTTGTTGTTTATCTGATGAAACCCACTCTGATTCATTCAATTAAAATCACGGCACGATGTAACAAAATGAAAATATATAATTAAATGGGATTTTTGTGAAAAATGTGATGTGTCTACAAGTCGACTTGATCAAAAACCATAGACAAATATATTTTTTGCATTTTGTATTTTATTTCCTTTTTAACAACATAAACCATTATAGCATCAAAACAAGAGATAATATTGCCAATATACAAATGAAAAAGTGTAAATTGGAAATAAAACCGGAGAATATATGAAAATATCAAAGTAAAGCACTGTACGAAGCAATGCCTTTATCGTGAATGTTTGGCAGTTCTTCCACAGACTTTAACTCTACGTTTACAAGATCCCCTCCATTATGGTATAATATTTATGCGTTTTATATTTTCCTTTGTGATTAACATTCAGCTTTTAAATAAAATAGTATCAAAACTATTTAGAATCACACTGCTAGAGATTGATCACAATTTTAACGCTAAAGAGATGCTTTTGCCAGTTCACTTTTCACTTGGCCTACATTCATTTCAAACATGGACGTCACTGCTTGTTTACTTTACTGGCTCTGAGTCCATCCCTAAAATCAGTTTGGACTATGCCCTGGCTATAACACGAGAAAAACAATAATCACACGTTTAGCGCCAGCATTGAGTCACCCGTCAAAAGGGTTTACGATCAACATTTACGATCACAAGCAGCTTCTATACCGGACCCTGATGAAACGCGTGTTCAACATCAGTTCATCAACAATCAACTCTCCCAATGGGAAACGCAGGATGACGGGCAGACCTTATGGTTCTGACCCCATTACTGCTATTGTGTGTCCCTGAACAAGTGTGTGTGCATCTCAAATCCATTTTTGATGCCCATATATTCCTTTTCCAGATGAAAGTTCAGTCTAATTTAAAGCCTTCTTTGCGCAGAGACTATTTGAATGGCCTTATCTGTCTGTGATGACCCTCGTCCCAACTAACTCACTACTGCTACAGCAGTGATTCCCTTATAAACAATAACAGCAGAGGCAGGCCTGATCTGCGCCGTCCTCAATTATGGGATTATAAACCGCAGCACATCACAGCTGCGCCGGCTTTGCAGGGAAGCGTCGCTTCTTCAGTAATCTGTAATCTGCGTGGGCGTTGTCCTTCCGTGAGTCTCCCTGGCCGCACTAACATCCCCCCCACAGCTGTCCCCTCTCAGCGCTCCACAGACAGTAACGCCGTGATGCACATGAACCCATTTCCCGCACAAAATGACAACAGAACACAGAATATTCATCACATTTCCTGGAATAACAAACCACTGTGTAAATGAGTTACACCTTTGAGGTCATACAACATTTAAAATAAAAAATGTGATTACATTTTTATATATTAAACTCAAGCCTGTTTTCATTAACTATAAATTAATGCTGCATCTTAAGACAGTGTGTCTCATTGACTGGAGCACATTGAACTTCTATTTGGCAATGATTCGGTAAGAGGCAGAGGGGTGAAGAGGAGCTTGGATTAAGAATCAATATGAAAGCTGACAGATGAAGGCTGCGAGATGAGTTTAAGAAGTGGATTGTTTGCTTTGACACACACATCGGTTATATCTTTCTTTTTGTTTTTGCTGTGGTGTTTAAAGTGCAGCATAAGGACGCTCTATGCAGGCACGGTTATTTGTACCATGTTCTGTCAGTAATAGCATCTATGGCATCAACACAGATGACAGCTGACCATTTAATAACCATTTAATAAATCTAATGTCTCTCTGAACATCCTTTTACTCCTCCTTTCCATCGTAAGAACTCCTGATCCGTTCGCACAGTCTGGGACCTACGTCTTTTTAAAGCTCAAATAAATCTCATCTTTTCATTGTTGTCTAAATGTAAAAAAAACAAAAACCAGAATCTGATCTTCCACGTTAAAGAACAGAGAAAAAGATCGGATCGGTCTCACACTGGTGGAACTCCAACATGGGCTACAGGAGCAGAGCGAGTGCGTGTTTGTGTCTCAGAACTCGTCGTCGGAGCTGAGCAGCAGCGTCTTTTCGTTGTCCCCGCGCGTGCTGAGGTTGCTGTGGCTGCGGGAGAGGGGCGGCCCCCCACTTGGCTCCAGCGTGGACTGCTGGGTGTACTGCTGATAAGCCGGGGAGAAGTTGTGGATGGCATCCTGGACCATGTCCCCTGGATTCATGGTCTCCTTCAAGCTGCTGGAGATGCTCTTCATTGGGGCACAGCGGCCTGGAGGTGGATGGATGGGGGAGGAGGAAGGGGGGGGGGGTCGTAATATCAATAAAGAGACACCGAAGTAACAAGGGAGGAAGTTGTGAAAATGAGATACTATGAGTTATAAAATTGTGCTGATGCGTTTCCTAATAACGGCCAGGGGAATTTCCCGAATAGAAATTTTGCTAAATTCTATTAAAGAAATGTATTTTGTGAATGCCATCGACATGAAGGTTATATGAAGCTACAGTGGGAGGTAAGATGTTAGTGGAGGTCAAGATCAATGCACATTTTATGACCTAGACTAGGCTCACTGCCATATAGCAGGTTGTGATTTAACATCAGTTTGAGCCTGAGTGGGAACATAGACAAGCACAATTGAACTAAAACACTAAAGGACTGACGGCACACAGTGCAAAATCAACATAAATAAATAAAACAATACCCACGTTTTTTAATGAGAAGACTGAACTCATGCTGAGCTGACAACAATGTTAAAGTAATGCACATTGAACCACGTTCAAACACCAACAGGCAAAGAAACATTATGATAAGCATCATCGAGGGAAGCACACTGAACTGACAAAACACGGCTAAGATAGAACCTACCGTACTGTCCATAGATCGGAAAGGAGCCTTTCAGCGCAGCAGTGAGGAAGAGGGGGAAAGAGACGGAGAGGGACAAGGAAAAAAGACGAAGATGAAGGAAAAGAAGAAGAGCAAGACTCAACATAGATCAGGTGCTTCAAAAGTAGGTCAGAGTCAAGTAGATTGGGACACAAAGAGTGAGGTCACATCAGGCTGGAGAAATCAAGGAGATAGTTAAGGAACATTCACATTCACAGCAGAAACATTATAATGCAGACTTCAACATAAAACCTCTTCTCTGATTATCTGCACGTTTCGTATTAACGTTCTGATATCACACCCATCAACATTACACCTCTCTTACCGTACGAGTCCAGTCTTTTATCCATGTAGACTTTGTAAGTGAAGGCATGCCGCAGAGCAACAGCAGCAAAGAACATCTCAATGCAGACGATGAAGTTTTGGTAACCAGCGGCAACCGTCCCCTCGCCCACAGAGACGTCCGCCGAGCTGATCTGAGGGATGGCTCCGCACTTCTCCAGGATGGCCAGCAGCATGCCTGAATTATAGAAAGGAGAAACAGAGAAAAAGAGGATAGCGTTAAGAATATAGAGAGTAGGCACAAAAATGTCACAAGCAAACCCACCGGCTGCTGCAACTCTTCATTAGCAATTTGAGATGTTGGATTCTTACCTTGCCAGAAGGAGAGGAAGATGACCGATTTGACCATGAAGAACTTGAGCACGGGGTTGTAGGGGACGAGCAGGTCACGCGTGGCGAAGTAGAAGAGGAAGAGCGCGTAGAGCGACAGGCTGACGGAGACGTTGTAGATGATGGTCGCGTACAGGTAGCCGCTTGCCACGCTGCAGGAGAGGAGGAGCGTGTCATTAGGGATTAACTCATTAATTATGTGAATCATCTGGGCCGCCGCTCCGCCAGTGTGGTCGCCGGCTATCGCAGCGCGGCGAGCCAGAACAAAGTAGATCACGACTCAGCGAGACGCCCGTGCCGCAAATGCAGAAACATACTTGAAGTCTCCATCTTTGTATTTGCCGAAGGCCTGAAGAACGACGGTGATCACGGCCATCAGGGGTTTCACCACGCAGAACTGGAGAGTAGCCTGAAGAAGCAGGAGTGAGAGGAGGGAGAGCAGGTCAGCACGCTGCAGCAACGCCGCACCACATCCGCAAGTCTCAATGAGACATTTAGGAAACATGAATGTGTTACTAGTACAGCTGACGAGTGATACCTGTTTGCAAAACCTGAGGAAACCAATGGAGTACGTCCTTCCCCACAGACAGCAGGTCCCATACACACAGCTCGACCTAAAAAAGCACAGCAGGTAAAATGATGAGTAGACAAACCAGCTTTAATATGAAGTCACCACCAACAAGGAGCCTAATTATAAAACAGGCGATTGCACAGAAGACTCACTCGATAGGTTTTCCTCGGATCTCCGCCATGATGGCGCTCTCACCTCCCAGATACTCGTAACACAGACTGAGGAAGTTGTAGATGACAAAGGCTGAAGTGTCACACATTGAAGAAAAAAGAAAACAGGGTGATCGTCAGTGTCTGTGAAATCAATCCCAAATTCACAGCCACCAAAAACAGCCCCTTGGTTTGATGAATGATGAACACGATAACGTGAGCCTCCAGCTGAGCGGCCACCTCGGACCTGAATGCGCCTGTGCCAATGTTTTAAAACAAGATGCCACGTCCACGTTGCCAATGTGGGTTTGGAAACCCTGGACAACAGACAACAACCTCCAAAACGAAGTAGCGGTTAGATTTAAGGTACAGTTCCATAATCGCGGGAGCCGCGTGAGAAACGTCGTTGAAAAGAACTCCGTTGTCGGTGGTTCAGATTAACACATCTCACACAAGTGAGCTGCACACATTGAAGGCTATGAACTTCCTCCCGCGTGAGGTGTTGCACAAATACAGCGAATAAAAGATACAAATCCCTTTGAAACAAGTGATGTTTTGTGCCGACCTTCTACGGTATTATGAGCCCGAGTGCAGAGTTACACCAGGTGTGTCTCTAATCCCTTGATGTTCTATGCACAGGTCTGACCCGATATGTAATGGAGCTTATCAGCGAAGCCCCTGCAGCGGCTGTTGTCATTGGCACAGATTACTAAATGGAATGACGCCAACAAACCTGCTCTCACCCCTAAAAATGTGCACCTTCTTATAAAAGTAGTATAAAAAAGCACACAGCTCACGGCGTACAGATACGTCCCGTCCGGTGTACTGGTCACTCCCTTACTGGTTATTCTGCAAACACTTGTAATTTATTGGACCTTGAATGGAGAAGTAACACACTGTTTAAATAGACCAGAGTCCCTCTGAGAGCAGCCACAGGTGTTCTACCGCTAATTTAAGGGAAACCTGCAGAAATCGGCTCCCCGCTGCCTCCGTTTCAAGGTGTAGCCTGTGGTTGCAGCACACCGACGGACCCGCCAGCAGGGCGGGGGCGTCGGTGGGTGAAATGAGAGCACAAACGTCCAACAGTGTTCCTCGTGAGAGAAACAACGTACACATGCTTTAATCTGAAGCGCGAACAGTAACATTTCACATTCATACATTATTCAACCGTTGTTTCCTTCCACGATAAGGTCTACTGCTTGGCACATCTTTCACATAATAATATAACAGCCCCAGATTGATCAACTACATTGGGTGCATGCTATTGGCGCTAAGGGGCAGCCATTATGCAGAGTGACAGCATGATGAATATCGACGTGTGTGTGCAGTTGATCGTGGTTGTGTGCAGCAGCAGTAACAAACAGGTTTGTCTACATTTAGCAATTTAACAATACACACAGGAGGACATGTTTGCTTTGCTGCAACTGACCCCTATTGCTTTTTTATATGAATCTGTCAAGTTTGTTTTCCACGAAAAATATATTGTTAAGTGTTTCACCAGGATGGTGAAAAAATAATAACCAATAACTCAAGCAAATCCTCACAGTGAGAGGCTTGAAAATGGATTTCAGCTTTCCTACAACTAGTCTCAGGCAATTATCCTCATAAACCACCTTGTATGATTCAAACAAAGATAACCACAGTACGATGTACAACTGCTTGTTTTATTCTTAATTGTTCTACAGTACCGCGAGAAACTGAAAAAAAAAGCTTGTGAGATGCATTTCCTCTCTTTCCTGCTGTTGCTAAGAAACAGGTTTCCCCTCCCCTGCAATCCCAAGAGGCCACGGAGACACGAGGACAAAGACGGCAACCTTTGCAAATGAAGACACTACAAAGGCCGTCTGCCACTGGGGCTTCACAACACGTTGATCCTCACACCCACAACCTGCCAGACCTCCAAAGACACGTCGGAACACGACACGCCGCCTCGCTGAATGTTCTGCTGCTCGCCAAATAAGGTCGCACACAACCCATTGTTGTGGCGTTTCCTCCGTCCACTCACCTTCGTAGCAGTCTCGGACCGTGTCGAAGTACACATAATACTCCTCGTTGGTGAAGAAAAGGAGGCTGAGCCAGGAGTCGAAGGCGTAGATGGGGACTATGAAGAGGATCCGAACTATGTGCCGCTGTTCATTCGGAGAGCTGTAGTAGCGCAGGTGCATGTAGATCTGAAGAGGGAAAGAAGAAATGTCCCAAAATACTTTAAGCAACGATGAGGAGAGACACAATTACCTAACCAGGACTTTTCAGTGGGTAAAACAATATCAGTGCCTCTGTTAACAGGCTTAAAATGAAGAGAAACAAGTGCATATTTTGGGGGGCATGTGCTTGTTCAAAAGGAGGGCAAAGATGTCTGCAGACTGAAAGGTGAACGGGTGGGTTTTGTGGGGGGGGGGGGGGGGGGGTTCTTTGAGGACGGGGTACAGGTAGATGGGGGTGGAAGGATGAACCAGAAGGGCTGAATTTGTAGAGTGAAGGGACATCCATTGTTTCTAAATGTTTTCACTTGCTATTCTTTTCTTTTGCTGGTGGCTTTTAAGTAATGTTTAATTAAAAATGACCTAAAAATCCTGACGCGGTGCGCGAATGATTTTAAGACAGAATCTAATCCCCAACCTCATGAAACCTGCACGTGGGGCTCCAGTTAGTCTGAGCAGGTCGGACCGGCGGACATGGAGTCGCACATCGGGGTGCGAGTAGCGCAGGTGCACTGACGCACACGGGCCCTTTCAGGTAACCGACACTGAGCTTTCATCACCCCTATCGAGGGCAGCGGAGGGAAGGAAGAACAGGGTGGGCGCCTCTTCATCCGGCTCCGCTCCGCTTACACAATGTTGCCGCTATCACCTTTCCTGGTCTGTAAACAGACACACACCTTTGGTAGCACAACAAACAGCGGGGGGGGGACAACGCACAAAGCGGAGTGCAGTGCGCTCACAGGGCTGGTTGCTAGGTGACCCTTCTCCCGCCTCTTCCTCCTCACACATACACAAGCACTTCCCCCTGCCCTTCCGTGTCCAAGTCGAGCTCGCAGCACTTGTTGCCAGACTGACAGGGGGCTCTTCTTCTGCATGTGACCAACAATGGAGGACGAATCGTGAGCCCATGCCTGGAGGAACAGCGCAGCTCACTTACACACGCCGAGCAATAAAAGCTCTGCGTCGCATTGGAAACGGACACAAACAAGGCGAACGGCACTTCAGCACTTACCTGCACCGCAATCACTAAACAAACGGCCCCAGTGACGTTCTACACTCTCATCACTGTCAACACACAGGGAACGAAATGATGCTTCTTTGCACCTTTACTTTTTTGCAGCTCTCCCCCATGTTATCCACCCCTAGGCGATGTTTTGAAAAGCTATTTTAGACGCTTCAGACAAACAACACGCTCTTAGGTCTTGCTTTGATCTCGAGTGGCTACGCTACCAGAGGTATCTGGCACACATTAGTTGTTTATATATACACAGAAACATATTCAGAACTAGGTCATAGTTTGACAGGTAGTCTCTAATGCTTGAGTTTAGTTACTCTGATGGTTAATTTCCATCAGTTATTGACTTTTTCTTGCTCCACTCACACAAACACGTAATGCACAAATATCCGCTTCGTGTCCAACGTGGAACAAGGAGCGTGGAGCAGCTACATGGAGTACTTGAAAGAATCTTTCTCCCCACAGGGTCGGAAACCTTTTTTTAACTGCATGCACGCGTTTAGTGCGTGAGCCTCTGGGCGTGGATGCTTATAAAAGGAGGTATTTGTACTCAACAAACCTCGTCACCTGAAGGTCAAAGAAAAAGAGGCCAAAAGGTGGCTGCACCTGAAATACCACCAGCCAAGTACTCAGACACGTACCAATGTGGTGTTCTGTGTATACGTGTATGAAATCGAATGAAAAGCCTCGTTCATTTCAACAAGACGGCAGCATCGGCAACGGAGCGTCTCGCTGCACACTGACTGGTGACGTGAGCTCCTCCACACCCCCCCCCCACCTCCCCCCCTCCTCACCTGGTGGCATGTGATCAGAAGAGCGGTCCAAACGAAGAAGCCCGATATAGTCTGGGCCGTGGCGGTCATGAGGAAAATGGGCTCCTCTGGTGTGACCACCGGCGCTTCTGGCACCCAGGAGGTGTTGTGCTGCTGCGGGGCCGCGGTGGCCGGGGGCCCCGGGGCGAAGCCCACGGGAGAGCCGTTCCCCAGCCTCTCCGCCAGCGGGATGTCTCGCCGCCATAGTTGGCCCATCTGTACGACCAAAGGAATGTACGTGAGACGCTCTTTAAGGCAATGCAACCCTAATCTAACCCAGACATGTTGGTTGAGCAGCAGCGACAACCGAGCCCTCTAGTTCACATCGCCGGAGAGGATCCGCGACGCGTGAACGTGTGTCAGCAGGCCGGAACTACTTCAATCGGAGAAGCCAGAAACCAGATAAAGCAGCGATAAAAGGAGGCGGCATAAGGTGGGTGGGTAAAAACCACACACACCAACACGTTAAAGGGGGAGGGTCCGGATCACTCAAACATAACAAAACAGTGTGAGTGCAATAAGCTCAAAGCTGCTGCCCCAATTCCTCCCCTTCTTTTTGCCTGTGCTTTGCTGCGGGCGGAAAAGGTGATTCTAAAAACAAAACATTTTTTTGTCTTTAAAGTGATTTTCACAAGTCGGCACCACGGTTCCGGCGCGGTAGACTGAGCCCTGTGGCCTCAGGTAGATGCTGCGATAAGAGACAATGTCTTTACCAAACACTCCAATGGAGTGCTTGCCTCCATGCTCCATGAAGAGGAGAACGAGGCTCTTACAGGTTTCTGTTCAGGTTTTATTTTTTAATAGACAAAATGAAAATAATATGTTTGGAATAAAGATATTTTTATGCACTCCAGTGACCATGAATGGGAAACACATTTCATATATATATTTTTCAAATATGCTATGCCGCTATCTTTTGAAGACAGCTGTGCCTTAACCATTAATGCGTAGCGCGCTTTCAGCACAAATAGATACCCGGTTAGTGAATTCAGTCTGATATGCTTCAGGTATATTTGGGCTTCAAATTCTTTCTCCACATTCACTTAAAAAAAAAAAACTAGACTAACAATGAAGCGCTGCACAGGTCAAAACCCCCTGTATTGTATTGTATTGTATGAATTGTATTGTTTTTGTACTGAATCAAGCCAAATCCTAACACTCCATTCATGCCACGTCAGCAGATTCTACTTCTGCTGGAATATCTCCATTCAAAATGGACTTCTAGGAAAGGTAAAAAAAACAATTCCTCACATAATTATGCCGCACTAATTTACACTAATGGAACAAAGATGAGCCAAACAGGATCTAAAGCATCCAGAAAGCTGCTCCACCACCAGCGGGATCAAACCGTTGTCGATATCTCAGTACTCATCTCTCCAACTACGCAAACGTCTTGGTGATGTGCATTCCAGGAAGGAGGAAATCTGATTCAGTGAAAAGTAATTTCACAATGACTTTCAACCCCCCTCCTGTGCAGCAGCTAAATATAGGCTGGCCCTCAGCGCGGTGATGGATGACACATGCTGCTCGCCAAAGCCTCAATCAGCTCGAGGCAACGCAGTCACAATAGGAACACATCAGTGTCTCGCACACAGCACAATACGTTCCAGGAAGATGAACTCCAAATGAATTGGAGTTTATATATATATATATATATATATATATATATATATATTTGTACATCGTTTTCATTGGCATAATTAAGCGCTGGGCAATGTCAGTCTTCATAATGTACTATTAATGCAATCTAGTCAGATATTATAAAGGAACGCATTTCAACGTGATCAATAATTAGCTGACTATCAGCTGTGTCAAAACAGATTTATATATTGATAGATATTTTTACAATTTATTTATATATTTTAGTATGACTTGGTTGGTAAATAACGTACCATGACTAACTAAAGTATATAAAGGGTCATTGTAGCCTATACAAGCACCATCATGTCAACAACAAAGCTCCGTGCTTCCCAGTGGGCCAAAGACACAAAGCTGAATGGACCCGTGGGCGGGACTCAAAACATGTATTGTACTTTGACCTCAATCGAATGAGCAGTCAGGCCATCACATGTCCTCAAGTCTGCACATGTCCTCAAGTCTGCACATGTCCTCAAGTCTGCACATGTCCTCAAGTCATCGCATGTCCACAAGTCATCGCATGTCCACAAGTCATCGCATGTCCTCAAGTCTGAAACACGCGATTAAGCATCCGGGCATTTTCAATCAGGGGACTGACTGTCGTGGTTCAGTGACCCCCCCCCCCCCCCTCACTAACTGCTTTAGGTGCAGCCATCGCAGAGCGCGCGCACAAGCAGGGAGCTTCCTGCCCGCGGTGACGCGCACGCACACAGTCGTGCTGCAATATGGGAAAAAAGGGTGACTTCATATTTAAAAAGGGGAAAATGGGAGACAAGGGGACACTATTTACCATTAGCCGAGGTGATTTAGATAAATCTAGTCTGAGTTACGGAAATAACGCAATAAAATGGAAGCTGTTGTTCGGAGCGGCTTCACGTACCTCATCTGCCGTAGTCCGATCTGCGCAGGTTTCAATCACAGCATCGGATTAGCTCATAGTGGCTAATCGATAACGAACCGTTGGGTGAACAGAAAGTTGATTAGCCACGCGTTAACAGTCAGACGTCCACTCGCCTTATCGCCGCATTATTGTTCGAGAGCCGGAAACTTGCCTTTTTGTTCCCCCTGGAGCAGCAAGTGTTGATCAGCTGCGCAGCGCTAACGCCGGAAACCCCCGAGCCTGTGTAAACAATCGTTTATAATAAACGACACTCAACTACATCATCATCATCATGGCGGAGACGCTTTCTCTCGTCAGCCCCATCCAAAGCTGATGGAGACACAGGTCCGTTATTTCCTCCACATCATCATCTGTAGTTCACTCAACAAGCAGCAGCTGCCACCGAAAACTCCGCCTACTGCGCATGCGCAGTCCCGGTTATTTATTTTCCCATCGCGTTTGACGTGATGTCACCTGAACTGCGCTCCATGTCGTGTCCGCAAAAACGATCAAACACTACACGCAGCAGTAAAACTATAAAAGGCAGAGAGAGAGAAAAGCCAGCAAACAGTTGTGAGCAACGTTCATTTTTATTACCTCATAAAATATACACAAATACTGTTGTAAATAAAGCTTGTTAAAGAACTGTACAAGATATCCGTACACAATACATAAAGTGAAATCCCCATCAACCACTTTTCTACCATTGCCAACCAAAACGGTTCCTCTGCCACTGGGTCATGGCGGCCTGTACAAAGGTGATCACACACGGTACACTGCTATTTACACATCCCTGGAATTGCATGTTATTTTTTACTGCGAATGACATCATCAAAGTTGCTGGAGATCGAAATCCAAAAAGTGACAAACTAAATATATCGTTGTGCAGAAGGAATATTGAGCCCTGTGTGTTACATGAGGCCGACAACCTTTGATGCGCAGGGGAAGAACAAAACAGAACACTTTCTAAAACAATGCGGGAAGATAAAACTAAACAAAAATGAGAACAAAAGGACAAGGTTATTTCAGACAAATAAAATCTATATAGTTTAACATAAATAGCAGAGATGGGGAATAGGCATAAAAAGACTAAACGAGTATTGTATTATTAGCAGGGATTCACTGCATCACTCGCTCTCACAAACACACAGTATCGGATGACCCAGCTGGCAAAGGAACAGCAGCCCATTCCACAATTTAGTCCTTCAAATACCTAAAAATTCTGGACCCAGGCCAGATTTATCTCATTAGTATGCATTTTTCTACTTAAAACAAGTAACCACATTTTGGATTTACATCAAAATTAAAACATATTTACAGTGAAGTAAACATTAAAAACAAAAAAAAGACAAAATCATTTGACGTCTCCCCCCTACAGGGCCTGCTCATCCCCTCCCATGACCTTCAATAACAAAAAGAATTTAAAAAAAGGTAACATTTAGAACTATCATAAAAACTGCAGCCATGTCCGACAGGCAACACGGGCAGCTATGGTCTCCGCTCAAATACACCGAGACTTTCCTGAGGAGCTTCCCTCAAGACGCGGAGTGTGTCTTTGCGATATCTATGCTCATTCTTCACCTCACCGCTCGCATGGGGGCCAAAAGGAGGCACGCAAGTCGAGGCGGGCAAAGTAAGGGGCGGTGGAGGTTTTGGTGGCTGAGTTCTGAGGGACAGTAAATAATCACAAGGTGGAAGAAGGGCAAGCCGGCACCAACTGCTACGTCACCAGAAACATTACAACAGCTAAATCACCACTTGCTTATCCTTTCCGACGCGACCTTCCTCTTTGTCCACCACCCCGCTCACCTTCCTCCCCCCATTTGTTCCATCTTTTAGCGGTTTTTCCTCTTACAAAAAAAAGAAAATGCCAAAAAGGAAACTAATAACAAGCTCCAATTTAAGATGTCCTCATGAAGGATAAACGGTAACACACACCGAAACGTTGTTTTTCCCGCCGTGTTGAACTGAAAAAGACAAATCTTCGCTAAGCATATATCAAATCACTAAGTGGAACGAGAATCATGCGCACGTCCCGCACATATATCTGCGTATTTGACGCAGACTGCTCTTCACACGTGTCTGACAGAAGGTACAGAGGGAAATGGACATTTTGCGGAATGGAGCTGGTATGAGCAACCATGGAGTCAAAAAGGTGTCGGGCCGTCATTCGTTGGCTTATTGTATTGTGGTGGTCCTCTGTTCAGCAAAAAAAGTTCTTGAAAGAGTGCGTGTTGGAAACCGCCACGTACGTCCCCGGATCCTTAAAAGATTCACTGTCCTTTTTTACAAAGCTCCTCGTGTCCATTGCCATTTATTAAATTTCATAAGACAAGGTAAAAACAAAAAGGAAAAAAGAAATCGGAGCGATGAATATACCTTGCAGCCCTGCAACGACAAGTGGAGGGAGAGGTTACTGGATTGTGACATTGGCAGGGAGGCGTTTCTGCACTCTGAAATGAGACCTCACCTGTCAGTTTCATGTGCATGCAGAGCCAAAGAATCCTACTTCCCCATGTGCTCAAACGGCACGCTGACCTGAAGGAGAAGCAGAATGAGGGACCTGTTATTGATACAAATGAACAACCGTACAGACGACCAAGTGAAACGGTCTTGAGTCGATTACGACTCGGATCCTGAAGCAGCCGACATGGCCGACCAAAAACGAGCAGAGTTGCTTCCTCACCTGCGACGTGGAAATTCTGGACTGGTCATGCCGGGCTGTGAGGTCGGAGGACGACACGTTGGCGGGGGCCCCGCGGTGGAGCCGCATGCTCACCTTCCGCTCCCTCTCCGCGCGAGAAATTGCGCGAGGCGACGTGTTCCCTGAAAGGATGGACACGTCTGAACTGACCACATGCGATGCGGACGTTCGAGGGGAGAAAACTATAGTGTTGGCCTCTTACAGCAGGCCGGTAGTCCGGGAGACCACTCACCAGACTGCTGGACCCGTGAGGCGGGGTTGGAGACGGCCTGCTCTGGCCCGTTCCTGACTCGGTTGGCAGCGGCGGGCAGGGGGCCCGGGGGCAGGCCCCGCGACGCAGAGCCCCTCGGGGCCCCTCCGATTCGCTCGTCCCTCTCATCTCCCGTCCTCCTCTCCCGCTCCCCGTCCTCGGCTGTTCGACTCGCGCCCTGAGAGACGAGAGCAGCCACATTAGAAGACGCTTCCTTTGAATAGGCTGAATTCTAATGATTAAGTGAGACTTTTTAGCACTGAATGGCCACATCAATTCTTTTGTGAGGAACGTTATGGGAACTTACAAATTTGAGCATGTTCCAGTCAAAAACATAGTCATAGGAGAAACCCTGGCGGTGGAACAGATTCCTGAAGAGCTGTCGCAGGTACGAGTAGTCAGGCTTGTCATCAAAACGGAGTGAACGGCAAAAATTCAGGTACGTGGAGAATTCAGCTGGAGGAGAACAAGTGAGCAAATCAGTGCTGAGAAACGGCAAGGGAAGAGAAAGTTGTCTCTAATTCCAAACTACAGGAAAGTGGCTGCCCAAAATACAGAGGCTTACTCACAAGGGTATCCTTTGCAAAGAACCTCGATGGGAGTGGACATTTTCTTCTCACTGATTCGCTCATACTTCTGTCTCTTGGTGGCGGCCTTGAGGCCCTGCCAGGGGAGGGAGCCCAGGTTGAAGTACATGAGGACGTAGCCAAGAGACTCCAGGTCGTCGCGTCTGGACTGCTCTGTTAAGGAAAGCGTGAAGAGGGCACGAAAGAGTGACTAACTGAGGGATCACTGTCCTTTTTTCAAGTTTTTAAATCAAACCTCGGGACTCGATCGATCACCTGTTTAAGGGATTACAACAGGTCACATTCACAGCTCATTGGGGCCCTTTTGGCAGAGGAACATGTGAAGGCCGTTCGTTACACAACACGTAAAAGCAAAAACATGAAACCTCCTGAACACTGACAAGGAAGTTATGGACATCGCGACCCTTGAAAAGCCTCTGAAGGTTGGTTAAGTTCCACTTTCAATGCATGCTTTAATATTATCTTACCAAATTACAGATACAAGGTAGTTGTTGGGGCTGCAGCTGTTCAGCTGGCAAACTATAATAACTGTTTTATGTGACTAGCCATATGAAACAGTTCTGCAATACACTGAAAGGATGACGAACAGGTTTCCACACGGTATTTCCTGCTTTCTTTGCCTCGCATACGAGCCCATCGGATAGGGTGTGTGTGTAAACAAGAGAGGAGCCACAGAGGGAATGGGGCGTGTCAATGAAGAACAACACGTTGTAGTATGAAGAACCGGAAACTATCTTTGGATAATGGCAGAAAAAACGTTATATAAAACATACAGCGGAAGTAAGTCTGTGCTTCAGGTCTCATTCATTTCTGACAGACGATCATGAATGATTTTCATATTATTTTCAAAAACTCTCATTCTGAAAAACTACTGCTGACAGGAGATCTGGCACGTAGTACAGAGCATTACACCTCCAGCTAGGGATGAATGTCGTGTAGAGGAGAGATCAAGATTAAGTGTTGATGAATCACATTTGACGTGGTGTAAAGAGGCAGCTGCTGAGTGGAGCAAAGGTGTGACCCCGATGAAGCAGGACTGCACGCTCTTATCCATGTAATATACTGTGAAACATAAAAGTATGACGTATAGGGGTGTAACAATTCATCCACTGAATCGATTAATCGACGATCGGCATTCCGGACGACATATATCAATTACAAATCGATTGAAATGGTACACAATCGATTGTATCGATACTTGGAAACTGCACATTGGATTTAAGCACAAAAACTGTATGGATGTGTTTGTTTGTTTTTTAGCACTTTAGACACGTTAAACGTTACTCGATTCAGTCTGCCTGTCTGTGACGTCATCAGTACGCAGCGGCAGCCGCGTGAAACTGAACAACAACAAAACACAGCGTGGAGGAGACGACTGCGAGCGAGACATTTACAAACTAACTTATCGATCCAGGGTGTGGAAACATTTGGGCTTTTGCAAAAAATCCGGGGTTCTGTGAATTGATCCAAACATTGTGTAATGTTTACATTGAAAATGGCACTTGATTCAAATAAAAGGTTAATACATTTGTCATCAATTGTTGTTTGCTTGTTTATAATATCCATAATTAATTTAAAAACCTGATTTCCTTACAAGAAACAGGGATCTAAGGAACTTTGCCTGCACTGTCCAGTAAAGTTACTGAATCGAATACTTCTAAATTAACCCAGATCGTCCATGAATCGAATCGGCAACCATGAATCGCGATTCGAATCGAAGTTAAACTGAATCGTTACACCCCTAATGACGTAGCAGAGTCAGTGTTTCCCCTGCCACGATACCAGGGCCAAAAAAAAAAAAAAAAGAGATGCATCTCACCAATTCCAAGATGTGTGTTGATGGAGGCGTAGCGCGCTGTGCCAGTCAGGTTCTTGTTCTCCCTGTAAGGGATGTGCTGGTGCGTGCGGGCATCGCGGTACTTTTTGGCCAGGCCAAAGTCGATGATGTACACCAGGTTACCCTTCTTGCCAAGCCCCATTAGGAAGTTGTCGGGCTTAACATCCCGGTGGATGAAATTCTTTGAGTGGATGTACTCAATGCGACTTATCTAAAAACAGGTGGAACAAAGAGGTCAGCTTCTGCAGCGCAAAAAAAGAGGCATTGGACGGCATCAGTGGGGCGTGAACGCACATCACGATCCGACGTGGTCAAACACTAGTCTTAGTCACTCAATACAGCAACACCTTAAATAAAGTGGGGACATGAAAGGAGGACAAGCGCAGACAGCAGCGTAAATGGAGGCAGGACAAAGGAAGGTGATGACCCCGAGCTATAAGTGGAGAGCCAAGCGCCCCCATCTAGGACTGACACAGCAACCTGGCTGCAGGCAGAACAAAAGGAGAAATGAGCTGCGTTGCGACAAGTCGTGTATGAAATGAAATGCATGGGCCAGCACAGTGTAAAAAGAGGAGGCCAGCACTGTGGAGTACACTGGCTGCACGAGAGAGAAGTGGAGATCAAACATACAGTCTTCAAGGAAGCCTCAGGGGGAATTATGTGCAACATCCTTAAAAACACACAGTACAGTGCACCTTCTCACTCAAGTTGTGTCCAAAGGTTTGACTAGTACTAATTATATAGATAGATGGAGAAAGAGCAAAGAGAGAGAGAGAGAGAGAGAGAGAAAGAGCAAAGAGAGCGAGAGCGCATGCACCAAAAAATAAAAAAGAAATTAGGTCATGCACATAAGCTAATGGGATCATAAATATTCCGTCTCTGCATTTGACTCGTAAACAGAACCGTTTCCCACAGTGGGATCTTTTCTGAGGGGATTTATAAAACCGTAATCATTCTGATGCCGTGAGTCTGCATGAGGGTTTGTGTCATACCATCTGGTCTGCCAAAAGCAGGACGGTCTTTAGGCTGAACTTCCGGGAGCAGAAGTTGAAAAGGTCCTCCAGACTGGGTCCAAGCAGCTCCATCACCATCACGTTGTAGTCTCCCTCTGCACCGCACCACTTTATCGACGGAATACCCACTAGAAGACACACAGTCAGCAGGACTTTGTTCAACCCGTTTCACTGGCCTTCTGGCACACCCACAGTTTATAATTTATCCGTCACAGTTTGGATCAAATCGATTTTGATCTATTTTATTCCTGATAATCAACACATTTAAAAGCCCTTCACTTTCACGAGGTGTAATTTAGATTACAAAATATATACTTTGTCCAAAGACGTCACGTCCAGCTTTCCAGCAGGCTCAGCAGTACGTGCATTTAGAATATTGACAGCGATATTTGAAAAGAAAAGCGTGGAAAACATTGAAAAGCCTGTCAAAGGGACATTCACGCTTTACCTCCTCCCTGCATCATCTTGTAGAACTTGCTTTCAATGTGCAACTGTGGGTGTTTGGTCTTCACACATTCCAGCTTGATGGCTACCTCCTCACCGGTGGCAATGTTGGCACCTGAGGAGACACAAAAGTACAACAGTCAGTATTCTCAGAACCGCTGGTTTTGGCACCAGTATTGTCCGCAGAATGGTTACAGCTCTTTTTTCTTCATTTATATATTATATCTGAATCATCAATATCTACCATTTAGCGTTACATATGAACAGATTTCAATTTTTGTTTGGAGGGATAAGAAGGAAGATCCGCTGCCAAGATAAGTTACGATACATTTTGGATACAGGATGAAGAGACTGTCCAGAAACTAATGTGGAAAGACCCTTAACAGAAGAGACACGTTGGAATGCAAACAACAAAAAACCTTCAATTTACACTCACCAAGGTAAATGTCGCCAAAGGAGCCGCTCCCTATTTTCCGCCCGAGCCGGTACTTGTTCCCCACTCTCAGCTCCATGTTTGCAAGTTGTCGCTGTCCTCAACAGACAGAGAGACAATGATTACGGGAAGGTCAAGGACACGTGCCAGCTCATCCGCGATGTGCCACTAACTAAGAAAAATTAACGGATAAGCTCCCGAGCAATTCAGCGGAACGTATCATGATCATTTCATCGACCCCCCCCAGAGTGACAGAGTGACGAGATCCTCAAGAGTCAGTCAGCTCCTGACGGGATGATCCGCCCAGACACACATACGTAGCCGGGGCTAGTTCATCAGCTAACAGCTGTTTGGCCTCCGGAAACACACGATTAGATTTGCATGTCCGCTGGGAGGGGGAGGTGGTTGCTGTGAGATCAGCAAAAGCAGGGAAGGTAGGAGGGAGAAAGAAAGGAGGACGAAAACCGAGGGCTACGTAGGAATGCCGCCCGCAACTAGAATCCACGGCTGCACGAGTATGAAAACCACATGAGGAAACGAAGGGCGTCTTCTGAGCTGACCTGCATGTGACGCCGGAGCGGGGATCATCATTTATTTAGCAGCCGCTCTCCCGAGGCACATTGTGCAGCCACCGCAAAAGCGAGCCGATGCTCTCCGCTGTTCCGCCACGGGAGACGAGGCTCGAGTGGCCGCCGAGCGCCGAACCGGCTGTGCATCGGAGTCAAGGTCCTCAGACGGTTCAGTGAAACGGAATTCAGAGAGCAAAAGTGCTCCTGGGAGCCCATCGACGCAGAGCATCTTTTATCCAAGAGATTCGCTTCCTCGTCACCAACCAGGGAACACAACGTAAACAAACCGAACACCTTTAAGTTACACGCTCAGTCATGTGACCTAATGACGGACGGTGATATGAAATAGACTACAGCTGAATAAGAGAATAATTTTTGCAAGATACTTACATGACATTACATTTTTGCTAATATATACACAAGTGTGTGTGTTATTTAATTTATATATATATATATATATATATATATATATATATATATATATATATATATATATATATGTATATATATATATATAAATGAAACTAATAGCAAAACAACGCTTTCTCAGAAGCCTCAGTTTTGTAGATGTGCCAATGCAAGCTAGCAGAGGAAGGGTCATCAGTTCTGCACGATCAGTCCAGTGCATTCTGTCTGCTTTCATCCAGAGCCGCTTTTGTTCCACATAAATTATCCCAGAGGTTACTTTGCTTGATTGTAAGCACATCGATTGAACAAAAAGTAAGAACTGCAGACGACGGCTCTGTTCTCAAACTACTTAAAACGATGACGGCTGATTTACTCATTTCCTCTTGGATAATCTGAGCCTTGTTTAAGGATTAGAATCAAAACTCAAATCAAACCTGCCTGACACAGCCGTCGCGAGCAGAAACGTCCACAGAACCAACATGTTGTAGGATGCGTCAACCTCAGCTGACGAGATGACAACCGGTCATAGTTGATGGGACGAGGCAGATGGATCGGAGTTAAACGTTGGGTTTCATTTCACCACAAGGGTCTGACACGCGCTGCAGCACACGAATTAGGGCACAACAATAATGACAAGGCCACGCAGTAAATTCCACGGATTAATGGCTCGGTGGTGGCACACTGGAGTGTCACAGCACGTCATTTAATGCTGGTCAGTTAAACATGCTGCGAGGGTCAACTCGGCACTGCAACGACATGCTTGCAGAAAACCTAGCAGCGAAGTGGAGACTGCATCATGTCATGTGGCAAAGAGTGTGACATGAAGCAAGTGGAACTGGCACGTTGCACCTGATCACGTAGCGCGCGCTGTCATGTTAGTGACGTCCACAGGACAGCGGATAAACACGCTGTTATTTAGGAACCCCCCCGTTACAAAGTGGGAGGTCAACTTGCATTTCTTTAAGTATTATCGGTGAAACCCACTTGTGAAGAAAGAAAACATACGTGAACGCGACAAAATAAATGCTAAAAAAAATAAAAGTAAAGTGCTGGAGGACTCGAGTCACGTGACGGCCTCTTCCACCCGGACAGCTGTCACTCATCACTCCGCCGGACACCAACATTACCATTAACACAACGTTGCGGTGGGAGATCGCGTTAAAGTAACGACAACGTCGCTCTTTCACGGTCGGAATTCGCCCAGAAGCGAGTCGGCCGTGATTCGACGTGACAACCGACATCGGCTCACCGTTAGCGAGACATTTAGACGGGGAAATAAACGCGTTTGACTTGTTAATAAACTGCGTGGTTCGCAGGTTCCGCGGCGGGCGTTACACGTCCCGTTATGGGTGGCTGCTGGCTGCTAGCAGTGAGCTAACGTCAGGGGAAGTAACGTTAGCTTACCGCGGTACGTGACTGCACCAGTTACCCCCGTTAAAACCCCAACGCGCGTGTAATTGTGCTCGCTGGCGTTGTGTCACAGTTCGAGACGTTGGAGAACCGAACTTGAGCCCGTTAGCGTAGCGGACTCTTCCCGTCCGGGTAGCACGTCCCTACAACTCAACCCCTCCCCCGTCCTGCCCGTAGATACGAGCCTCCGATCCGGCCGAATCTGGCCCCCTTTTCCCCCTCGGTTTCCCCGGTTCCCCGACCCGCCACTCACCCGATACCGGGTCCGTCGGAGAGCTGGTTCGGTGGCGGTTCTGATCCGGTGGTTGTCAGTCGGACACGGGCCTGCGCTGGGGAGGATGGGCGCGGATTGTGGCTCTCATACCCCCGGCTCTCAGCTCTGTCGTCGGCTCGCACTCCCTGTTGATAGTCCCTGAAAGCTCCAGCAGCTCGGCCGTCCTCCTCCTCCTCCCCCTCGCGAGTCTGTCTCCCCCCTCTCTCGTTACTTAACAACGCGCCCGTTCACAACGTCGATGATGTCATTCTCTGGATGTCAGGGCACAGTCAGTCATTAAAGGGAGACGTCACGTCGAGCTGCCGCCTCCTCTGAGAAGATGACCGTTGACTAATTACTAGTTACCCCGTTCATTTATGATGCCACGTGAGAGTCACGGGGCATTTTGCTCGCTGAATCCGGTCGTACCGGTTGTCTCTTAATGCGCGCATTAACTCATATGCAGTTGAGCAATTATGCCAGTAAATAGTATATAGTATATTTTCTGCAGTCAATCAGTTGGCGCTCAAGCATCACTCATGTGATGTCATCACTCAAGGTGGAGGGCTGCACACAAAGTGTGTTCTACAAATAATGGATATTTTCACCTGCACATATTAGATATTAATGTTGAGGAAATTATTTATTACCCTGATCAAAGCTGGGGGGAGTGTCGCGTAGGATGACGTGTGTGATAAATAGGATTGGTTTGTGAGTAGTAATGAGGCCAACAGATGGACACGCTGGCTTGTTTTGCTGCGCCCGTCTTTCCCCTTGACGTAAATTCTTTGTCATGACCAAAACTTTTAAATGAATATGCTGTGCAGTGCGTTCTCGCGTGCATGATGGCAGAGGGACTGAAACCAATCCCAGTCTGAGCCTTTAACAGATGGGACAAAACAAGGGCTTTTGACCACTAAGCATAAACCTATAAAAACACAAGGACAAATTTAGAAGCCAATACTTTCATCTTTATTAATCTTGTTCTCATTTGTTTAAATAAATTTTCCTTTGTAAAATCTCATAACGAAAACACTGAACAGGAGTGTTAAAGCCTGTCTTAATTTAAAACGAATACACAACAGAACATTAAAAACGTACGGTAACTTACTCTGCATCTGTAAACAACCCACCCCCCCTCCCTCCCACTACACAGTTTGATAAGATTTGGCATGTCCATTTACTCAACGCATATGCCTTCAGCTCTTTGTGTCATTAAATGTTCTTTTTTATTATTGCAGGTCGGACAATAAAAAGACAGTTATGCTAAAAAAAACGAACAAAACAAAAGAACACACAACTTCAAATGAGAAAAAAAAAAGCATTAGTGCCAATATTTCTTAACACAGTCAGCAGTATACCGAATGTACTCAAAACATTTTTGAATAGACCTTCTGTAGAGTAAGCAGCCGTGCCCACATTATGACAGGCAGTAACATGCGTACACACACACATTATCCTTACATTCACACGCACATACACGCGCACAAAAACTGTGGTGGTTTAATCCACTTACTTGGTCTTAATCTCACTCATACTAATGTCCATATAGTGTGTACGACACTGCAGTGTCAACACATGGAGAAATGCAACGTAGCCTCAAACTGCCAGCAATTTAACATTTATCACTGCAACAGTAACAAACATGTTCAAGAGAGAATAACAGAGAAAGAGTGCGTGAGATACAACAGTAGGAGGTCAGCATTTTGAAAAGAGAACAATGACATTTTTCAATATTTTCACTGTTCAAAAAATTAAAACCATACACACAAAAAAAAACGAAAAAAAAAAACTTAACACAATAAGATACAGTTCTGTTTTCAATCAGAGCTGTTTGCATGTATTTGGATTCGGTCTCCGTTTATTTTAAGGAGACGTGAATACAAACTGCACTTTAACCTCACATCATGTAGTAGTTTTAAGTTCTCTTATACGATGAAGGTAATGCTGTTTACAGTGCCCATCTGTCTGAAGGCTTGTCTGTATTTGGTGTGTGCATGTGTATGTAAATCTATTGAAAAGTCCCCTATTTACTATGCACATTGCAATCCAGTCAAGTCTTTGAGACCAAATGACTTTTCATTCTTTTTCAGGTTTCAAGTCTAAACAGTTGAAATCTTCATCTGTGGAAAAAGGCTGTATACACATCTAATAGTCCCTGCATTTGTTTATATAATAGCTTAAGTCTGGCCACGAGAATGTGTGTAAGCATGTCTCACATTTCTGCTTGATGTGTGTGCACATTAATATGCATACCATGTATATGTATGCACATGTGTATATTACATTAATATGCATACCGTGTAAATGTTTGTGTGTGCTATATTAAGTACATATTCATCCCAGTGTATTCTGTATCAGTGTGTCCAAACCTGCACGTACAAATGGAGGAGCTCATCAGATGGAGTCAGCTCCTCCCCCCAGCAGGTCGCCAGGCAACAATGCGGCAGGGCTGTCCATTTGGTGCCTTTCCTCCATTTGTGGTGCTCCCCACAGGCTGCTGCCGGGGTATCCTGCAGTCATGCCCCCCCACAGCCCAGACCTCGCAGAGTCTACTCCCCCAACACCGCCGCCCTCCCCTGCCCCGTTGGTGCTCCACTGGGAAAATATCCCTATGCCGGGTCCTTGGGCTGAAGAGGTTTCTGAAGAACTGCCTGTACCGTCGAGACTCTGCCAGGCAGAGCCGGAGGACCTGGCGCCGCCCAGGGCCGCTGCTCCACTTTCCCCTCCTCCGCCCCCGTTTCCACCTGAAGTGGTGCCCGCCGCTGCCCGCTCATTCCCAGGGGAGCTGCCTCCACTGCTGGCCACAGCCGCGCCCGTCCCGGAAGAACCCTGCGTCCCACCGGCTGATGACCCTCCTGAGCTGGCGCCCTCTGCCCCTCCGGCCTGGGAATGTGCAAAATAGCGAGCAACTTCTTCCTCGCTCACAAACTCCGCCAGGATGGTGGTGTTGCCCAGAACGCACCTGAGGAGGATATACAAAGCAGGGTTTTTCAGATCAGGCGCATTTTCACACTGGAGGTGTGTGCGCATATCAGTGAGCCTGCGCGTTAACCTACATGTGCAGTGCACCCTGGGCCTTGGCTGCTTCCTGTCGACTGCTGTAGCGGATCAGAGCGCTGCCGTGCGTCAGGCCGAGGTGAAAGGTCAGCAGGGGGCCGTGCTGCATGCAAATAGTCCTCAGCGTGGAGCCATCGATCTACAGGAAAAAAAAGGTCACGTAAGGTGTAAAAGAAAGTGAAAGAGAGCAAGAATGTACGTTGTGTATAAATAATGTAGTGATTCTCTGGATGTATCAGTCACACTTGACACACAATGAGATAAGTTAGTAAATGGCTTATAAATTTAAAAAATCTATACAACAAACTTTGTCTAGCCTTGTACGCTCTCCCAGAGCAGAGTCATGCAAGTGTTGTTTGTGTGAGCCCCAATTAATTAAATGGCTTATTGAGCTTCACAATCCAATTACAGCTGGGTCACGCATCACTCCGCCTAGTTTGCATAAGACGGACTGAAGGGGGATTCAGATGAATGAGCACAGCAGCTTGATGTTTTAGATTTAAACCCAAACCAATCTGTCTGGGCAGCGGTTTTACTTTTCATGCTATAAACAATTCGGCTGTGGTAAAAGGATTGTAGGAAAATGGTAATTCTACATGGTTTGAAGAGCATTCCCCGTCTCATCTTTTCCTCATCCTTCCGCATCAGCTTAGTTTATTGACCTCAGATTTGCAAGTGGCAACATTGTTGATCTTTTTTAATGTGCCCCTTTGGTGGATTTCCACATCTCTCAACTTCCACCAGTCCTTACTTGAGGTGTCAGGTTGCTCAGCAGCAACCAGCAGCTGCCTCGGGAGGCAGCGCCATCGCTCCAAGCTGAGCCTAAGAATAAAAAAAAGGAAAAAAGAGACAAACGCACGGAAGAGACGGACAGAGTAATTATAGAGGACGTCATACCTGATCACAAACGACCACCATTTACTAAGAGACAAATGTTTTTGCGATTCATGGGACTTTAGTGAGACCAGAGTCTTCATATTACTGTCAAGACGAGCTTCTTCTATACGGCATGTAGGTCATAATCTTTATCTTTTCAGTGTGAAGAGTACCTGGCCCAAATCTTGAGTCCTGATTCATCCCACCCCCTCCCCAGCTACGGGCCAATCGTGGGCCTCCACTCCCCCATGGGGAGGGCGAGGCCTGCTTCTGATTAGTTAAGCCGGGAGGGGGGCGTGGCAGCTGTGAGCTGTTGCGATTGGTCTTCCATAACTTGTTTTGTCCGATGGGCTCTGGGGGCCAACTGGGTTTGTACTCAGAGTACTTTCCTGAAGAGGAAGTACGAAGCAGGGAGAAAGGGAGGAGGGGGGGTGTGAGTATTGGCAAAAAGACCACAGGAACTGGAGAATAGAACACACAGTACGCAGCACTCCTTTGGCATCTTTGTGAGAAATACCGCGCATACACAATTCAATAAATGGAAAAGCAAACGACAAGTGCAATAAGAGCAGATAAAGAGATTCAAAAAGTGTTGAATGAATAAGAAACAAATCAAAACATACCTGTGCTGTGTGCATTGCTGAGGGGGCTGTCTGAGGCACTGTAGGGCCAGGCACCAGGTGAAGGCAGCGAGGTGTTGAGGGAGGGGTTTGGCCCTAGAAAACAATACAAGGTTATTCGATAGAAAGAATCCTGCGATGAACAAGAAGAGGAAACCAGAGCAATGCGGCACGCTTTCAGGTAAAAACCAACAAATGTGCTCATCCAAAAACATTTGTCAGTCATTCGGATACCTATGTTGTCTCGCAGTAACTGGTGGTCAGAGTCATTGAGGCTCTGGGGTCCCGGGGAGCCGAGAACACTACCAGGGGTCATGTAAGGGTCGGACTCTGGGTCGCCACTGCTCTGGATTCCCTTCCAGGGAACGCCGGGCTGGAACTCTATCATCGGACAACAGAAAACTTGTTGATAGACTGAAATGCTTTTTTCTAAACCCAACACCAATTTTGGTAATTCGTCAACATATTCTGCAGTTTCTTTGGCATTGAATAAATGAAAATAGTACAATAACTTCTGAGTAATACCACACACTCGACAGGTGGACAACAGTCTAATGCACACCTGCTCCATTTGAGCCCAACTTCAGATTAAATTCACTATCATCTGCTCCTTCTATGACCCTAATTCATCATCCTTTGGTAACACGCAGCAGAGAAGGGCAGGTTCACCTGGAGGCCAGCTGGACGTGGCAGGTTTGTTCCCCATTTTACTCCCAGGGGTCCGGTGCCAGTTGTCTGTGGAACCGTGAGGGGGAATCCCCAAACCGTCACCGCCCAGCATTTCATACTGGGAATAAGGTGATCCTCCCCTCCCTTTTATAACACTGGGTAAGGGGCCTTGGGAGGAGTAGGAGACAAAACAAAGTCACACAGACTGACAAGAATATACCTCAAATAATTCAGATACACTGAATTCAGATATCTGAATGAACTGAATTCAGTTCATTCAGATACACTGTGAATGAAGAGCAGCTTGTAAGTGTGCTTTCCAAGTGTGAATTTGCATTGTTGTTACGAACCATCTGCTACCCTACCGTTCTTGTGGAGGGACGTGTCAGGCGGCGAAGGAGCCGAGGAGTGTCCCTCCATCATCCATTTGAAGCGGGATTGCTGTCCTCCGGTGTCCTTCATCCCTCCCATCATGGGATTGAGCTCCAGTCCTGCCAGGCTACCACCAAGCCCTACCAAGTGGAAAAACACAAACAAACACATTACACCACAACTAATGTTCAGTTTAATACGGCCCAAGTAGCTCTTTAGTTGCACCAAGAATAAGGTCTGTTACAAATGGAGTCTGTTACACCAACAGTGGTAACAGATAAGGTAACATATGGGAATTTCCAAGCAAAAAACATCATTTGATACGTGCAGGAACCTGACCGGTCTTCAAAGATTATCACGACTACTCGGCGACAGGGTCCATTTTTTTAAGGCATAAGCCAATAGTCACATAAATTACTTGATTATGTATCATTCAATTACATTAGAAAATCGTGACTTATCCCTTAGAAAAGGTCACATGTCTGATCTTAAGACCAGTCAGATTGTTAAAAGTTATTATTGGCTCATAGTCATTTGACTAATAAAGCTGAATGGTAAATCCTACTCACCAGAGTACATCCCTTGCGTTTTTCCATGAATGTCTGACAAGGGCCCCCCCATTCCAGGATGTGTGAGGGGGTCCACCATGGGCTGTTTGGATAGGCCTCCTCCCAGGTGAGATGGGGAAAGCTTTGAGCTCACTCCTGCTGCTGCTCCTCCAACTCCGCCCTGCTGCCTCTGCTGCTGCAGAATTGCCATTATCCTTGCCAGCTGAGAAGGACGACATTCGAGAAATTAAAATCACCGCCGGAGTAACCGCAAACCACGTTTTTGCAGGGGGAGCCCCGGAGGCGGTCGGTTATGCGACATGGCGACTATTACCTGCTGCGGGTCTGGCTGCTGCCTCAGAGGCTGAGGCTGGGGGAACTTCCTCTGGCTCTGCAGGAGCTGCTGCTGCTGCTGCTGCTGTTGAAGCAAAAGCTGACAAGCCTGTGGGTCGGTGGGCAGAAAGGGTCAGATATGGAGGTAAACTAAGTAAACATTGGCCGGTGCTCACGCACAGACACTCCGGGTGGATTTATTAAGTCAACATGTATTTCGAGATTGAGCAATGTCAGACCAAAGTTGGTCAAAGCCAACCAGAAAATGAAAAAAGTTTAATATATAGAATAAAATAAGACCTATTTAAAACAACTCACAAAAATGGAAAAAAAGAAGTAAATTGTTGACAACTAATGATTTGTCTTTGCAGCTCTACCAAAGGAAAGTAGCCGTACCAGATGGAACTGCTGCATGTGGGGGTAAATGTTGCTGAGCATTGCGAGTTGCTGCGGGGAAATCTGGTTAGGAGGGAAGACTCCTCCACCAACTCCTCCGACACTCCCAACACCACTGACACCACCAACGGCACCTCCGACCACTCCACCCACACTGCCACCAGGAGAGGGCATCTGCTTCAGCATCGGACCCGGCACCTGCACGGCACAGGGATGTCTTGGTATATGGTGGTTGATAAAGACACTTGGTGGAGTAACATCAGAAACGGCGACAATCCGTTAATCTAGCTCCATCCACTCAGTACGAAGTATTATATTCATTTAAATTCCCAGTGAAAGTATTTTTAACAGGTGCATAGAGTGGGAAAATAGTGACAGAGAGCAAATAATCCAACACAGTCTGTGGCAGAGGTTTGTCCATTTTGTAAAATTGCAAAAAAAAAATACAATGTTGTTAATGGGGAACATCATTTGATGAAGAATATTTCATAATGGTATTAATGGGCTCTTAAAAGTTGACTCAAGGCACAGGCCATGTTATTCATAACATGAATACAAACAGAAGGCAACGTACCTGAGCAGACAGGAACTGATGAGGCACTTGAGCACGTAAAGCCTGGGAGGGATTCATGGGATGTATTCCCGGCTGGTGCATCCCTCGAGGCTGAGGCATTCCTCCGCCACTGCCAACAAACACCCCATGGCCACCCATCTGGAGTACAATGGAAGCCAAACCCACCATACATTTATAATGAAACACGTGACAGGTTTGATCCTATAGTGCTTTCTTCACTGCGGTACTCAAGTTAGCGCAACACATAAAAAGGGAGATTTCCTACTTTTTCACCGTAGGGCCCCATTTCAACAGGACCCATGTCTTTGGAAGTAGGCATGCGGTAACCTCCTCCACCTCTTCCTCCCCTCCGCATCTCTCCGTTATAGTCAGTCATTCCCCGCTTGTCTCCTTCCATCTTTTTGTCAAGACTTGGGTCATCCCCCTAAGAAGTCATGAACAGACACAGGGTGGTTAAACATTTGTGTCCACGTCTTTGTAAAAGGTACAGTGGAATAAGAAGTACCTGAGGAGAGAATTAAATCACACTCCCTGTGTGCTAGCTTTAAATAGCCAGTCCGGCCACGTGTGCATGCAAGTGACATTTGCCATTTTCAAGACTAGTTTTTGGAGAATTAACACCTTACCAAAAGACCCATGTTGGAAAACTGGCGTGATACTGGGTTCATCCAGCTGTCCCCTCCTCCACTCTGTTAGGAAAGAAATTCAGACATTACTCAATGTTGAGAAAATTACAAAACGTAACGAGTGCTTTCTGTTAATGCGAAGAAAAAAGCGTCCACGCAAACTCCCGAGTGTGATGGAACCCGTTGTTTCCCGTACCTTGATGTTTCCTCGCTTTCCTCCATGGGTCTGACCCCAGCCTCCGGAGCTGAAGGAAGCGCTGTTCCCATGCGAGACAGAGCTGTTCCAGACTCCTCCTCCGCCGCCGCCATCATCTTCCTCGTCCCAGCTCGGGTGACGAGAGGCGGCAACGCAGCTCTCTCCCTTCGCCCCCCAACTCTCCATTGATTTGGTGCCTGCGGAAAAATCCAAACAGGTTATAAAGTGGCCATGACAGTTCTCTACATGTCCTTTGTTTAATCTCTGGTTTGAAAATGCTGAACAGTCTTAAACTGAGGGACGTATGATGCTGCGTGATTGTTTAAAAAGGCTAATAAGCGTAAATAACTCATGAAATTCATGTCACAATCTACTTTTACACACAATTTTGTTTCTCTTACCAGGTTTCCCAGAGTTGGGCGAAGGGTTCCCCCAGCCAGAAGCCTTGCTGGGCTCATCTGGATCTCCCCAACTTGCTGCTGCATCGGACGACTGGCCCCAAGTAGCCGTACCGTTATCCACAGACTGGGCGCCTCCTCCCCACATGCCTGGACACGGACATATGAGGCGGAGTGAAGACAATTTTCCAGAGTTGACGTAAACACTCAAACAAATGCCAAATGCACACTTGTTTGTAATAGTAACACTTCTACATACCAACTGCAGCACTGCCAGGGTTCGGTTCCCTGCCGTGTTGCATCCCCTGCTGCCGTCTAGGTGGCTGTTGGTTGGAAGGCGGTTGTTGTTGTGGTGTTGGAGCCTGTTGACCGTGGCTTTGGCCGGGCGAAGCACTTTTTTTGTCCCACAAATTCACATTCTTGCTTTTGAAGCGGGTTGGGTCGCCCCAGGCTGACGTGCCATCGTCGATTTCCATTTTGCGACTGATGGACTGAGGGGAGGGTTCTTCCCAGCCGCTGGGCTCCAGGGAGTCGCTCCCGCCCCCGGAGATTTGGGGGATCGGGCCGGAGCTCCAGCCTGGGCTTTGGTTCGGATTCTTGGATGGTGGACCTCCACCTCCCACATTAGACCGGCTGTTCCACCCTCCTTGAATGGGCCCCCCCTGTGGCTGTTGGCCCTGTGATTGGTGCTGCTGTTGATTTTGGGCTTTCATTGGTGCCACTTGGCTGTTTGGTATCGGTGCTGCTGCAGCTGTGTGGGGCTTTGAACTCCCCCAGTCCTGGTGGGGTTTGCCTCCACCCACATCTCCCCCTCCCCAACCTCCTCGCTGAGCTCCCCCTTCATCCAAATGACCCCAGGAGGAGCCCTTCTCATCAGAGTTGCTTCCCCCTCTGCTCCGCCCATCTCCAGGTACAGAGTCCCTCTGCCCCCTGTCTCCTCCCCAACCACCAGCCTCTCCTCTTCCAGTCCCCTTCCATCCCCCTGTCCCTTTATCCTCCGGACCATCTGCCCACCCACCACCCTGTTCTCCAAAGTCTCTCCAGTTCCCTCCCCCTCCTCCCCTGTGATCACCCCATTTTTTTTCTTCAGTCGCCCATCCTTTGCCCTGGTTTTCGGGTGGGGGATCGCCCCACCCTCCACCAGCCTTGCCCTGGTGGCCCTCCATATCTTCTTCCGTCTTCCCAGGCTTCCTTACAGTGCTACCGAGACCGTGAGGACCACCGGTGGACTGTGTGGCAGTACCACCATCCCAGCCATCCCTCGGTGCGACAGCGGCCGGGTTCACGCTGGTCGCGTGGCTGCCGACCGCTGGCTCACTCGTCACTGAAGTGGTGTTCGACGGGTAGCCGGGGCCTCGACTGGTGGTGGGGTTCATGGTCGCTGAGGAGAACGCGGAGGAAGATGAAGCGCTTCGTTCGTTTCGGTTTCTTACTCCCGCTTTGGTAGCCAGGTCCCATGCCACATTCTGTCGAATCTGGGTCTGCCCCCAGCCGGTGTTGGAGAGAACCCTGGGGTCCAGGTCAGATCGATTGAGCATGCCGAGTAAGGCCACCTCAGCATTGGAGGTCTGCTCAGAGCTTGTGGTTACAGTTGACGCTTTCTCCTGCTTATGTCCATTATCACTCCCTCCTCCACCACTTCCATCTTTGGACCCTCCTCCACTAGAGGACGATGGAGGACCTCCATCCTGCCCTTCTCCTCCTCCCCACTCCCCACCTGTTCTGTCCACACTTTCCATCCCTTTCTGATTGTCCCAAGCTTTTGTCATAGTGTCAAACTTTGGTGAGGCAGAGTCCTGCAAAACGCTGCCACCAATACCTCCACTACTGCTGCTGTTGCTGCTGCTCCCATCTCCTCCTCTACCGCTTCCTATTGCTAAGTTACTCAAACTTGCACCTCCCGCTGTGCCGCCCCACTCCACTTCTGAACTGCCTCCTTCCCACGCTCCCTGAGATACCACTGGGGTATTTGAGCTACCATCATTTCCCCTGCCCCAACCAGCCTTGTCACCCTGGCCTCCAAAGCCCCACACACTACCCTCCTGCCCCTGAGCTCCAGTCCCTCCTCCACCCCACCCATCCGCCTGTGTTGCACTCACACACAGGTCAGAGGACACTGAAGGCATGGACCTCCAAGAAGAAGAGGCAGCAGAGGAGGACGATGAAGAGCCAGAAAGACTGCCACCTCCTTCTCCATCAACACTTGCAAGCCCGCAGACCACCTCCTCGCCGCCTTCTTGATTTGGTCCTGCTCCTCTTGCTCCCCCGGCTGAACCCAACTCTGGTCCTAGGTTTCCTAAGTGCTGCTGCTGTTCTCCACTTTGTGCTCCCACAGCCATGCCAGTGTGCTGCTGATGGAGACCAGTTTGATTCACAGATGAAAGCGGGTGAGTGGTGACGAGAGTAGTGCTGGCAGAGAACGAGGAAGCTGAAGTAATGGACGAGTGTAGTGGAAGGCCGTCGCTAGCCGAAGATGGTGTCCCAGCCTGCACCAGGGCAGGCCAGGCAGAGGGGTTCACGTTGGGGTTGAAATTGGCACCAGGAACAATGCTGCTGCTGCTGCTGCTGCTGCCAACCACAGGGCTCTCCTGAGGTCCAGGAAGAAGACGGGAGACTTTGGAATTGTAAAATGCTGCTGATCCCAGCCCCCCCTCCACCTGAGAGGGGGTGGAAGAGCCCCACACACCACCACTCGACTGAACACATTCATTAAGCGAGGAAGAGGAAAGAGGAGAAGAACGAGGTGAGGAAGGATTGTCCGTGTTCCCTGCTCTGCCTCCTACTGCTGCTCCTCCCTTCTGCTGGATGTTTCTCTCACTCCATGAGGCACTACTGTAGTTGTTGTTGTTGTTGCCAGGGCCGTCTTGCTCCTGCATCCCTCCTCCAGCTCGGTCAGAACTCAAGTCGGCCCCTCCTAGGATGCTAGGCCAATCCCCCAGGTCTGTCCCATCAACAATCACCTTTCCGCCGCCCTGAGAAAAGGACTGGCTGCCAGAGCCTGCCCCCCATGTGGAATTTGCATAAGTTGAAGTAGTAGTAGAAGACGATGACGACAGAGCAGCAACACATAATGACGATGAGGAGGAGTTGGGCGGTGAAGCAGAGGATGAACCAAGGTTGGAATCTATGTGGACAAAAATTAACAATTTCAGCATTGACAAAACCAACTGATGAGACCGTGGCATTTCAAAACATACAAGGTTGTCAGCATACATTTAGTGTGATTTGTAGCTGCTGTATTCAGGGAACTACATATCAAAATCGATCATCTTTTCTTGCAAGACATTCACCCACCTGCGCCTCCAGCTGTGTTTGCATTGGGGTCATCCGCTCCCTGTGAGGAAAGAGACGGGGCGGCTTCCCAGCCACTACCCCCTCCAGCGCCCCCTTCCCCTCCGCCTCCTCCCAGCAGCATGGAGGACAGCGGCGGCTGGCCCCTCTTCAGTAGCACTTTCTGATCCTGCTGGCAGCGAAATCTCGGTGGAACCTCTCTGGACATGTAGCGCTGCTGCTGGGAGGTCTGGCTTGCAGAGGGGGAGGAGGAGGGCTGTCCGTTGGCCACAGCAGTCCGCTGCTTTGCATTGTTCCCGCCACCAGGAGGAACTTGTGCAGAAACCCCGGCTGCAGCAGGACTGGGGGATGGGGGGGCGGCAGGGCCAGGGCTGGGGGACACTGAGCCTGGGGTGGCGAGCGGCAGGGAACCGGAGGGCTTGGCTGATTCTGGCACTAGAAACATATTTAATGAGCAGGTGTGAACCACGTGTAGACGTAGGCACGATAAGACGAGAAAGACAGTTTGGGTCCACTGGTACGTTAAGCGTCTCTATAGCTAACAGCTTAAAGAAGGTTTGAGAAAATGCATCTAAATTGTGAATAACCTGCAATCAGTTCAATATGATGAAGTTGAAGAAACAGGGTGCGGCTCATTAAAGCACATTCGACAACAAGATAATATGAATAGTGATTAATAAAAAGGCAGACACGACAGATACAATGAAGAGAAAAACATACCTTTGACTTTCGTTTCTGGCACCTAAAACAGAAAGAACAAGTGGGTCAGATATAAAGGCCGGCGCGTGCTTCTGCGTCTGCGTCGACGCACTCGCTTCAATTCATGGTTCTAAAGTCTTAGCGTGTGTTGCAGAACAATTCACCGCCAGAACAGGAGTGACGTGTTTTTGTTGAAGACGACCTAGAGAGTCACGTCTATTTATTTGTTTATTTATTTATCATAGACTTTATTGCCCCGTGCATCGCCACTATTGCTTTTCACCACGGACACATTTGTCCCGTATTTTCCTTCACAACTTTGTGCACCTCTCGACCGGCAAACCGGCGTTTGCGGCGATCTCCCTCCGTGAATCCAACCCGCTTCTACAACCCGCCAATAACGGCTTGTATAAGCGGTCATATTTACGCATTTCTTCCAACAAAAGTTCTTAAATCTGCTCCGTTCTCTCGTAAACATTCTTCGTTTCAATAATGGCGGTATCGGGCTATGAAAGCGGAAATGTGAGACTCCGTAAAGGACGTAGTTAGCAGACCAATCGCAGCCTTGTGCGCTGCGGGAGAAAAATGGGTCGACAGACACAAGGACGCGTGAAAAGGCACGCAAGGGACACGCAAGGGGGTCTTGCGTCTGCGTCGCTCTGAAAACACAGAAGCATAAACTAGGCTTAAAAATGACCTACTCTGTTTTGGTCTTTCTATTTGGACTAAATTGACTAGCCGGCCACTAGTCAGCAACCATTAAGAATTTGGCATTGACAATTCATTTTACAATTTCAAACCACCTAGTTTTATATTCCAATTCAAAGTAAGTCGCGAAAACAGATTATCTGCAAAGTTTTGAGGCAAAGTGAGCAGCAAAAGTTTTTGGTGAAGACCTTTACCTTCTGAGAAGTTTCCCTTTTCTTTTTATCTTCTTTCTTCTTTTTCTTGTCTTCCATGAACTACTGCTCCCTTTCCTGATTCTCCTGTCTGCGAGGAGAAATGTACACATTTCAACTTTTCACACCGAAAGTCACTTAATCCTCACTATTTCTCACACACACACACTTGACTCAAAACGAACAACATGCTCAGTGGCGAGAGGCTCCCCGGCAGTAAACAGCATTCATTCACCAGCAGAGCATCGCAACTCCGGCACCCAAACAAACAAAGAGGCTTCAAACGCTCAACCACTTCTGGGGGGGGTCCGGGTTCTTGATCGGGGCTGTGGAGCCCGCAGCGTGGCCCCCCCGTGTGAGGGGAGCTACGCTAAGCTTCGCCTGCGTTCACGTCAAGCCACACAACTCACACTCACGTCGTGGAGAAGCCCGTCAACACACCGCGAGAGCCCTAAATAGAGCCGGCGGGTCGGGCAGCAGAGAGCCGCGGGCCCCGTGTGTCCGCTAGCTAAGCCGCTCGCAATTAGCCTCGCGTCACACCGCGCCGACGAGGGCCACCTGCACAGCGAATGGCTGTAACCCCGCGTGACCGTGTCCCACGGGAACCAGCAAGCTGACGTGCCCATTAATCACACGCGCGTGGAACGGGTGGGAATGCCCCGCCACGCAGTTTTGGGGGGGGGGGGGTGTGTGTGTTGCAGCCGCATTAGACTCAAACAGTCTGCGTTTCGTGGAAATAAAGAGGCCAGCCGAGGGACCGCGGCGCAGCTACCAGAGACCACACGAATAGCCCGACTCCAGCGAGCAATTAGCCAATGCTAGTGGACTCCGGAGCAGCTGGCGAGCACCGTGTCGTGACCTGTAAGGGGAGGCGGGGGGCGGAGGGGCCCCCGCGGTGCCCCCGTGGTACCCGCGCCACCAAACGAACCTCTCGCGTTACGCAGTTGATTGCGGACAACAGGCGCGTCACATTAAGCTAGCGACAAGCCCCGCGTTAGAAGAGGGAGAAAAACAGTGCGTTTCGCTTACAAACTTTGAGGTTATAATACGGAACTCCGCAAAGGGAACACGGCGCGTTGGTTTGCCCGCGGCACCGGGGGACCGGGGCCGAATTAAACGACGAACTTCGGTGACGTTTCTCCAGCGTTGCAACGCTCCAAAAGCCGAGCGCTTCGCAAATTGAGAGACCCGAAATGTTGCAGGTTGTCTTAGAGGTGGAAATAACGAGCGCTTTCAAAACAAACGCACACACGCAGAATGTAAGACAGCAAAAGGCCCTCGACGGGGATTGTCGGGTACTCACCTCGGGAATCAAATGGGACATAAAGTGCTTCTGTGCAAAAATTCTTGCAGACCCACCGCTAGCAGGCTAGCACGGCAGCTAGCCTAGCGAGCTAGTTCTTCGAGGCTTTCAAGGCTAAATGGAATAAGAAATGACATCACCGAAAGGCGAAATGATAATCGTAGAAAAAAAACGAGGAAAGGCGATTATCCCTTTCGAGGCGACTATTGTTCTCAAGGTGTAAACAAAACACGCATAACCCCTCGATGACTGTCAGACGCTGTACGATCGGTTAGTTTGCTAGCGGCCATTTTGCTTCTGTGTGGAGGCTCAGCCAGCATATGATATCACCAGGCTGGTTGTTGATCACAGGAGGGAGGAGGAGCGCGGCCCGTACCGACACCGCTCGCCAGGGGGCGCCGCGCTCACTGGCTCCATGACGTCATGTTTGCTGAGCACCAATAGGTGCGCGGGTGGCTCTCAAGTCTGTGCAGCTGTGCAGTGACCGTGTTACTGAACGCTCCTCTGAGCTGCGTATTTAACACTATTGAGCCTTTTATGTGCTTTAGCTGTTGGTTCCCAGTATAAGCGTGTGTCATTGTGCGCACTGTATTATTTTTGATTCGTGAGATGTACTGTGATGTATTTATCAAAACAAATACAAAAACAATATTGACACTGATTGCCCAAACCACTTTTCAAAGGATTTCCTTTACCCTAGTGGCACAGAGTTTGTTAATTTTAATGAAAACATATTTTAATAGTAAAATCATATATAGTTTAGTCCGGTTGAGTGGAATTGCTTTTGAATCTACTATTTGTAATATGTTTTTTTGTTAGTACTACTCACTGCAGGGCAACAATTATTGTAATATTTAGATGAAAGCACCAACAATGAAATTCAGTGTGTTGTTTCACTGAGCACATCTATTTTCATCAGCATTAATTTAATTATCATCAAACAGGTTACAAAATTAAAAAATATATTTTGCGGTAAAAACACTATTTAGTACAACTTCTGTCCAGCGTAGTACAAATGCAGCACAAGCTTACTCACAGTCATACACATCCCCCTAAAATAGCCCCAAAACGTTTTTTGTATAAATACAGTTATGTCGGTGTGATACTTTTCAGTATGAACTGTTTATTGGGTTTAGACCTCAAACACCATGTCAGTCCCAGAAGGTCACAGTATTTACTCCAAATACAAAATGTGGATGAGCACTGCATACACTACATCCCAGCTTACAATACAATCCCCTACAACTAGTTTATCCCTCTTCGCGTCCACACGGTTTATATTTCTGCTCACATACACACCATAACGGAATAGCCAGTGACCAAAATGCCTTAAAAGGTCAGCTTATGTCATCCTTTGAGCATTTAAAGGACAGTAATGTGATGCTACTTTCAGTGAGGTCTGTATGGCAACGGTTCCTGCAAAAAGTTGGTGAAATCTGTTTTAATTTAACAAGTCCAGCTTGGCTACAAAGATGCTAATTCTTTAGAATTATTAAGATTACTTGCGAATCGTTCTCCCTTAAAATACTGTAGTATGATGATAAAACACCAAACGTTAATCTTTTCAGAAAACCCTCTCGCTGTTGTTTGGTACCTGCTGGCAGCTGTCAGATTATTGATTCCAAACCAAGAGAATATAGTGTGTAGTTTGCATAATGAAAATAAATATTCGTTTTTTCCTCCTCTACTGCAACCTATCCAGTTCGAGCCATGCCAGTGTCCTCTGTTGGCCGTGGATGGCATTGCATATGGCTGCCAGCAGCTCATCGGTACAGCTCCACGAGCTGGGCTCCAGCGTGTAGTAGAGCAGGGGCAACGTCTCCAGCTGCAGCTCCTCGGCCTGGCACATCTCCTCCATCGCGCTCTCCTCCCCACACCGCGGGAAAAGCTTCCTGTTTCAAGCGTTGTAGCGTCACGTTAGAGGAAAACACATTAAGTATTTCTTTACGGTAAAAAAACACCACACTGTGCACAGAAGGAGAGAAGTGAAAATGTACCCTACATGTGAACCTGAACGAGCCTGAATGAACTGAACTAAATGTACTTTACTCCTGGTGAAAACGAGTGTTCACTTACCTCAGCTTCTTGCGATTTTTGTTCTTAGGGCGGATATGGATGACGATGGGGAACACCCCCTGTCTCAATAAGCCCTCGACACTGGCCAGCCCCAGCTCCAGCAGACAGTGCTTGTCCTGAGGCAAGGAGAGAGATTTAGACAATGCGTGACAGTGTGCATTCATCATCATTTGCAAAATGAATCATTGCCTGAGAGAGACTTGGAATGTAGTTTAAAGTTACGCCCACGAATGTGTGTACCTACCTGGCTGATGACGTCCTGTATTGATTGCAGCCGTATTCCGAGAGTTGCCTCTGGATTGCAGGGATCCAACAGGAACACTCTCTTGTCTTGTGTCTCTGAAGCCGGGATGGGCTCTGCGGGGAACAGGAAACAAAGAGGAAAGAGGAAACTGGTGCATCACGCGATGTTAACCGTGCATCATTGTTTGGCAGGTCAATAAGAGTGTGTGCTGTGTGCATACCTGGTGAGCAGGTGTTGAACTTCAAACCCGACTCGGCAGGTTGCATCAGCCTCTCTATGAGACCACGGGAGAGAACAGAGGGGGAGAAGATGACCGGCCGCTTTGTCTGAACCTGCATCGGCTGCACTAAGCTGTACGGGATCAAGTGCTCCTCGTGACCTGCGGGGACACGTGGACATTAACCCCCAGTCATCATACAGAGCTGGTGCTGCATTCTGGGGACACTGTGTCTGGATCTTACGTTTGCTGAGCGTGTAAAGGACCGGCTTTGCGGAACTAATCCCACGGCAATTGGGATCCACTGCCTTGACCAGTCGTACTCGTCCGGTTGCTTTCCTCATGAACTACATGTAGGAAGAGGGAGAAAAATAAACATTGAGTGTTTGTGTGTCGCCACTTATGTAACAGTTTAGTTTTGTTATGGTGACTGAAAGGGAACCGTGGGTCGATATGAGCGGACTGACCTTCCTTCTGAAATCCTTTTCCTGCAGGGCCATTTTTCGTAGTTTAACGAGTAACAACTGTTGTGCCCTGTATTGGAAAACATATTCGTCATCGCTACTCTTACACTTGGCATAATCAACAGGTCTTGCCCCTGCCGTACCTGTTGTAGTTGGGCATGGTTCCTGCCTGCAGGGGCTTGGCTGAGTGTGGGTCCACCAGGGAAGAGTACCAATTGTATTTTCCATCATATCTTGTGTCCGTGACGTGTATGATGTCATCACAGGACACTGCCAGAGACGGCGTGTCACCGCAAGGCTCCATGTTGAGATTAACTCGCACATAGAAGGAGTCTGCACCCATGAAAGTGGGCGACGAGAGCTGGGAGCACAGCTTGGAGTATGCTGGGGACAGGGAACCGAGAGGAGAGGAAAGCTCATTCTCACCTGTCTGAGACGCGAACGCACAGACCTTTCGAGAATACCGTATCATTGTTTCATGTGAAGTGTGGAACGAAAAACGGACTCACCCTCTGGATTGCTCTGGTGCTTGAGTGTTGAAGGCTCCGTCCACCACTGCAGAGAAAAGTGGGCTACCTCAGCGGTGGACTGGCCGAGCGGCACGCTGCCACCACCAAACAGGACCTTCTCCAGCTGGACAACGCATGGAGGAGGAATATGCGCGGTCAATTAGGCTGTTCCCACAAAGAATCCCACAGAACTGTAACGTGCATGTGTCCAAATAGTACACATAGAAGCATTAGCTGGAGCCCACCTCCTCTTTGTAAAGCATGCACATCCACACAAAGCTCAAACGTGACTTGCGTTCTACACAGAGACACACGCACCTCCAGCAACTCGCTGCCCTCCTTCAGTCCGCAGAGCTCAGCCGGGGAACCGGCTCTCACGTGGCTGACGAAGATTCCCGTTTGGTTTCCTCCGACTATTGTAATATCGTCCGCTAGACTGGCTCTCCTGATCTTTGGTGAGAGGGGGGGGCTCGAGGGAGGGGAGCGGAAGGGTGTCCTGAGAGATGTCAGCGAAGGGCAGCATTAGATGAGGAGGAGGTGACGTCCACACGAGGCAGAGAACAGTCGTCTGGTCTACGCACACAAAAGGTGTGAGGCTTGTTCTGTGCTCTGAGATTTTATCCCCATGTTGTGTATATTGGGAATAGTTGCACTTTCAAATCGTTGGACAAATTACTAAAAGTTTGAACTACTACCTACTGTCTGCTAGAATTATTTTTTTCAGATCCTGCAGTTGTGTTAGTCATGTAAGTTCTAAAGGGCCGGTACTTTTGACGTTTATTTGAAACAAATCATCATTCTTATCTACGAAGCTGTTAGATGTTGCCCCGAGTGCTGTAGAAGTGGCATTGGTGTTTTAAGCTGGAAGCCATCACATGCTGCATGTCACAATTATTGGCTGTAATCGACAGGCATTAAATCCCCGATGTTGTACCTGAAAACACCAGGACCGGGCTGCTGTGAAGAGACTGCAGGCAGGTTGACCAGGTCGGGGGGGAAGAGATGAGAATGTAGCGAGTTCCAGGAATCACACAAAGAAGGCTCACTCTGCTCGCCTAAAATACATTTAAAAAACACACCGGAGAGCCTCGTAACTCACGCTCACAGGCTGCGGAACCACAAGACAATCGTTTAAAGGTCAATGCGATTTTTCATCGCATGATGGATGGTCGTTGATGCAAAACACGACGTAATCGGATTTACCTGTAATGGTATCGTTGTCATCACTGCCCCACGAATCCAAGTCAAACCTACTGAGAGCAGAAAAAAGGGATGTTTATAGATTGAGAGTAAACCATCAAGCTGCCATTGTGTATTGTTATGTGGGCCTGATTAACTCACTCAGTGTTGAACCGTCGGTTGATGGAGTTCATGCACGGTGGGAAGGGGAATGTAGAGAGTCGATTTATTTCTTTTTCATTGTCTTCTGTCTGCGGGCAGAGGGGTAGATTCAAAATACGCTGATTCTTACTCCGTCATCCTTTGCCTCTTTTATTCTTCCCTTCGCGTGTTTCTTAGTGAGCAGAGCGGAGTTACTCACTGATGAGAGGAGATTCTCCTCCGAGTTGGAGCGAGAATCTGTGGGCGACAAATAGAGCACTTCAGCACATGCATTCTGTGCAAAAATTGGAGAATTGTCCACCAGGTGTCAGCGCACACAATTTACCATCTGAGTTTTCATTGGCCTGGCCCCTCGATGGCGTCTGTGGCACAGATAGCATGAGTGAAAACAGTTTGACATGGTAGCTATAGAGATATTGTGCAGGCTCCAGCATGCTAAGAACATCCTACAATGTATCAAACCCCAGACAGTAAGAAGACCCCACAGCAGCTGAAGATGTTTAACTTGCAGTCCAAAAGCTACATTCCTTGCATGCCACAAAGACAACGTTCAAACATGTTGCTTAAGTCTCCAAAACAGTAGCGGGCACGGCACACAAATGAGTAGCTACACTGCATTAGGTGACAAATGTATAATTGTCGGTTATTCAGCTTTCAATCACGACCGCGATGCCGGGATGTGAGTGAGACCATCGATATGGAGCTGACCTTTCGTAGCAGCAGGTGGCCGCCATTGGCTTGGGGTCTCAGGTCCAGGGAACAGCAGGGGCCATAGCACTGGTCCTCGCTGCAGAGGGACAGGTGGGACTGAGGAGACACGGGGGAATCATGTAACGTGTTGTGTGGCTGCATTGGGACCCCGCTGCCGCGCTCCCGACCTGTGGCGTGAACTCACACGGTGCAGACCGGGGCTGCTCTGCTCCATTTTGCCCCTCTCCCTCTCTCTCTCCAGCTCGCTCCGCAGCTGCTCCTGGTCGGCCTGCAGCTCGCCAATGCGTTTGCGCAGTCGGTTCTTGTCCAGCAGACAGTCGGTGTACTCCAACTGCAGGCTGTCCCGACTCCGCAGAGCCTGCAGCCAAAGAGGCAAAGAAGGACGTGACGAAGACGTTGCATGGCGGGAAAACGGTCGACAACCAGTCAGGGGAGACGCACTGACCTGGTCCCTCTCTTTTTCCAGCTCCATGATCTGGTTGAAATAGGAGACGCTTCTCTTCTGTTCAGTCTCCCAGTCCAGCTGGAGAGTTCTCACCTTCAGCTGTAGCTGCTCGCACTGCGACTCCAGCTACAGACACAGTTCACCGTCTCAACCTCCGTTCAAACATTAAACAGCAGCTCTTTTAACGGAGTGAAAAAACACCTTCTCCCAGCGCTCCTCGGTGCTCTGCAGCTCTCCTTGTAGTCTGGTAATGATGTCACACAGCTCCTGCCTCTGCTCTGAGGCCTCCCTGCGGTCCTGCTGCAGGATGTCCATCAGGGCCTGAGGCAGACAACAGAAAAGCTTGTTTTGACAACATGAAACACTGTCTTTAAAAACGAGAACAAGCTGCTTAAATCTTTGTCTCGAGGGACAAATTATAAGGAAAAATAAGTGTGATTCATGACATAATAACAAACAGCATATGACGATAAACATACTATAACTCCGGAGGCAGGGACTGAGTTCCTCATCAGACTTCCTGTATTCTCCGCTTCGTGAACCTCCGGGAGGTGCAGCGGCTTTTTTGGCAAAGCAGGTGGAAAACCCTTTTTTCCATTAGAGTGCAAACTGTTTCTCTTTGCCGGCGTTGTGTTCCCTGCCGGGTTGATTGCTTGTTGCTCTGCCTTTGTCAAGCGGGACCGAAGCTCATCTACCTGTATGGAGACATGAAGACACACCCTGACATTTTGTATGAAGGAGTCGGAGTAAATATGAAGTAAGTATGTGTTCCATCAAACATAGCATTTATTATTTCTCTTTCCTAAAGAACTTAAATCTCCCTTCCTGTGTACGACATGGTTTTCCAAGTAACTGCATCTCTGAAAAACAGCCCCTTGAGTTAAATAGAAACCCTGTGTGCACCCAAACCAGCACCGTAAAGCTTAGAGCAATATGGGAGGCAAGTTGGGGGACGAGTAGCATAAGATCAAATTTGCCATTTCTGCAGCAAGTAACGGCTGTTTCCCAAGTAAGGATCAGCTGAGGAATGAGGTAGAAGATCTTCTGGGGGCCTTCTCACACTAAAAGGTAGCCAGCAAAGGTATTGTGTTCGACCACTCTATTGTCTCAACAGCCAGCATTTGCATTGAGTAAAACCCTCCTTTTAACGTCCTAAGGTGATAACCTACACCGCCTACCTGGCCCAGGAGTTCTCTCTCGCGGGTGGAGGCCTTCCCTTGCTTCTCCAGGGCCCTGGAGTACTTCACAGCCTGCTCCAGGTGCCTGTCCTTCAGCTTGCCCAGCTCTCGACTGGCAGACTCCAAGTCCTGACGCAGCCTGAAGATGGAAAATCCTCATTGATTCATTCTCGCGCGACACAAGGCGTACCGAGTGCCAGTGACGTGCGGTGAGGATCGTGGCTGGGAGGCACTGACTCTTTCAAAGTCAGAGTCACAAATATATGAATTCAACAAAGTAGCATAAATTCACCATTCAACTGGCTGCTCGCACTTCGACTACTGGTTATGTTTCATATCCCGTATCGGATATTCTTTTATAATACGGGGAGATGAAATCAAGCGTTCTGATTGGTTGGGAGAGAGTCACGGGGTCTACTGAGCCATGGTGTAATGTTACATATGACATATAGAGACATTAATTGCACGTGCTCCAACTGAGCAAAAACATGAGCAGCTCAACCGGTTTTATGAGGGATTGCGCAATCGGAGAGGAGGCGCGGCTCGGCGCTGCCGCCTTCCCGTATTTAAACAGGAAATACAGAAATTCAGCGATTTCGACTATAACAATAATCGGATTTATTGGAATCTAATAATTACACTTCTATCACAAATTAGTGGACAAATATATATATATATATATATATTTTTTAATCATCGTTATTTTCTTCATGATGACACAAGGGGAGGCCCTGCCTCCAGTGACCGCACGTCACTGCCGTGTACTTTCCGAGACGTTGAAGTTACTCATTTATGGATTGATTTGTAGTTTCAAACCACTCACTGAAGCTTCATGGTGACACGTTACAATCGAGAACAAGAGATTTGAATCTCAGTTGCTGGGGATCTTTACACAAGCAAAGGGAGGATTTGAAGCAATCTCAAAAACATCCGGTGAGACAAACCTCTCGAGCTGCAGTCTGTCCTGACGCTGCTCCTGAGCTTTGCGGTCGGCGAGGCTGCGCTCGTCCTCTGCCACCCGGCAGCGCTGAGACAGCCGTCGCTCGTACATGCGACTGATACGAAGCTGCTCCCTCAGCTTACGCACCTCCAGAAGGAGGAACTGGGTCAAACCCTCCGGGCCCTCCTCGTCTGGGGTGTAAAAACAGGTGCAGGTCATGAGTCATGAGTACAGGTCAATGTGTGTGGACACGGTAAACCACACGCATACGTTCCAAGGTTTGTCTTGGCGACCATTAGTGGTCTAAAATCTGTTTGTTTAACACGCCCCTTCATTCTTTAAGATCCTCTTAAGCGTTATAATAAGAACTAATAGTGTGCTCAGCTCTGCAAAGTTGTCTTTGAGTGCGTTGAAATCACTTTTTTAGTTGGTATCTCAGATTTACTTGGTGGCCATGTAGCGTTCAAACGTGTTAGAATGTGTTTCATATGTGCCAGTAAAGAGCCTTCTTATCCAACAACTTATGCAAAACTCTCGTTCCACGTTAAGATATTTCCTTCTCTTTGCAATGCCTTTTAGTTGATCCCTTGCAACCCTTCAATGAAGTTCAACTCCGAGCCTACACCTCTGGCATCCTCCATATGCAGAGAAGCCTCACCCAGTATGAGGGAGCATCGCTGGGTGGGCTGCTCTCCGGTCAGCTGTGTGTACTGGTCCGGGTGGTAGAACTCCAGCGATTCCATGAAGGCTTGGAGGCCTCGCGGGCCGTGACCCCGCAGAATATCCAGCAAACGACCTGCTCAACAAAAGGTGGAAAATAAATATGATCAAAGCTAAAAGAATCCCCCCCCCTTTTAAAGTGCTACCTCTTTGACGCGAGTGCCATGTGCACTGACGTCACGTATAGGCACTTCAAACGTGCACCGTGCCGAATGAGCGGCTGTAGCATGAACAATGAGGCCACAGACACATGAACCCGGTGCTCCGGTCCTCGTCTTTATCTTTATCGTCCTCCACTCCCCGCTCTGTCAGCCCAGCACTCCCTTTGACTTATGGCTGATTTTTATCTCACTCACTCCTCGTTCCCGCTTGTTGTGCTCACTGCAACATGTATCTACCCACATGTTCCTCTCTCACAACCTGCTGCAAAACCACTGGAGGCCTTACACAGAACGGTACTGCATGTACTGTATCGCTTATCATTGACGTATTATTGAGGACTATTTGTTGACCATATTGCATATTGAGCATCTTTCTTTCTGTGTTTCATTTTTTAATGAAGGCAAGAAATGCAGAAATGTAAGAATCTCTCATTCATCTCTTGTATGATGTTGCATATGATGATTTTATTGCTTGTCCCCCTCGTCTCATTTTTCTGTGATTTTTACATTTGCAGTCATGGAAGTTTATCTACATTGTGTATTAGAGATTATACAATTCCCAAATCACACTGGAACGATGTGTATGGGATTCAGATTTGACTGAGGAATGACATTACGTGACAGCCTGTCCCGGTCACTTCACGGCTTACTCTTTTCAGTTTACGATCTCTGTTTTCAGGTCATTTTTTCCTCCTCTCACCGGCCTTGCTGATGCGCAGCGGGTACTGCGTGGAGTTGAGCACCTCGTCTTCGTCATGCTCATCAATGACCTTGCACTGCCGCAGATACGGGGTGAGTTTGGCCGGGTTGAGGATGCGCGTGAGCTTGTGCCGTACCCCCTCCACCTTATCCCAAAGCTCCTCGCAGCGCTCCTCCGACCAGGGCGGACAGGACCGCACCTCCTCCTGAGCTTCGTCCCCATCCTCTGCCCAAACACCTGCCAAGAGACCGGAGATGTACGTGTAGATCAGAGAGTTTGATTGGTGTAAAAACTATGGCACACTGTTATTTAGTGACTCCCTCTGGATGTTACCTTTTCGACGCAAAGATAAGACATCATAAGCAAACGTGTGAAACCTCCTTGTGAAATAGGTTTTTAGTCTTCCTGATTAAAACGCAATACAAGACGATCCTCTTTGTCAAACACTGAGCCCTTTTTAATTGACATCATTCTTCAGGAGGATTACTGGATTTATCTGATGCATTGAGAAAGAATGAGACGAAGCTCCTCAATGGAAATCTTCCACGGGATGCAGAGGGGGGAATAACTACTCCGAATTAAAAGTCTGACCGATTAACATTTGACTTCAGCATGAGTGCAGGAATGAAAATACTGCTTTGACTCACACGTGAAAACACACAGGCTTCTCTGTTCCATTCATTTCACACTGAGGCAATTAGAGAATGTGAGTACTCCTGCAACTACGGGAGTGTGTTAAAAAAAAAAACAGCTACTAATTATTTCATTTGATGATAACAAGGTAACGGTTGATTCTGTCAGCAGTGATGCAAGGGAGGGAAAAATTTCGCCAGCCTTGCAGATCCAGTGAGAAATCGCTGAACAAGAACACAAGCCCACTGAGGCCGTGTTTTCTCTGCAGGCTCCACGTCTCGTTCCTGTTGGCTTAACAAAAGCCGTTTGGAATCCCAGATAGCTCCAGCTTCCTTCACATCTCACTGCAGTCTGGAATACTCTGGCCTCTGATGATTAGATTAACATGTATATATATATATATATATATATATATATAAATGTCTGCTTATCTCTCTCTAGTAGTATTGATTAGTATTTAACCTCCGTGTTGTTTAATGAAGATGAGACTGAGTTGCCTGAGGCTCTGTTATAGATGTGACTGATGGGCAGGTCGAGGCAGGTCTGGTGCTCTGGAATCTCCGTCTACTCATAAATTGACGCTCGTGATCTCATCTAATAACAACCAAACTACTATAGAAATCACCCCCCAAATAAAAGTACACCACCACCTTTTCTAACAAAAAAAGATACAACCTGCCATATTAACGTTGAATTGAGAAAAAAAAAAGTCTGCATTGCAAACACAATAACCCAAAGCTACCCATGCGTTATCTGCTGATAAGATATTCAGATAGCTTTGAAAACGAGCTCTTCTAATCCGATATATCCGATCTCCATAAAAACATCACTTTCCACCGACTGTTATTGCGTTGTTTATACTCATACACAATATAATGACATCATGTGGTAGATTATATGTTGCCATATGTGTAGGTCTATTTCCTGCTGTTGACCGAATTAAACCGATGATGATCACTGATTACACCTCCCGAGTCTTTGTACCGCCTTACTACGACTCGTCAAAGACGCCAACTGCTGAACTGTAAAACGTCGTCTTACCGCTCATGTCTCGAACCGAACCTCCTCAATCTGTCCTGAAGATGAGACCAAGCGGAGGCATCGAGTCCTCCTCGTCTCCTTCGGGTCCCAGTGTGCGTCACTGAAACTGAGCAGTGAGGTGAGAGCGCGCGGGGGCGTCACCAGACAAGCGGAACTCACAGCTTTACGCACAGCTTTACGCACACCTTGGCACACTCCTCTGCTCCACCCACGGTCAACCCCAACCAGCCACTTGGCGAAAACAAAAGTCCCTCTTATCACCAAATGCTAGCGGATTTCCTGTACAGATTATTTGGGCTTTAGGGGACCGATGTCCGAGGCAGTGTCCTTTAGCACTAGATGGCGCTTACAACCACCGATTGTCCACTCGTGCATTCCCCAAATGCGCATTATTGTTCTTGACTTGTGAGTGTTATCGCAAAGGCGTGACATAATGGCGGAATCATCCTGTTTGAGCAAGCAGGTTAACAGCATTTGATAATGGAGAGCATGGGAATCAAACCAGGACGTGACGAAGTCGGTTCACACAAGTAGCCAAAATAAAAGCGTACACATTTTCCGGTGTTAGGCAAAAGTGTTGAAGTGCAAAGTTGTAGTTGTTGAAAAGTTGATTCAAATGTTACATGAATTGTACCAAGGAACTGGAGTTATTAGTGTCAAGGACACTTTTACTCTAGTGTATTTAACATGATCGGATTTATTTGCAACTCTTGATGGATTTGAAATGTAACTGTACAGTGTCACACTTCTTGGTGTTGGATTTAACTCTTCCTACAGTGTATTTAACACACAAAGTTAACTTGTTAACACTTCGTTAAGTGTTGTGTGGCGAAGAGGGAGATCTGTATTTTACGGCTAAAAGCCAACAACGCCACCTCAGGAATTAACAGGGACCACCAGTCTGAGGTCAATGACAGGACACAGGTGCAGACAACACCGGTACTGGACGTGATCCTACAAACAAAATTATACAAGTTTATTTTAATATCAAATTATTTTCTAAAATACAGTCACGATCACAAAGTTCAATAAAATCTTTCTCAGGTTCTCAGTCATTCAGGTTACCATGGAAGGCAACGTGCAGGAGGGGGCTGAGGGCTCCCTGGCAGAGAGGACTTGCTGAGGGGGAAGGGGCCTAATGTTCCACCACACGTGAAAAACAAAAACAAACCACACACCAACTAGTGACACCGAGGTGCACTGCAACGAAAAAATGAAGGGAACCACCACCGGGATCAACCAGTCACTCCTACCAGCGGCACCAACAGCTCCTGTTCGTCAAAACAAAAGTAGCAAACATTAGTAACGTAATACGGGCCAGGAGGCCCACACACACACACACACACACACACACACACACACACACACACACACACACACACACACACACACACACACACGAAAGGAATGATTAAACCACAACGACGCCACTTTAGCTGCAAATCAAAGGTAACAGAGGCGTCTATGAAACAGCTGGACGAGGCCCATGTACATCTAAGCAGTACAGATGAGACAGCCTACCGTAGGAATTGGATGCTACGCCTAATGGGGAACTGCACCGGTTTGAAGGCCACGCTTCCGCCTCCAACCTCAGTCGGCAGACAGGTCGATGACGCGGAATGGGGAGACACAAAAGGCGCTCCGTGCAGCACATGGGACGCCACGCGCACAATGCGGCAGCCACGCTCCCTCGGCCGCGACCTCCAGCCAGACAAGTGGCTGACTATAGCAAACACAGAGCGCATCAGCTACCAATGCCTGAATACAAAACAACATTGCCCGAAACTTACCTAAAAGTCTTAAACCGCCACGACTTAACAAGATGAGCCTCGCCGGGCCCTGCAGCAGCCACGCCAGACCAGTCACACTGCCGACGCTAAAGTTTACCCCCGAGAAGAGGAGACACACCTGCCGTGGATGGGCTGTTCCTTCATGTAGCCTCAGCAGGCCCGTGATCAACCTGACAGGATGAATAATCACAGCTTGGTGACACACAGTGGGAGGGGGGGAGTCTAGGTGGAAAGCCACCTGATGTAGAACACCCCAAAAACATGGAGAGCCACTCTGCCACAGTTGATTCAACACTAACAAGATTGGGACAATATGAACTCCAATTGAATCTCACTGAGTCAATCCGAAATTTGCTGTGAGCCCCACTCCTCCAGGAATGAGTCCAAAACCCCCCAAATAAGTCAACATTTTTGCACTTCAGGTCCCCTTCCATTCTATAAAATAGTTTTTTGCTTTGATGGCTGAAAAGGGTTTTAACACAAAAATATTTAAACATTTTGTTCAACAACATAAAATATGTCACTAAATGCTTTTACCTGAAGTTTTACTTGAATTATGGCGTGCTACAGGTGGCTAAATGATACAAAACGCTGAGCACCGGCCCGCCTTTATCTCTGATGCTAACATGAAGTCAAGTTAGCGCAATCCAATGCAGGGACATTATATCTTTTATAAACTTCCATTACTTTGAAGAAATTGATTTTAAACATGATATAAAGGAAAGACTTTCTGCCTTTTCCTCCAACGGACCCGTCCATCCTCCAGCAGGGCAGGCCTGGTCGAGGGGGAAGGTAGGGAGTGGAGGGGGGGCAGTGGATGAGCATTCTTCTTGTTGTCTCTGAGGTGACGGCGGCACAGAGGAGCCATTGACGGCAGCGCTGGACCCCACAGTGTGCAAACCCTGGAATGTGTGATATTGTGACAGTTCAGTCACACAGAAATGGGCCGTGCAGAACTCCCTGAAGCGCTGTGCGATTTCATCTGCAGCTCTTTAAATTGACTCTTTTTCTGTGAGCAGCTGCTGTTCGATGTCTTTTTGAAATGATAGGCTCCACAGGAGCGGGATGGGGAGTGACAACCATTACTGCCGCACTTAGTGGAATACGCACGTTTCTTACATTCGCTCTGGGAGAATCTGTGTGAAGTGAATGCTAAAGACAGAGTGCCGGCTCCCCCACATGAAAGTCTCAGCAAAAGATGTAATCAGACACCCGAATGAATTCCCTATAATCATTCAACCATGGAAGCCAAGGGCCTGAGCAGTGTCTGTGGGTTTCGTTTCTATGTTTGTTCAACACTGGTCCTGCCCAGCACACAACAGGCCTACCCCCCCCACCCCCACCCCACCCGACAGCTGAACCCCCATGACTCCGTCAGTGACTCAAGCCTGGCGGCCGCACAGAGACGCCCCTTTGTGTCACTGAAGAATGCGTCTTTTCTGACTTTTTTAGAAAACAGAGGCAGAGAAAGAGAGGGATGGGGGCATGAGTAATCGAGACGGATTTAAATCTGTGATTTATGCTTCCTCTGTGGCCGTAGCTCTCCATCCATCAGCCTGCTGGTACTAAGGGTTGGACGACAATGCTTCATGACAAATTTCAGACTGAGAAATGAATATGCACAAATTAAATGTACCGGTTTATCTCCCCTTTTTCAATTGTATAGACAAAAAGCTGTATCCTGACGGTGATGTGCCAATGATTGTGCCTTGACCAAAAAAAGGAATCTTGTAAATATCCCAGAGTATTACCCTGCAATTTCCTGTTTAACATGGAATCAACATGCATACAGCAACGGGTCAGAGTGCAGGGAGGAATTATTATTGAAGCAAACAAAAAGCTCGGACAAACAATCAGCGGGAAAAAAAAAACTAAAACCAGAGGGTTCTTTTATTTATCACAAAATTAACATGAAAAAGCTTTATTTGAACGATTTAACTTTCATGACTTGCTGTGGGAAATATTTTCTGAAGCCCTGCGGAGACGACGGGGCTGATTTTGGTGTATTCAGGCCTCACTGAGCCTCATCTGGAAAAATTTGAAGCGTCTGGGAGGAAATCAACATGCATGCTGGGCGCTGGCCACAATCAATGAGCAACTGAAGACAACTTTTAAAGACACTATGAATCAACTCTTAGTCGAGGGCTGAACATCACAATAAACTCAGAGTTTTTCAGTAAGTTGCTGCTTGAAACAGCCGTGACGTAAAACTAGGAAGCACAGACTCCGGATTACTCCCAGTGTGACGTATGAATTGCTTGGGGATGGACTCTTCTACAGAAATGTGCACACAGGCATGAAGAGAGACAGTAAAAAGAAAAAACCAAGGCCTGCTGCTCTGGTTCCTGTCACTCTCCTTCCAGAGCCGTGAGGTTTGAGTCGAGACGTTTGAATTACAGGGTGTTACGCGGCTGTCTAAATCGGAGCTCCACCATTGCAGACATGGACAGCTTTACCAACCGCCACACATCAATTTCCCGTTGCACAGGTTTAAAAATGCAACTATTGCTAACCACATGCTCCAAGTTGCCAGTGTTACATTTAGCAGACAGTGAGCGCAACGCTTCCAACAGTCGACGGGTCTGCACGAGTATTTATGTGCGTACATTTCGGTCCATATACTGTGTTGTGAGTGTGCGTTGTTGCTCTTGCTTCTATTTGTGCATGATGTCCAAATGGACAGACTTGCAGAGGAAGTCCAGGGGTCACAACTCAAGCCCATGGGTCTCATGTTTGCCTCTACTTGCACTGAAGTCACATATAGGCATTTAGATACTCCGACTCCTTTAACTGGCATCAACCAAACAAACAGCCTCTTGGGAATGATAACAGTAAAGTAAGAGTGGTTGTGTAAGTTGTGTGGTAAGCTCTAATGAACAGTGTTTGCCTCTGCAGTCTCACAAACTGATTATTGTTATGCTCATCCCACAAACCCGGATATCAATCACAATTTACAGCAGGATTCGGGGATGAACGCTATTCATTTTGTTATGAGGAAGCTATTAAGTCTCCTGAAACCCCCCCGGACAATATTGGGTGTCTGTTTCCATGTAGCTCCATTGGCATCTGTGTGCACGTCTGGAAGCACAGTAGCTGGTTTCAATGCTTACGAGCTCTCCCGGACATCATCATATGCACCCCCCCCACCCCCCCCCCTCTAGGCTGACATACATGGACGAAGGATTAACCCTCGCTGAGTCACTGTGACCTCGCCGAACATTCTCCCAGCTCCTCAGTTCACTGCTTCATTCTGGGATCTGCCTTTAAGGTATTCCATAGTTGACCACTATGGGAATGACGAGTCATCATTCCTGGTCTAAAGACAGAAAACTATCAGTAAAATAGATGACACACTATAGATGAGATGAGATAGATTTGGGGTATTTCGCTGACTGGTACAACTATTGTTACGTTTAAATCCATGACATTTGTTCAGTAACAATGTGGGATTCATTTCAGAAAGTAGATTTTATCCCACGTCGTCACTGTTTTAATACAATTTGGGAATATTTGAAGTTGCTGTATTTAAACAAAATTACGTTAAGTTAATTTCTTAACTACAAAGATGGACCTTAATTATTCTACTTTGAATAGTATTTAGACCAATGAAATAAAATATGAAACTCTCTATTACCAGATAATTGCATAATCAGCTGGGAATCCGATCATGTTGTGATTTGAGAAGTGTCTCTTAATTTATGTTTTTTGGGGCGTCCATTGGTTCCTTAGTTTATTCCTCCTGAGAGGAGTGCAGAGAAGGTGAGAAAAGTTATTTTTCTGGATCTTTTTGATAAAAGCCTTTCACTCAGTGACAGTCAGAACTAAGTGAGGTCTTTCAGGCCCGTTTTTATTATTGTACTCCAGAAAGCACCGAGCACTGACATTACAACACTCTGTTGTCTGTTGGCCAACACTCAGCTTCCTGGCCAGTCGGAATCCACGGAAACGGGAGCGCAGTCCAGACAAAGACACAGGGGTGGACTTCTTTCATGTACCCCTCCATAGATCAACCTCAACACGACACTCTCCCCCCCTCACTTCCACTGGACAGTCCCACTTCCCGGACGGGGTTCTCCAAATGCACTTCTGGGTCTTTATGAGAACAGGAGTCTAATGTGGACCTGAACTCCGGAGCAGGAGCCGGATTCACAGAAGCTTGAAACGTCCAGAATCAGCAGACCCACCATGAAGAGTAATGCTCTGGTGAAGTGGAACCACCCCATGCATACCTGACCTGCTCAGACGTGTTTTTATCGTGTCCGAGGGACGGCATTAGTAGAGGGTGGTTGAACACCAAATGAGTTTCAATGTCTGAAGACTGTCAAAGCTTCTGGGCTGCCTCGTTGTGAGAAATCCACTTCCTGTGAAGTAAATCTTGTTCTGTTTCAGAGACTTCTCATCCTGTTTCACTAAAGCACTCCTTCCTCTCTTTCTTCATCTCATGCTGTGCTCTTCAGGCTTCGGCCTGTTTTTTCACGTTGGATAACATTGTTATGCTGCTCAGCTACTTCTATGCTCCAACATTAATACATAATTTTCTTAAATATAGGTTGAAATCTGCCAGAGACAACATGTTTACAGTTTACGGTGTTGACTTTCCTGTCATTGCTCTCTCCGTCTTTGCATCACTCCTTCTTACTTCTGGTTTTCCTTTTCCTTCACACTCACTGCTCATCAGAGAAACGCTGATGCTTTGCAGCTGTTGTCAACAAGAGCCGCTCGCCCTCTTCAGACCTACGGCGAAGAAGATCCCTCATTTCTCATGACTGTTGTCAAGGCCGATCACCCTTCACATCTAAACCTCCCCTCTCCCCTTCCTAGAGTCGATTACCCTCAGACCCTTTTCCTGCCTTCACTCGGCTTCCTTCTCTCCTTTATTCCATTCCGCTGTTAAATAGGCCGCGCCTTAATCTCCTGACTATTTTTTATTTTGTACTTCTTGGGACGCCTGAGCTGTTTTCAGCACTTGAGCGTCGTCCGTAAGGAATCAGTGAAACCACACATGTTGATGTTCCTTAGACGTGCTTGTTTTGTTGTTGCATGAGAGAGAAAGGTGTTGATCTAAAGGGTGAGGTGAAGAGGGGTCACCGAGAGAAGAGAGGTTAACAACACCCACGGGAACTCTTAAGAGATCCCATTTACAAGGTCACACAGGACGAACTGTGTCTGTGTTTGTATTTGTGTGTGTGTGTGTGTTTTTGTTTGCATTGCAGTTAGATGAAAGGGTTCACATGTTAAACATCTGTATGACGCAATGGCAGACTGAGAGGAACCAAGCTTGACATCAGCTTCTCATGAGAATGTTTTTTCTTTGTCGTGCCTTTATGTCTTTAACACGTGTTTCCATGTTTATTTCTCAAATTGAAAGTTTGCATGATCTGCTGTGGTGAGTCATGACTTCTTCTGCTCGACAAACACTAAACGATTGACTTAAACATTCAGTATGGGAAAAAAATTGCACACACGCACAGACACACACACACACACAGACACACACACACACACACACACACACACACACACACACAGACACACTGCAGAGGACACACTTCAGTCGTTCACTTCAACCGCTCTCTCTCATATGAGGACTTTGTTTACCTTCCATTATTTATTTATTCCTTCAGGCTTCCCTCTCCTCCTCCTCCTCCTCCTCCCCCTCCTCCTCCTCCTCCTCCTCCTCCTCCTTCCCCTCCTCCTCCTCCTCCTCCTCCTCCTCCTCTCCTTTCCCTCTCCTTCTCTCCTTTCCTACTCCCTCTCCCTCTCCTCCTCACCCTCTCCTCCTCTCCTTTCCTCCTCCCTCTCCCTCACCCCCTCTCCTCTTCTCCCTCTCCTCCTCCTCTCCCTCTCCCCCTATTCGCCTCTCCCTCTCCTCTCCTCCTCCTCCTCCTCTCTTCTCACTCTCCCCCTCCTCTCCTCTCCCTCTCCTCCCCCTCCTCTCCTCTCCCTCTCCTCTGCCTCCCCCTCCTCTCCCTCTCTTCTCCTCCTCTCCCCCTCCTCTCCCTCTCCCCCTTCTCTTCTCTCCCTCTCCCTCTCCATCCACCCCACTTGTGAGAGCTGCACGGATGTAAAGTTCATGTCCAGGCGGAGGCTCGCGGTGCGGACCGCAAACCGGGAGGATGACGCAGAGCAGGTCTGCACGGAGGGACTACTTTATTTGATGGTAAGACAATTCTGGAAACTTTGCGAATAACTGTGTTTGATTTATCTTGCATGACGAGAACTCGATGCATAAACCAACAGCACTAAATTAGCACTCATACAACATTTAATCCAGTTTAGTCGGCCGAGTGCGTTTCTCTGTCCGTCACAGAAGAGCGCAGTCACAACAGAATTGCGCATAAAGTTTCGATCTCTTTTAAAATCACTTGTTCACGAGCAACTTTCGCCCCGTTTTGCCCACGTGCGTCCATCACCGCGCACTCGTTTGGTTAAATAGTAACTGCGTGTCTTTCGGGCATTTTAAAAGTTCAGTCAAAATAACACAATAACGATATACGTGTGAAAAGCTGCAATAAATAACATCGGACACGCAAACTTGAGAGCTGTGGGAAACCCTGGAATCAGTGTTTGCAATGAGAAGTCTTAAATGATGTAACTGAACATCCTCTTCAGCAGCAGATAATAGTGAGTTATATGGAAATAGACACCACGTACACACGTAAAACTTTGACTTTTACACTGTTTCAATGTTGCTTTGCTTAATGTATCCTACGTGAAAAAAGTCTGGTTTAACATTAAACAAATGATCCATGATGAAAGCTGACCATAAAGATTGATTTGGTTTCCTGCTGTTGTTTAGAAATGATTTCTTTGTGCTGTTAAATGAATCATTGCACTAGTTGAAGAGTTCAATCGTGTGGAAAATTCTTATCTGAAATGCTTCATCTTGTGAGCTATTTTGTCGACTTAGTGAATTAAGGAAAGTGTGAGCGGATGTGAACAGGAAGATAATTTACACGTTGCAGTTCTCAGATATGATATTGACACAGTCTGATACGTCAAACAATGTCATGACCCCCAAATCACAATCAGATAGCATTATTCTCATGACAGCTGTCATTGCGGTCAGATAACATTATTAGTGTGGAGACACTCACCATAAATACCTGCCGGGCTTTGGCGTGTCTTTGCCACGTCGCAGCAGTCGACCGTTGTAAACCGACTGAGTGCATTTTGTATTTTTGGAGTCATGCGTAATGGTCGGGCTGTACTGACCTCAACCACAGTTTCTCGGTGCCGTGCTGTAAAAGGCCGTCCGGTCCAGTGGAAAAGGCAACCTCAGCGCTGACCCCATGCCACACAGCCCTGTGTTTGTGTGTGGGTCCAGGCACTAACACGCAGGCGAATCGCACTCTGAGATTGAACACTCCCTCAAATGTCACCAAAGCCCAGTTGTGCAATTTGTGGCTCTGTGTTACCAGATGTTTGACTTACACCTCAAATCTGCCTGCAGCAGGGATGGACAGATATGGGAAACAAAAAAAAGAGAAAAGACATGAGGTAAAAATGTGTTTTCCATCAGCGTCCTCAGATCCTTTATTTGACGGCCATAATAGACGGTGTCCGGTCTGCTCCCATTCCAAGCTGTTACCATTTTACTTTCCTGTCTCTGCACTCAGCTCACACTTTTCGGTGGATGCCGGCAGGTACAATTTACGGATGTACAACATGTTGAGCACATATGAAAGTCTTTATGTATCCTTAATGATGCCAATATTCTGAACAAAGTCCCCAGAGAGAATTTCTCTGTTGGTATTTACACTTTATTGTACACGAAGAGGTCTGCGTTGAGCTGCGTTTACTGCTTACAAAACTGTAAAGGAAGACGGAAAACCATATAAAAGGTTAATCTGGGGGTGAAGGCAAATGGCAGCTACAAATGCAGGAGAAAACAAGTTAATTACTGCATGTAAAGCTGAGAATTATCATGCGATGCCTTTGATGCAGCAGCAAAAGGAAGGATGGATGAAAGAGAAAAACGTTTTTTAGATGGAAATTGTATTTAAAGGTTATCAACCCTAAGAGATCAAATTTCTGGTATGATTTGACTTTTTCTAAACTTGTCGTTGACTGGGACAGTGGATGTTTGTCTCCCTCGATAATGTTTATCTGCCTCTCACCTTCTCGTGCCCCACAGGCACTAATCTCCCTCTTAAGCTAAATGTCATTGAGCTGAAGGATCAGAAGCGGTCTGGCAAAACAGCTAAAATGCATCGTACCGCCACTCCCTCCTCCTTATGTATATCACTCTAACTCGAGTACTTATTCTGTCACACCCATACTTTCCCCTTTTATTTTCCCCTATTTATACATACAGGGAATACCCACCCGCGATGGCCGCCACTCAACCTTTGTGCTGTTGAAAAACTGGGATTAGTTAAAGATTTAGGGAGGGTAATCTGAGCCCAGTAAGAGTGGCACCAGCACATGGGCAGCAGTTTGAACTGGTAACTCCTGCGACACAAATCCTGTGTAGTTTGGGGAGGTCACATGTTTGGAGTTCAGCTTTGCTTGCCTTGTCCTTGTCCTCTGTGGAGAGGTGGATTTATGGTGTTACTGTATAAATCTGGGCGATGGACCCGGCATCTGTGTGGCTGAACATGTGCAGACATGGGGCTTGTGATTTGTTTTCATTTTTATTGACTTTATTTAGTCAATAAAACGTCATTAAATAAAAAAAAAAATTGAAAGGGGAAAAAACCAAAACCATTAAAATCTGCATTTGTGCTCTAAAGTTACAATTATCAAATATCAATGTACTTTATCAATGTACTTATCTATTGAATGCATCTATGCTAAAGCAGATATAAATAAAACTGAACTGAAAATGTGTGTACTGAATTGAATATGTATTAGAAAGTACACAAAAGTTCCCGTTGTCCTTGTGTTTTATTCGTCAAGTTCAGTCTCTGAACAACTTCTTGAGAACCTGCTGACTCCGCATGCAGCCGAGAGAGAGAGAGAGAGAGAGAGAGAGAGAGAGAGTATCATTACCAGCATTCATCATCAATCCAAAGGTTTAGATGCCTGACACGTTCATGTGCACCTGCACGCTCCTGTTTCACTCTTTATTCTCGTGTCTCGCTGACCTTTCTCTCCGTCTGTTCTCCCGGCTGGCCGGAAGTGAACTGAATTAAAACACAGAAGACCCCCTTACTGGACCCTGTTGGTGAACTAAGTGGATTGAAGAAGGCAGAGAGCAAGTGGGGGAGTCAGAGAGGGGGGGGGACAGAAAGGATTAGCAGCTAATCCAATGCCTGGACAATCCTGGATGAGCCGTGTTTTTTTTCCTCCTTGGTGATGCAAGCGAAACAGTCGCTGGATTACGGCGCTCCACTTTGCTACCCTTTTCTAGAAAGCTTCACCCTTCTTCTTCCTTTTGTTTTTCAGAGGGACCAAAGGGAACGGGAGGACAAACAAAGACGCGGGGCGCCGGGCCTGCTGACAGGATGTCCCGTGGACCGTTTGGTGCCTCACACGCATGAACGTCTTTAAGTGGGAGAGACGGTGCGTGGCAGTGGACTACAAGCGCTCTCTGTCTGGACTTGAGACACACAGGATCCTCCTAAAAGTTGAGATGTATTGAGGACACGTGCCAAAAGGGACCCGCTGCCAGTAAGCCATGGAATCGAGGTACTGCTGTGTCGACAGTTTGTCTTCAAAAGTGCAACATCACAGAGAAACTATTTTACCGTGTAAACTAATCTGAAAACTAAGTAATCATGAGGAAGGGAAGCCACTTTCTTGTTGAAATGGGCCTATTTATAAATGCATATGCTTGTGCACAATACTGTCCGGGCTCACTTTGATTTAACGGCTTCCTGGGAAGTTAATCCGTTTAGTGATGCGAGTAAAATGTAAGTTGAGACTGACAACAAGACAGACTCCGAATCCTGAAATATGTCAAGTGAAGTGGTCACAGGCAACAACATCAGTCTATTTCATGACTGTTTTCTCACAAAACAGCGTTGAGTTGTTTGGCTGAGATCCCGTCTCAGTTTATTTGCAGTCCTGGCGGGATTCTGTATTTCTTAACCGTCAAAGGCAAAAACAAATGTGAAGAAGAGTCCAGCCAGTCCCAAACCCTCCAACCGCATGAGCCGTGGCAACCACAGGACACAGTGTGGCCTCATAGTTCATCGCCTGTGTCATTCTGTCATCTACTGTGCAGTAGAAGCGAGCTGTGCCGTGCTGGCAGAGAGATTGGCATCTTTCAGAGCGCAAAGGGAAACCGTAGGCCGCCAGCGGATAAATGGTTCCCTCCGGCCGCGTGGAGAATCGATTATTCACACATTCTCTGCCGACTGAGCAGCCGCATATTTGTGCTTCTGGTTCTCGCTGTCCCCACATTTAATCCCATTGTTCTCCGTCTCTGGTTTTACAGTGGCCCGTAAACTGGATTTTAAACTTGACTGAGATGTTCTCTGAGCTCAGACGCTCGCAACCAAATTGAAGGGAAATCACAGAACCTTTCCGCCACCATGAGTATGGGAAAACTGCCGGGGATTAAAGGCCTCGTGTCCGGCTCTCAGGGGAAACGTCGCTTCAAGAGCGAACTCTCAGTGGACATGATCGGCCCGCCGCTGGCCGACTTCCGGCACACTATGCACGTTGGCCGCGGCGGGGAGGTGTTTGGTGACACGTCCTTCCTCAGCAGCTACGGGGGCGTCGGGGAGCCAGGAAGTCCAGATTCGGCCAGCTCCAGGACAAGCAGGTTTTTCACGCGCACCTTTGGGCATGTGCGGAAAAACTCCGTGCCACGGCCGAGGGGGGGCTCCCGCGACTTGTCGTCCGCGCCGCCGGACGTCTCACCCATCATCAAGAACGCCATCTCCCTGCCCCAGCTAAACGTGGACTCCCCTAACGGGTGCCTCCAGCGGGTGCTGTTCTCCAGCTCCATCAGCTCAACGGACGAGTCCCTCTGCACATATGGTGAGGCATCGATAGTCACGTCCTGCATGGGACTGTGTCCATGGAAACCAACTGTCTCACAATTCTTTATTTTATTTTTATTTGTGCTTTTGTTGATTGAAGCTTAAGTTTGACTTCACGTTTGCACCATTTGCCAACTAAACGTGTCAAATTAGACGATCTATGTAGTGGATACACGTCAACAAAAAGGACGAACAGGAAAAAAAAGCTCCAGAGAAACAATTCAAACAGGTAGTTTCTGGATGGTGACAGATTCAGTTTTTTTTTTGTAAAAGACGGGTCGAGGTTTGGCAACAATCTCATAATCATCAGTTAGAAGCTCAGAACATCTTTCTAACGTGTGGAGTGTCTGGATGGATCAATACCTGATGGGCTGCAGCTGAGTGGTAGACCAGCACTACATTAGTTACCATGAATTAAGGAACAAACTGCTAATGGATGCATCGTTTCAGTTCTCACCGATCGCTCTCCAGCAGACAAAACCGCATAAGGAGCTGCTGGGCCGACTATAAATGTTGCTGAATACACCGACAGAGAGAGTGAGGTTTCCCTCCTTTCAACAGCACTCCCACATTCCTCCACGACAACCAGCAAACATGCAGGCTCCTTCTGAGTCATCTGGAGTCACCTAGGCAACACCTGTACACAATTAGGTCCATAAACACAAACGCACACAGCTGGTTTTGGGAGAAGGAAAGAAACTTAGGGGGCATTTACCTGTTCTGTGTGTGTGTCACTGCCTGAATGCACAGCATAAATACAGCGTTCATTATATCTGCTAGCCAATCAGAGCTCATCAGGCAGCAGTGTGCTGAGCGTGGACTGGAGATCCCCTCTTTTGTCTCCAGATAACTCGACCAATTCGTAAGCAATTTGTGTCATAAGTGTGTGATGCGGCGCCGCCATAGAAATTCAGTGAGCTCAAAGATATAGGGGCTTTTTTTTTGTCATCAATGTTCATCAGATGGAGTATTCAAAAGGAAAGTACAGCCTCCGATCATAAATGTTACAACTGGAGGCCTTCGTCAGGGTCTTTGATCCCGTCATGAATCGTCATAGCAAGTTTCTAGTAACTTCACTTTTTTTTTTGTTATAAATCTTTTTATTGATTTTACAACACATTCCAGACAGAAAAGCAGAACATGGCTGCCTCAAAAGGGCGAGGATTAACAGGATATTGCGTTCAGTTGCGTATCACTTGGAGGTGGGTAACTGTGACGAACTGCCACCGAATACAGAATTTACAAATATAACAAAGAAACAGATCGCTGTGAGGAGATACGAGTTGGATCAGACGAAAGCAGAAGATCCCCAAAACAGCCACAATACCCACACAACAAATAGAAAAAATAGAAACGGCAAACGGTACACTATAAATTAAAGGAAATATATATACATGTACACACACACATACCCTCCCAAATAGTTACTTCACATTTGCTTCCTCTTCTCTTGTTCTTCTTTCTTTCCTTTCAGTGGCCTCATAACGTGCTCACATTGTCCTGCTGTTTTCTACTGTCTGTAACATTTAGTATGTTTAGAGAGACATGTTTCTTTGTCCCTGCATGGACGTTTCAGTATTGAGCTGCTGGGTTGTTAAACACTTCCACCCCGTGGTGAAAGAATTCAATTACAGGACATGGCTTTATTTAATAGTGTGCACTTAATGTATTTCCTGTTGATCAGTTTATTTCTTTAAATGCTCAAAATTAAAATAAATACAGTATGTTGAAAATGGTTGGTGTAGTATTTGCAATAACAGTCAAAGTTGGTATTTTATTTCAATTATGCTCTCCAGAATAAGGTTGACTTCTCTTCCGGTTTGAACAAATACCTTCTTTTAACCGAGAAGTGATGATGTCGTCCCTCCTGTAACTGCCACATACATTTGTCTTTTTCTGGCATATGGCGACAGAAAATAAATGATTCTAAAACCTCAAAGTGAAACGATGTGTGCAGATGGAGTCTTCAACATCTGATTTCAAACTCAAGGGTATTTGTGGTGTTAAAACTGTCCATTATGTTTTAGATTGTTATCACAGGTTTATTCTTCACAATGTGGCTTCTGATTGAAATGTAGCATGTAACAGTTTCAGTGACTATAGTGCGGTTTCCTCTTCTGCCTGTTTGCAGGTCTGCAGTCTGGGTTTGTAACTCTGCCCCGCCTCTCTCGCCTCGACAGACAGTTTCAAGATGGAGACCTCAACAATGGCTCTTTAGCAGAAAGCGGAGGCCTCAAAATGACCCGCTCAGACTCCCTCTCCTCGTTCACCGTGGACCTCGGCCCGTCCCTTATGACTGAGGTACTGAGCTTGATTGACAACCAGAGCTGCTTTCAGAAGTTCAACTCCAGACACACAGCATGTGAGGAAGAGGCTGCAGAGGAAGAGGAAGAAGACAACGACAGCTCTCTGACAGAAACGCCCGTGCAGACCTCTGGGCCGACTTCGCCCAACCCCTCTATGGGCAGTGGGTCCTACATCAGGGCCGGGAACTCTGGGACGGGGTCCCCGAGGACACCGAACGAGTGCGCCGGGTCTCCTCAGAGAGTCGAGCCTGCGATTGAGGCCGAAAGGTTCCAGAGGGCAGCTGACGTGCTGGCTCGTCATTACGGCGGAGGGTCCTTCACAAAGGGAACGAGGAAGAGCGACGACACAGCGTCTCCTGCACCTTCCCAAAGCCGCAAAACCCCACATGCCTTTACCGAGGAGGAGGAAGAGATTAAAGTTTAGACGGTGAAAGTATCCCTGAAGGAGAGCTGTGACTCTATTGACCTGATAAAGCTGTGGAGGCCTCTGGTGGCCTGAGGCCAGGATTCATGTGATTCTGATCAAAGACCAGATCCTGCTACTGATTCCTGAACCTGACCTTTGACCTTCCCCCTGTCTGCACTATGTTCCTGCCATGCTTTTATAGATTATAAACACCTTTTTAATAACACAATTAATTATTAATTACTTTTGAAATTGATCAATAACAAAGATTTATAAGTGACTGAAATGTGTCCCACCTGTAGTAATTATACTAAGAACAGCTGACTGACTGAAAAAATATGTATTTTGAATGGATGTTCATTTTTTCACACAGTACGTAATCACTTATTATATGCATGACGTTCAACATCAGAGCGTATTCTACATAAATAAAGATTTACAGGTGCAATGGTAGCCTGAAATTGTCCACTGGTGTCCTTTTGAAATAAAAGTGCACCTTTTCACTGCACCTGTAACGTGTTCAGGCTACAGGACAGTTTATCAAGCCTTCATACGTTTTGTAAGGTAAATTATTAGTTAAACAATATGTGGCTGATACAATAACGGACTGATTTGAATTTTCTTTTGAAAAGAACATTTTGGACACACATCAAAGACCCTGAACAGCTGTTAAATTGTGTAAATAAACATTACATTTTGTCCTAACATCAGACCATTGTACAGCACCACTTTTCTTCTTAGTTAGGTTAGATCGATGTCTGTTAAGTCACCATCTAGCACTGAAGACGATGCTGAGCGTATGAGCCGTTGCATTTGCAGTACAGATGTGCTGCATGAAGCTTGGAAGCCTCAAGTTTAACATTACGTCCGTCACCTTGATGGTTTTTGGCTTCAGCTGTCATGGTGTTCTCAGCCTGTAGCAGTGTGGACAGAATCCATTCTTTCACTAATAAGGTGTTTATTCTGGAGGATCAGTGAGAACATGTGTGAAATTCAGGGACGATTGCTGGTCCAATAACTTACTTCAAGTGTAGCTGTTGTTATCTGGTAGCACTTGCACGCTTCTACAAACTACAATCCGGCTTGGACATTAACACAATAATATGTACCCATGGTTATGAAATATAACAATGTCACTTTATAGTAATCAATATAGTAATCCTGTACAACACATTGTGGAAAATAGTGCTCTGATCTTTGTCTGGAGATTTGCTTCTGTATGACAGGTATGTTTGAATTCAATAAGGCAGGAAATGGGTGGTGGTTTTCCGTTTCCTTTTGTCAAAGTACAACAACAATCACATTTATTACTGGAATCAAGACAGAAACAGTTGTCTGCTTTTGATATGGGCCACATTTATCTCTGCATTACTCCCAACTGGAACCTTTTGTCTGTTCAAAGAACAGGTGCATTGTTGAGAGTGTAACATAGGGAGGTGCTGAGGAGCATAGAACTGTGCCCATTCTCAATAAGTTTAATTCACATTACCTTTCCAATGGGTTTTAACCGAGAAGTGATGATGTCGTCCCTCCTTTAACTGCCACATACGTTTGTCTTTTTCTGGCATATGGCGACAGAAAATGAATGATTCTAAAACCTCAAAGTGAAACGATGTGTGCATTTTCTGCTCTGTTGCAGTCTGGTCGGTCCAGCTTTTATTTATCTTTTATTTTTATTATTGCTTATTTGTGATTGTTAGTTCTTCGTTTTTTTACAATGTCTCTGCTTGCACGTCGCCTGTGCTGCTGTGATATTTCCCCGCTGCGAGACAAATGGATTATCATATTTTTTATGATAGTAGGACAGATCAATTTCTGATCAACAGATTTGTTGTTGCCGGTTAAACTTTCTTTGTTTCACCTTCCTTTTGTCGTTACTCATTTGTGGATGCAGTTTCTCATTAAACCTTTCCCCACACATTATTTTATACGTTAATCGAGTAGTGAAGATGTCGTCTCTCCGTTAACTGCCACATACGTTTGTCTTTTTCTGGCATATGGCGACAGAAAATAAATTATTCTAAAACCTCAAAGTGAAACGATGTGTGCAGATGGAGTCTTCAACATCTGATTTCAAACTCAAGGGTATTTGTGGTGGTAAAACTGTCCATTATGTTTTAGATTGTTATCACAGGTTTATTCTTCACAATGTGGCTTCCGATTGAAATGTAGCATGTAACAGTTTCAGTGACTATAGTGCGGTTTCCTCTTCTGCCTGTTTGCAGGTCTGCAGTCTGGGTTTGTAACTCTGCCCCGCCTCTCTCCGCCTCGACAGACAGTTTCAAGATGGAGACCTCAACAATGGCTCTTTAGCAGAAAGCGGAGGCCTCAAAATGACCCGCTCAGACTCCCTCTCCTCGTTCACCGTGGACCTCGGCCCGTCCCTTATGACTGAGGTACTGAGCTTGATTGACAACCAGAGCTGCTTTCAGAAGTTCAACTCCAGATACACAGCATGTGAGGAAGAGGCTGCAGAGGAAGAGGACGAAGACGACGACAGCTCTCTGACAGAAACGCCCGTGCAGACCCCTGGGCCGACTTCGCCCAACCCCTCTATGGGCAGCGGGTCCTACATCAGGGGCGGGAACTCGGGGACGGGGTCCCCGAGGACACCGAACGAGTGCGCCGGGTCTCCTCAGAGAGTCGAGCCTGCGATTGAGGCCGAAAGGTTCCAGAGGGCAGCTGACGTGCTGGCTCGTCATTACGGCGGAGGGTCCTTCACAAAGGGAACGAGGAAGAGCGACGACACAGCGTCTCCTGCACCTTCCCAAAGCCGCAAAACCCCACATGCCTTTACCGAGGAGGAGGAAGAGATTAAAGTTTAGACGGTGAAAGTATCCCTGAAGGAGAGCTGAGACTCTATTGACCTGATAAAGCTGTGGAGGCCTCTGGTGGCCTGAGGCCAGGATTCATGTGATTCTGATCAAAGACCAGATCCTGCTACTGATTCCTGAACCTGACCTTTGACCTTCCCCCTGTCTGCACTATGTTCCTGCCATGCTTTTATAGATTATAAACAACTTTTTAATAACACAATTAATTATTAATTACTTTTTAAATTGATCAATAACAAAGATTTATAAGTGACTGAAATGTGTCCCACCTGTAGTAATTATACTAAGAACAGCTGACTGACTGAAAAAATATGTATTCAATGTGTTCAGGCTACAGGACTGTTTATCAAGCCTTCATACGTTTTTTAAGGTAAATTATTAGTTAAACAATATGTGGCTGATACAATAACGGACTGATTTGAATTTTCTTTTGAAAAGAACATTTTGGACACACATCAAAGACCCTGAACAGCTGTTAAATTGTGTAAATAAACATTACATTTTGTCCTAACATCAGACCATTGTACAGCACCACTTTTCTTCTTAGTTAGGTTCGATCGATGTCTGTTGAGTCACCATCTAGCACTGAAGACGATGTTGAGCGTATGAGCCGTTGCATTTGCAGTACAGATGTGCTGCATGAAGCTTGGAAGCCTCAAGTTTAACATTACGTCCGTCACCTTGATGGTTTTTGGCTTCAGCTGTCATGGTGTTCTCAGCCTGTAGCAGTGTGGACAGAATCCCTTCTTTCACTAATACGGTGTTTATTCTGGAGCATTAGTGAGAACATGTGTGAAATTCAGGGACGATTGCTGGTCCAATAACTTACTTCAAGTGTAGCTGTTGTTATCTGGTAGCACTTGCACGCTTCTACAAACTACAATCCGGCTTGGACATTAACACAATAACATGTACCCATGGTTATGAAATATAACAATGTCACTTTATAGTAATCAATATAGTAATCCTGTACAACACATTGTTGAAAATAGTGCTCTGATCTTTGTCTGGAGATTTGCTTCTGTATGACAGGTATGTTTGAATTCAATAAGGCAGGAAATGGGTGGTGGTTTTCCGTTTCCTTTTGTCAAAGTACAACAACAATCACATTTATTACTGGAATCAAGACAGAAACAGTTGTCTGCTTTCGATATGGGCCACATTTATCTCTGCATTACTCCCAACTGGAACCTTTTGTCTGTTCATAGAACTACAGGCGGATTGTTGAGAGTGTAACATAGGGAGGTGCTGAGGAGCATAGAACTGTGCCCATTCTCAATAGGTTTAATTCACATTACCTTTGCAATGGGTAAGGAACTGTAAATTGCCATCAGTACATATCGAACACTTAACAATTAGCTTAAAGACGTCCGTACAATTTATTATAACACAGGTACCAACAATTCTGCATTTTAAGAACACGTGTGTTCTTAAACATGGGTGCGTCAATCTGACGCAGAAAACACTCCCAGTAAAAATAATTTCAAAACACAAATGCAAACAGCCTTTTTAAAATCTGCAGTGTTGTTCTGCTTCTACAGGCCACGAGAGGCTGTTTTGGAGCAAGTTATTTCTATGTGTTATACAGTATATCAGTGAATCTTCTGGTGTACTTCGTGGTTTTGTGAACCCGCCTCCGGATCTCTGAATAAATAGGACCTGCACATTGACATTGCATCCACACCTCCTCAGACCTTGCAAAGGTAAGACACTGTGTACACTTCTAAAGAGCTCATGGGTTTTCTAAAAGAAAATATTGGGCCCTATTCAACAGTTTTATTCTTTGTTAAGTATTTTGGGCTTTTAAAAATAGAAAAAATACCACACCAGCACTTCAATGCTGAATGACTTATAGCATATAATGCATTTTTTTGTGAAGTTAATTTATGTTGTAGCTCTTGACGCCATTTATGTTTTTACTGCTTTATTTCTAAAAAGAGAAGTGAGAGACAGAAAATATGCTATGCTATGTAGCATGTACAATAATATAGGCACACTATTCGCCTGCATTTTTCATGATCCTGTTCATTTATTGTAATATTTTGTCAAAGTTGGTTGCAAATACAGGTTTACGGTTGTAACCTGTTAACGCAGAAAGTTTGTAGTTATTACTATAAAAATAAACCATTTAGAATCTAAACATTTTTGGTGTTTTTTCTATAACTTCACATTCAGAACACCATTGTTGATACAAGGGAATAAATTCAGGTCAATCATTATGCTATGGCAATGATCATTCATATATTATCATTATTTCTCCTCATTTCTCCTGTTGTGACTATTGTCATTCTATTGCAAAACTTCCCTAACTGACCAGCAGGTGGTGTAAAATGCTGCTGCCAAGTCCATTTATATCCAAAGACCGATTTGAAACCTGCAGCTGAGTCACTGGAGATTTTATCAGACTCGCCGAATACATTTGCAGAATATCTTCCACAGCCTTTGAATACACACAGAACAATGTTGAGCCACAGGAGAGGGCCTGAATGTTTGTGTTGTTCTGATAATCACAGCCTGCTCATAACATTTAGTTTGACATTAAAGGATATTGTACATTTTTACGTCTGTTTGACTGATGAGAGAGAATGAGTTAACTCTTTTAACTACAGTATGATGCGTAATGCTTGATTAACAAGACAAAATGAAAAGAATTAGCCAACTTGTTGAGTCCCCCTGAAATGATTGATTAGGTCAATATAATGTATTTCGCATTGTAGTAAGTTTTCAAAACTTCAGTCAGTGAGGTGGACCAGGACACTTTTGCGGGGATAGCAGACACAGGGCGCTTTTGCAGTCAGAAATCGCTGTTAATGAGAGTAGCTAACTAGCTAAACAAGTGCATTGAAGTGAAAATAAATTACATTTTAAGATACGTTAAGTTTCGATTCCTTAGGGTAGGGGTAATACTAGGCGAGACTCTCAAGAAACCTCACGATTTAATTCTGATTCAGAGGGCTACGAGGTGATTGTAAAAGGAGTACCGATTAATCTCGAGATTATATATATTAGATTATATATATATTCTGCTATTTGTAAAAACACAGCATATTTGTAAAGATTCATCATGTAAAGAAAAAGATCAATTCAATATTATTAACAAATAGAAATGTTACCTTCAAGTTAACAAATCTCTTAAATAAATCGGGCAGCAGTAAAAAACGGACGATCAAAGTAAAGGTTCCAAATACACCTAAAGGACCATTTTAGCTAACATTCAAACACAAATTCACTTAAAGTATCATTATTATATGTTTATATCGTTGATTTAATGGTGTCAAACTAAACTTTCACTTTTTACCTTTCGAGCTAAATATTGTTTTCTTTATTAAAGTTAGCTTTGCCTTTACTAGAGTCGGTAAAAGGATGCTAACGATAAATTAGCTGTGCGCCGCTATCGGCCTTGTCCGGACTAGCTAATCTATATCCTATATTCCAGTATTGAAGCTAAATGGCGGTAGTATTATTCCTAGTAAACTAAACGTGTGCTTAGTAATTTATTTTTATTCAAATTCAGCAGTTTAGCTAGTAAACGTTAGTGCGCTAATTTAACTCTACAAGGAGTATCCTAACGTCATTAGCCTTTATTTCGTTAGCTAGTTGTGAACACCTTAGAACAGGGGTCTTCAGCGTTTTTGAGGCCAAGGTCCCCCAAACTGATGGTGAGATGGGGCGACCCCCTATTCTACGGAGTTTGGTCCGCCATCTTTTATTTTTGAGCTTGGCGCTCTTTAGACGTGAGCATAAATGGGATCTGATTGGCTGGTGCCTGCGCTGTCGTATTTGCATGAAAGGAGCTGTGAATAAACCGGTGCCCAGCTTGAGAAAGTTCCTGTGGTAGCTGAATGTGTGTGTTGCGGACTGAAAGATAACGTCTTCTCCATCAATTTATCCATTCGCTACAATATGTTGGATTCATGATAATGTGTATTTAAAGACAATAAATATAATTCTGATTCAGATTCTAAAGACATTTAAATTTGTGGGAAAAAAAAAATTGTCATATCACCCAAGAATTTCGCAACCCCCCCCCTCCAGTACCTCAGTACCCCCTATTGAAGACCCCTGCCTTAGAATATATTGCTAGCACGTAACACTCGTCATTAGCAATAGATCACCGTTCACATTGGCAAGTTATGCGGCAGGTTTCATAAAGGACACAACTTAACGTTATCTAACGCTAACGGCGCATAAGCATGTACATGGGGAGTGTCGGCTTTTTAAATTTGGTCGAAAATAACACTACATAACAAATATCCTCAACAGAACAACTAGCTAAGATAAGAAGACATTAACACATAATTGTTTTATATTTAGACGGATGCCGATGGATTTCTGCTTACCTTTTCCATATGCGGGCCAACGGTGTATCTTCTTAATCTGGTTCGGACGAAGACTGCCTTCGCCTTGGTTTTTGCGGTCATGTCTAGATACTCAATTGTCTCAGTTTATTGCAACATGAATGGATCTAATAAATTTCACGTTTTTTGTAGCTCATGCAAATCCTACATGACTAAATCCCGTTCACATTGGAAACATGAATGAATATCGTTCGAAATACATGTTACACTCAAGTAAATGTAACAACCAGCAATTATCCTTTTTTGTGTGTGCTGCTGTAATATCTCCCCTCTGATAGTAGGACAGCTTGATTTCCTGTAAACCACGTGACTTAGAGGAAATCCCATATATATATCACTCTAAATCACGTGACAAGGAGGATATCGAGCTCTCGAGCTGTCTTACCTTCACTTACAGATTTGTTATTGCTGGTTAAACTTAATGTGTGAGGATGTGAGAGACAGATGTAGACCTCGCTTTCAAACTGTAAAATGAAACTCTTAATGCAGATGTTTGCTGATCCCAAAAAGGTTTGGACATTTATTGCCCCTGGATTTACTGTGCATGGGAACCGTGGTTAGTGAAAATATATGTCACCCAGCTTCAACCCGTATGACAATATCAAATCGAGAAAGGAAACTCTGTAAAGATGTACACTTCAAACGGAATCCTTGACACAACTTTCAAACAGGTGTCTTATAGTGACGCAATGGAAAGGAAAGTGTGACATCTACTGGCAGAATGTTGGTAATTGCGCCTTAATTACTAACTGCGTCACTTACTGTAGTGCATTTCCTGCATGGTTGCAGCATTTAGTTACTTAATAGCAAAATAACTGATGAATCTGATAACTGATGAACTGATAACTGAACTGATAAATTATCCCTGACATTCTATTGTCTATCCTATCAAACAATTTTTGTTTTTTTTACTTGTTTATGACATAGGACTGCAGCATGACCCTGTAAAGATGAGGAGCCGATAAGATATAGGAAGATAACGATAACAAAGCAGCAGGAGGACGAGAACCCGTACCATCTGCAGCCAATGAGAGAGGTAATGGTTTAAACAAGATTTGATTGTACACTTACATAGGTTTAATAGATTCTATTCAGATTTAAGGTTTAGACTCTGTAAGGATATATTAAAATATATAAAATTGATCAAATGAATATGACAATTAGTTTATTATGTTTTATTCTTTCATTGCATTTCTGCAAACACTGTTGTTTCAGCCATCACAGCAGTGCTACATAGTGATGTTATTCTGTTATTTAATTTCAGTGATGCCTGGTCTCACACAAGTGTTATTCGGTGAATTCCATTGACATTCGGACAAAAAAAGCATCTTATTTGTCCGTGCATGCGGAGTTAACACTATAGGGATATTTTCAACAGAAAATGGATTCATTTAATATTGGTGATATCTCTTATGATGCTGGTGTATTTATTAGAGCTCATGAAGTGCTGGATTTATTTGGTGAACTGTAAATTAACAAAGCATGTGGCCTTCATCAAATAACAGCAGAACATAAGCTGTGCTTAAGCCTAAACTAAGTCTGTGAGCCGTAGACTTCCAGTGTTACTTGCTATGTGTTTGGATTTTTAATCCATGCCGTACTTCCTGACATGACTGTTTTATTAGTCCCAGTAATCAAAAATAAAAACAGTAAAATATCCAACTACTGCTCTGTCTATAGCTTTTGAAGGTATAAGAACAAATTATCTTTGGCTTTAAAAATACATAATGACCACTAGTAATACATTTGGTTTTAAAAATAACCACAGCACAGACCTTTGTTTATATGCCAAGAAGGACATTTTAGTAAGTATGGCAGACGTTAATTCTAATATTGATGTGTTTCCTGGATGCATCTGAAGCTTTTGACCGAATTGATTTAAATTATTTTTTTAACTACAAGTCCCTCCATATTTGATAAGGGTTTTGCAATTTTGGTATTTCATATCAAACAATGCGAGTTAGATGGCGTAAGAGTGTATCTGCAGCCTTCCTAGTGACCATGTCTGTTGAATCATGTTTGTTTCTAAGCTAGAACACGAAGAATTTGTCAAAGCAGACGAGCTGTAGGCAGTTAAAGTATTGCATCATTCATATTTTTCTCTATTCAATCATTAAAACAAATCTTTAAATAGTGTGGTTCTTACGAGTGGATTTTTTTATTGTACAATGAGAATGAAAGAAAGAAAAAAAGAACAATTGTGTTTTTGTTCCCTAGGTTCCTTGGATATGGATGTGAGTGGGAGGAAAGACATGGTAAGTACAGTAACTCAGAATGTAATTTTTAGCACTGATTACCTGACATTATCAGTTTCTCTACATACATTCCATTTTTGTTTACAGAAGTCAGTGAAGGTTTCTGAAGGGGTCAACATGACGAAACTCAAATATCAAAGAGAAACTGAAACACTGCTTGGCAGACTTCATCTTCAAGACAAACTACAACGGAAACTGTCACCAGCAGACTTTCTTAAAGTAGGTCCACCTGTGAAACAGAACAATGAAGTATCTGAGAAAGATGTAGCTTATACCTTTCTTCAGAGGTTGATGATGTTAGACTACCGAGCCAGATATATTCCTGTAAGACAAGACAGTCCTGAGGTGAGCAACTCAACCCTTGTTAGAGAGGTATTTCCTGAGGGTACTGACGATGATGACTTTGATGCTTTTTGCAGCACCAATAGTGTCTTTGATCAATCTAATCTCAGGACTCACGTCCATCCAATGGATGTTCAGATGGCAGTGTTTCATTGCTCAGACAGCTTTTTTAAACAGAAAATGATAACAAAGCTCTCCCAGTGTCAGTATGCCTTACCTTTGCTTGTTCCTGACCAAGTAACAATGGATATTGAATGTCCTCTGTGGACATTCAGACAAATAAGAAAGACATGGAAGATGTCAGAGATGAAAGATGACTCAAACGTGGTCACCATGAAGAGTATGCCCATCTGCAAAGCTGAGACACCCATGGTCTCATTCCTCCGCTTGGGTTCACCATCTCTGTCTAAATCTCAGCTGATGAACACTTTGATCAACGATCGTCACAACACCTTCTTCCACAGAAACTGCAAAGGTAGCACCAAGTCTCGCCACCTGATGGATGGTGTTGCAGAGATTGCCTGGTACTGCCCCGCTGGGAAACCCAACGATGCCTTCACTGACTGCATCGCCTTCTGTAATCTTCGTGGCGACGCTCTGTTGTTTGAAAAACAGCGTGAAATACTGACTGACAAATCTTCAGTCAATGTGGTACTTGTACCAACAAAAAATGATAAAAACAGTGCAGTGATCTTGGCCCTTTACAACGGTGCAAAACCTCTCATTTGTCTCTTTGCTGATAGCGATGGTGGTGCTGTGGAGATGAGAAAGGGAAAATACAAAATGGGTTTGAACAACAGAAGCCAGTCAGAAATATCTGAAGAACTGAGAAAAACTATTGGGAAGATTTTGTCTGGATCTCATTCATTCTTTCAGCTTGAATCCATGAATAAAGTTTGTGGAATCAAAGTGGATGAAGTAGACACAGTCTGCCAAAAAGGGAAATCTGCAGCAATGAAAATTGTGGACTTGCTTAAGGGGATAGAAGTTTCAAAGATCAAAGATACATATCTCCCTTGTCAAGGTCAACTGTGGAAGGAATGGAGCAAAATCCACACAGAACTGTATCGCCTCAAAGGAAACATTGAGGATGACAAAGTTCAAAAGGAACAGAAACTGATGGAAAAACGACAAGAACAAGTCAATGTTTCCTTCAGTGAACCAATGAAAATGTTCATTGAAAGCCTCTCAACTTTGTCGGGAAATGAAAAAGATTATTTCTTGAAATGGACTCAGATCTTAATAGATGCCCTCTCCACAGACAACCTCTCTTCAATTCTCCAAACCTATGATACAAAGTGGAATGAGGTCTTGGCCTTGAAGAAGAAGCATGACAAGACTGAACTTCTCAAAACAAAACAAACTGAGCTTAATAAAATATCAACAAAACTACAGTCAGCCACTTTTGGCTTGGAGCACATCTTCAGAGAAATGGGACAGATCTATGAAGCCCATGAATCTCTACAGAAACACACAAAGAGTGGACCGACTGACTGGTCTAAATACCCTGAGCTGGCTGCAGAGCTGATGATATCAGGACACCCAATGGAGCTGATGGATGGTGATGCAGGTCATGTACCTCTAACATGGATCGCCGGTGTTTTAGAGGAAGTCATCAAGAAAGTTGGCGACAAGAGGGTCTTTGTTCTGTCAGTGTTAGGCATACAAAGCAGTGGAAAATCAACAATGCTGAACGCCATGTTTGGGTTACAGTTTGCAGTGAGTGCTGGCAGATGCACCAAGGGTGCCTTCATGCAGCTGATCGAAGTGTCCAAGGAGATGAAGAAAGATTTTGAGTTTGACTACGTACTAGTGGTGGACACTGAAGGACTGCGTGCTCTTGAGTTGGAAGGTAATGCCACTCTTCATCATGACAATGAACTGGCAACATTTGTTGTTGGTCTGGGTAACATGACACTGATCAACATCTTTGGAGAGAATCCTGCTGAGATGCAAGATGTTCTGCAGATTGTTGTTCAGGCTTTCATGAGGATGAAGAAGATTAAACTTTCTCCAAGTTGTGTGTTTGTTCACCAGAATGTTACAGATATTGCTGCTGCAGAGAAAAACATGGATGGAAAGAGACGGCTCCAAGAAAAACTGGACGACATGGCCAAACTAGCAGCCAAAGAAGAGGATTGTGATGCAGAGTTCTTCAGTGACGTCATTGCATTTGATGTGCAGAAAGATGTGAAATACTTTGCCCAGCTTTGGGAGGGAAGTCCACCTATGGCTCCTCCGAATCCAGGTTATAGTGAGAGTGTCCAAGAGCTGAAGACCATCATCCTCTCCAAAGCTAAAGAGTGTGCTGGGATCACTCTGTCACAGTTCAGAAGCAAAATTCAGGACCTGTGGAAAGCCCTGATGAACGAACAGTTTGTTTTCAGCTTCAAAAACACACTTGAAATAGCAGTGTACAGAAAGCTTGAGGTTGAGTATGGAAACTGGACCTGGAAACTGAGGAGCAACATGCTAGACATTGAGAACGAGCTTCATACCGAAATTCAAAATAGAAAACGTGAAGCGGTTGAACTCACTTACCTTCAGCAAAAAGTGAACACAACCTATGAAGAAATCAAAAAAGAAATGAGAAAATACTTTGATGATGACAGAGACAAAGACATGTTGGTTCAGTGGCGAGGTCGATTTGAACACAAAATCAAAGATTTTAGTGATGAACTAGTGAAAGGAGTGAAAAGAAAACTGGATGAAGTCATCCAGCAGAAAAAGGCTTGTAAAAAGCTTGATGACAAGAAGACAGAGTTTGAGAACAACCTGCTACAAAAAAGCAAAGAACTCGCTCATAAGTTGAAGGACATGGCAAAAAATGAACAGGAACTTGAAAAGCAGTTCAACTCTGTCTGGAGTGGCTTAGTTAAACAACTAACCGCAGATACAAGACCTATTGAGAACATCAACTATGATAAAGATCAGTCAACTGTCCTTCAGAACCTTGGTTTTGAATGGTCTCTTGTTAATGAATGCAAAATGAGTGGCAAGTACAAAACAATGTCACTTGCTGGTGATTTAAGTCATTATGTCTCCTTCACTACAAAAATAAAAAAATTATTCATGTGGCCTTTTCAGCCACTGATCAAAACCCTGATTGATGATGTTGAAAAACAGACCATAAACCAAATCAAGGAAAGACCCGTTGCTTCAACAGGCTACAGTTTAACTTACCTGCAAGAAGCTGCCAACACTGTAAAACAAAAAGTGACTGACTTTGAATCAAAGAAGAATTATGCTCTAAAGAAGGAGTTCACAGTTGATCTCTCGCTGTATATATTTCACAGAGCATGGACATGGCTTTCAAAATCCCACAAGGAATTCAAAATGAACAATGATGCACATTCTTATGTAGACAGCAAGAAAATGCAATATTACAGAGTTTTCCTAAACTTCTGCAAAGGAAGCGCATCTGCTGTTGTGCTTGGAGAACTGATCTGTGACAAGCTGAAGAGAGCCGTTCTCGAGGCCGTCTCCAACAAGGTCGCCAAAGATCTAACTGATACCATGAAGAGCAGTTACCCAGCATTCAATGGGAACAGGTCAGACTTGGAGAAACACATCTTGAAGTCACTTGCAGAGAAAGGGGACTTCAATAGTTTTATTACTTACATCCAACAACCAAGGAACCATACAGAGACGTATATAAGAGAAGAAGTACAGAAATACATCTCCACAAAAGAGGGAAAAGAGACGGGCATGAAAATACTCAGGAAAAATTTGGACGACATCAAAAATCTTGTGAGTATAGATTTATATAATGCAACAGAGAAAGTGAAAACCTGCGGAGGAGACGCAAACATGTGGATGGAGGAATTTTCCAGTTTGCTTCAAGCTAAGCTAACATTCAACACCATCTGCTGTAAAAACTTCAATGACTTGAACAGTTTTGACTTTCTCAAAGAAGGGATAGAGGAAGGTCTTGAATCCATCGTAAAGGAGCTGAGAAGCCTCTCACTGGATGAAATGCAGGAATCCAGGATGAAGCCTGATCAAATCCTCATTGATCAGCTTTGTAACTGCTGCTGGGTAAAGTGTCCATTCTGTGCAGCTGTTTGTACCAACACACTGGAAGATCACAGTCCTGACAAACATAAAGTCACTTTCCATCGCCCTGCTGGGATTACAGGATGGAACTGGAAAGGCACAAAGGACCTGGACATTGATTTCTGTACTACATCTGTTGCTAGTGATATCAGTTTCATTCCCATTTCTGATTCAGAAGTCAGCTTTCCTTATAAAAAGTATCAAACAGCTGGGGAGAAATACGCTTCATGGGAGATTACTCCTGATGAGTCAAAACTGGCATACTGGAAATGGTTTGTCTGCAAATTTCAAAAGGAACTGGAGGCCCACTACAACAAGAAGTTCCAGGGCAGAGGAGAAATTCCCAGTGCTTGGAAAAATCACACAGAACAAGAAGCTATTGACAGTTTGGATAAATTGTAAAACTTCTTAGTGAGTCAGAAACAACCAAGCTCTACTTGAGTGACAGATCCAGCCCAGCATGTTTTCAAATGGCAATAACAAAAATCTGGATGAAGTTGTTCCAAAATGAATGAAACGGAACCTGTTCATTATTGCGTCATTATAAAAATTGTGATTTCCTTTTTACATTAGTACCGAATTTTCCTGAAACAAAGAAAACTATTTACGTGTTTGTTAGTAATATTAGGATGATTTCAATTTATTTTAGGTGAATATTTAGAAGAAAAATGTTCAAAGTAGAAATGAAACTGGTGTTTCCAAGTTCTAACATATTAAGGGGATATTTTTACGATTGTACTTTTATGTGAAAATGTCATCAAACAGACATCACTCAATACTGTCTAAAGTCTTATGCTTTTCTGAAGATAGCTGATCAATGTGTAAAACTATTAAGAGTTCAAGTCACTTTTCCATCAACAGTTGACAAACTATGCTTCAAAATAGATTTTAAATGTATGAAAAATATTGTTCACCATTTAGCTTTTTGGGTCCAACTTTTCTGACTTTTTCTTTACACAAATGTTTCAATATTCTTATTTTGTATTAGTTTGTGTGCTTTTTGTTAAGAGATTGATGCTAAGTGCCAATGCTCAGATACGAGTGTTTAAAACCCTTCATTAATTTTGTCATAGATAAACATCATTGTTTTACTTACTATTACTACTCATCTTGGGATTGGTTTTGTTATTTGATAAATAAAACCTGTTATTGCTGCACTGCATTGCATGTTTTATATTCACAATTACCAACAGAAATATCAGTCTGTCAAAAGACAATAGAATTGTCTTTTTCTGTAAAAATGGAAGTTTGAAGACTAGATTTACTCTTGCCACGGATGGAATTTACATAGATTACATTTATATAACCCAAAATAACAAATTGTGTCAAATGGGTCTGTGTAAGGGGCTGAGGGTAAGAGTAATGGAGGGAGTATATATTCCAGCCAAAGGCCTTCCACCTACAATGAGGAATCGAGATCAGGTGTGCCAAGACACACACATGGACCTCATCTCCTCATCAAGGAGAAAGATGGCAGGGAGAAGGCAGCTCGGGAAGAGAACCCGCTAAGTCGGATAGCGGCCCTGGGGTGCTTACGTTTAATTTAGCTTGGCGAACACCGGAAATGCGCTTGGTTATCTGTTTTGTCACATTGTTTTATTAAAAAGAAAGAAGATACCATCTGCCTCTGCCTCTTGACTGCTGTGCTGCCGTAATTCTGGAATCCTCAGTGCAATCCAGTCTGCTATTTGCTGTGTGTTAATATCGGGGTTTTTTGTCAATAGTGGCAGAATAACCAGCCCTCCTCCCCACTCTGATGATGTCTCCAAAAAACACCCATCTGAAATTTTATGATTCAGTAAATCCGGTTCTTCAATCCCATCTTTTTTTCTAGTTTTTCTAAGTACTTTTTCTCCACTTTTCCACGTCTTCCACGCTGCATCTTGGAGGGATACATGAATAAAGGGTTTGTATGTTTTGATATATCAATTAGCATGCATTTCCCTTTGAACATTGTCACATCAAATAGCTGTTTCCTGCCTTGCAAAACTATTCTGTTATCTTTTATCCCAAAGATAAAAACAATAATTAGTTGTGCCACTGTGGTGAAATTTATGGCTTCCATTTCGTATTCCCTCACTCTCATTTCTCTTGTCCATCCAAACCCGAACCCCTGAAACTTTGTATACTCCCAACATTCCTGTATTGTTTTCTTTTGCCGAGTTTTCTTTCCCACTTTCTTTCAATCTAATCCAAAACGCCATCACCAGTTTCTCTCTTAACTCCAAAGGTATCTCTCCAGCTTCTAAGAGTATAGCATTAATGGGGGTTGTCTTAACAGCTCCGGTGCATACACGTAATGCTCTATACTGTAATCTATTAATTTTTTCCAGCACTGTTTTTGCCGCTGCACCATAAACTATGCAACCATAGTCTATTGATGACCTCATGCAAGCCCTATAGATGTTAATTACCGACTGCCTTCTGCACCCCAGTCACATCCTGCCACAGCTCTCAAGTTTATAACTTTTTTGCATTTAGTTTCTAAGTTCCTAATATGCATTTTCCATGTACACCTACTATCAAACCATAGTCCCAGGTACTTAAATTCATTTACTTTCACCATTGTCTGCTCATATAATTTTAAACTTTCAAGATGGCACTTGCGCTTCTTTGTAAACATCAAATAACAAGATTTGCTTGTCGACATCTTGAATCCCCACTTATATGACCACATCTCTACTTCCCTGATCGCTTTCCTTATGTTACCTAATACGTATGACACATTCCTTCCTCTCATCCAAACAGCCCCGCTGCCAGCACAAGTTGGAGTGTGTTAAGCCCATCTTGGCTAATATTTCTGGCGTTCTGAAGAATAATTATTTTCTATTTATATTCCCTCCAAGTGTTTGAGTTGGAAACCAAGTGTGCCTCTGTGCACATTTCGTCCCATGTATTCTGTGGTATGATCCTGTTCATCTCCGCCTCCCATCTCCGCTTATTTCTAGGGAATTATGTTGATTCATTAGATAGAAAGAAGTTATAAAGCTTACTTATTGTTTTGTTATCTTCATTTCCCATCTGTATCTCTATTAAAAACCTTTCCATAGGCGTACAGTTCACACAATTTCTCCGCTATTAGTCCACTTAGTCAGTTCTTCCATGGGCGCATCTGAAAAAGGTAAAACTTGCAAGTGTGTGGTTTTATTTCCTGTCTTATTTTGTAGTTTTCTGCTTCTTGTCTCCCTGGGTAACTTCACTTCCTGCCTGGTCCTGTCAACCCCTGTAATTGTCTGATTGTTTCCACCTGTGTCCGTGTGTCTCTTGTGTCACTTGTCGCGTCATTGTCTATTGTCCTGGATGTCTCTGGTTCCTGCCTGCCTTTTTCCCCCTGGTATTTGTATGCTTTTTGCCCCTTGGCCACTTTGTGTTGGAGTTTATGACCATTAAAGTATTTTTTCGTTAAAACTCTGCATTTGAGTCCTACCTCCCACGCACCCCTGACAGAATGACGTGACCACGAAGGGCTCAGCAGACCCGCTGCCAGACTACGGACCTGTCTACATGGATGTTAGGAGCCCGTTTTGGCAGCGGAAGACAAACTTTGTGTTTGTATCCCCAAGAGCTACCAGAGAGCTTGTCTCGAGCTCCGGGACCTCCTAAACCCCAGGAGGAGGAACCCTGGCCAGCGGCAGCAGCGATCTCCCGTTCCCGTTGGGCCGCCGCAGCGTCCTCCCGTTCCCGCTGGGCCGCCGCAGCGACCTCCCGTTGCCGTTCCCCGACTCGCTCCTCCGACCCCGGTACCCAGTGGCGTTTTGGGCACGGGCGAACCGGGCTGCCGCTCGGGGCGGCCTTTTTCTCATGGCTCATGGGGGCCGGCACGAGCGCTGGAAAAAAAAAAATCCTCTGCTCCGCGAATCAGTTTTCTATCATCTATCGTTTCACTGTGTGGGGAATTGGCAGATTGGTGCCCCCTGCGGCTGCAGGCGCCCTGCTGCTTGTTGGAGGTGCTGTGCACAGAAGCTGTGTGTTTGAGAAGGGGAAAAGGGAGGGGCGCGCGGGGACAGTTCACCTCTGGGTCACCCAAATGGAACGGTCGGATAAGGGGGTCGGGGGGATTCACTGTTATATACGCTAATGTAATTAGTGGGCTAAAGTCAGTCACACCCCGACTTTCTTACAAATAACGCATATTTCAATAATGATAAATGCAAGCCTATAGTTCCTGCACATTTTTGTTTTTTGTGAATTGTGTGAAATGGCCAATAAAAATTGGTAATACAAAACGATTATGTGTCACCTGTCACCAAGGTTAATTGGTTCAGTCTTGACTTCTGGTCGTGACTGTCAATTTTGGGGGGATGGGAAATATGTTGCTTGTCAAGTCAGAGGCAAATAAAAACAGATGGACAGAAAAAGGTTAAAATCATCAGGTTCCCACTACAGAAAGAAAAGAAAAGAAGAGGAGGAGAAATGAGCAAAAGATGGAGGTATGCAAATATGTTGTCTCTCTGTATGATTATACAGCCACATCAGCCATCAAGTAGAGATTTTCCACATTGGAAAATGTGGGAAATAAATTCAGGGTGTTGACACATTTCCCAAGTCTTGCAGATTAAGAGCTGGCAGAGCAATGCGAGGCACTAGGCACCACACTGCACTTTAAGGGGCACTCTGATTTGGACAGTAGAAAGCTTGTGCAGAAAATTAAGAACTTCCCTGACCTGCCATCAAAGACCATGAACCTTCTTGAGCTAATCACTTTTGTGCATGACAAGGATCTATCAGAGATCTACCCCAACTTTTGGACTGCTCTCAGGATTGCACTTACTCTGTCAGTCACTGTGGCTCAAGCAGAGAGGAGCTTTTCCAACCTGAAGTTGATCAAGTCATACCTTAGGTCAACCATGTCCCAGAAACGGCTCACTGGCCTTGGTGTCATCAGCATCAATCATTCAATAGGGGAGCAGATTTCATACAAAGACATTATTGATGATTTTGCATCAAGGAAGGCCAGAAACGTCAGGTTCAGTTTGTTTAGTTTGTGTTTTCTGTTCTTAGTGCAATAGTGAAACAGTTTGATTGTATTTAGTGTGTTTCCACATTTGTGTGATGAAGAATTTGTGCTATTTACAATATTTATTCTATATTTTATTTTATTTACTTTATTTTATATACTATAATTTTATTGTTCTTTTGTATTGTATATTTTGTGCAAATGTGTGTTTCCTGTTGTAATTGCAAGAGTAACTGGACTCTGTTAATTGTGTTTTTCTAATGTAATTCTCTCACTTATGTTAAAATAAAAAAATAAAATATAACTGCAGAATTTTGTGAACTTTGGGGGGGGGAGGGAGGGGGGGATCAAAGGTGGTCTCGCCCTGGGCCCTGGGAGTCGTGGGGCCGGTAGACTCCAGGCCCCGACCCCGCTGGTGCCAGCCCGAGACAGACGATGCTCCCGGGATCCTGACACTTGTTCCGTGCACACAGACGTGTCTCCGTCGTCGTCCGAATACCTGACCAGCTGCATGCAAAGGGACTGTTGGTCCATTATCGAGGTCTACAGAAACGCTTCCTGCATATCCACAGGTGATATGGACTCAAAAAGACGCAATCTATGACTTAATAGTAAAACCACTGTGGTGGAAATTTGTGGATTAAGGCCTTGTGAGAAATCAAAAGCATCATGAACTTGTTTGTGATTAAGTATTTATTACTAACTAGAATATAGAAAAATCATAAGGAATACAGAAATCCTCAACACAATTCTGGAAGTATATTGCACACGTTTGCTAAACAAAAAGATAAATTTTGAGCGCACGCACATAGTTTAATAAAGTGAACACACAACTGAAAGAGTGTGTCATTTAGTGCTCATCACCTCGAACCCACAATAACAATAACAGGATGCATACTCACTGCAGCCGCAGGCCGTGACGCGAGAAAGAAAGGAAAGAAGAAAAAACGAACATCTTCAGTGTCATGCTTTGACGCAATAGTTATTGCAATTTTAAACAATAGAGTCAAATATTATTATTATAACAAAGGCCTGTGGCAGTCGCATCATGACTCATGTTTTGGCAGCGTAAATGGTGCTGACAGAATCAACGCTTTTATCAGTCGTCATGGCTCACAGGTTCCATCCACTAGCTTAGCATAGCGTTCCGGGCTATTAAGCATTGGAGGACATAATGAGCGAATAAAAGGAATGCAGGTGCCAGCAGACTATTTTTATTAAGGGGAGGGGAGGGGATTGTTGAGAGTAAGTAGTATCTGTATATGAAGTACCTCCAGAACTTTTGTCAAACATTCTGCACATCAAACACATGGTGTGATAGAAATGGACTTTCACAGAAGGTCGCCCTACGCACTGGGGCAGCATCTCTTCGTCGTCATCTGTGGTGGGGGAAAAAAGAGCAATACTAGGAATGGGACGTCACAATCCTTCACAAAAGTCGACTCGCGACACCAACTTGACAGAAATGGAAGTTGGCCTCGTTCACTTCACAAGAAACACGCTCCCCCAAGAAGAAGACGATTTATCAATTGTTCACTGTAAGTTAATAGTTATTTTCTTATTATTGTATTGAGACAGACTCAATTTTAAAGCTCAAAAACACCTTTGCCACTTCTCGGGAGTGAGAACGGGCAGCAAAAGAAAGACCCGCTGTCTGTGTCCTGATGACAAGCGATTCAGACGTGTAATCCCTGTAAATATCAATGCATGCGTGTCTTTGCAGTGTTTCCCCTACCATTATAACAGCCCCCCCGTCCAAATGGCGCATTACTTTTGCGAGTGTATCTCTAAGCGCAGTGGTTCCAAAAGTGGGGGTCAGAAGGCCGACGGGGGGTCGCATCTTCATCACCAACCCTGACACACAGCCACGGTAAAAAAAAGCAACTTGACATCCGGGGGAGGAGGGGATCTGTTATCTTATTATCTGCTACTATTACTTGCATCTTTTGGGGGTTTAAGTGTGTGTGTGTGTGTGTGTGTGTGTGTGTGTGTGTGTGTGTGTGTGTGTGTGTGTGTGTGTGTGTGTGTGTGTGTGTGTGCATACATATTATAATAGGAAAACAATATATAATTGTGCATTTGTATGTACATATTCATTGTAATGGATGGTTGATTGTTAATGCATATCTTGAAAGTAGGTAGATCAAAATTTGATCACAAAAAAAAAGGACTTGACACGCGTTGTGTTTAAACCACGACCCCCAGACAGCTTTCCTCTAACAAGGTTTGTATCAGGCAGGCAAAGTCTGTCATTTGTATTGTGTAATTATGGATGTTTATTTTTATTTGGGTTTTGTAGTTGAACTATACATGTGCCTTTATTTTATTCGTGAAAAACATGCTTTTGTAAATTCTGTTGTCAGGTCCAATGTTTGGTTTGGCATCAGCAATTGGCTTATAACAATAACACCTCATCCATGCTGAGGCACTTTCGTGCCAAGCATGAGGCTGGTCAAGCTGCAGCAAGCATCCATGGTGGGTACAATTCCTCTAATTCAGTAGGTCCCTTCTACATGTAATCTTAATGTTATAAATATATAATATATGTTTATACATTCATTTTATTCCAGCATTTATTCATTAAAACTATCCATGGCCTGTTGTATTGTGTATTGTAGGTGATAGGAAGGCCAAGATTGACGAGCCACTGGTGAACATGATTGTCAAGGATTCGCAGCCCTTCAAGGTATGATATTTATTTGCCACATATATTGAGGTATTTGTGTAAAACACATAGTAGCATTTCTTTTGCTGTTTAGGTTGTGGAAGATCAAGGCTTTAGGGCCTTGGTGTCTCTTTTGGACCCCACCTATGTCCTTCCTTCAAGGCAGACCTTGAAATCTATGGTGGAGGCCAAGTATCACGAGGAGAAGCAGAAGGCCAAAGAAAAGGTCCAGAAGGCTACTGCTGTGGCTTTGACCTCTGATATGTGGACATCCATCCACATGGACTCGTACCTGGCCTTCACTTGCCATTTTGTGGATGAAGGGGACAGGTTGGCTACTGTTTTGCTGGCAGTTGCCAAGTTTGGGGAGAGGCACACGGCTTCAAATATTGCCTCTGTGAAAGGGTCCATAATGGAGGAATGGGGAATCCCCAAATCCAAAGTTATGTGCCTAACAACAGATGGGGCCTCTAACATGACCTTGTGCAGTACCATGATGGAGATCAGGCACAGCCACTGCATTGCACACGCATTGAATTTAGTTGTAAATAAATCAATGAAATTAACACCTGGTCTGGAGGAGGTCCGCGCTAAGGCGAGGGATATTGCCACACTTCAGAACCAGCACTGTGGCTAGAGAGCGCCTTCTCTGTCTTCAGAAGCAAATGGGTGCTCCATGTGCAAAACTCATTCAAGAGGTGGAAACGAGATGGAACAGCACCCTGGACATGTTGCAAAGGCTGTATGAGCAGAGAGAGCCAGTGGGTGCAGCCTTGGCCTATCTGCAAACAGATATTTCACCACTTACCTCAAACCAGTACGCCAGTATTGGTCAGTGCATTGCACTTTTGGCCCCGCTCAAAGAAGCAACAGTCAAGATTTCTGCAGAGCAGCATGTGTCTGGTTCAAAAATAATACTCATGGTCAAGATGTTGCGGCACACAATTGCAGCAAAACAAAGGCAGCTGACGGATGACACGGCCAGAATTTTGGGAAAGCATTTACTAGGCCTAATGCACGAGAAACTTGGGAATTATCAATTGGCAGGACAGCATGCTCTGGCCACGCTCCTGGATCCTCGTTTCAAAACGATGGGGTTTTGCAACTCCACAAACCAGCAAAATGCCATAAAAAAACTTATTGCTGAAACAGCCACTGTGATAAGACAACAATCTCCTGCACCCTCACATGATGAAACACCATCAACTTCAGAGGATGCACCTTCAGCGTCTGATTCCTCAGGTAACAACCTACTGTCAATATATTGTTTATATGTATAATATACATCTTAATGCATTCCTATACCATTTCAGGACTGTGGGATCTTTTAGATACGCATGTATTTGAGAAGAGGACGGTGAGTAGTGTGTCAGCCGATGCCACTGTGGAGACCACCAGATATTTGGCAGAGCCAAACATTCCACGAAGTGAAGACCCGCTAAAATATTGGGTCAAACACAAACATGTGTACCCACATCTATTTGTGTTGTCACGTAATCTTTTGTGCATTCCTGCCTCATCCGTGCCGTGTGAGCGCGTTTTTTCTAAAGCTGGGGAAATAGTTTCTACAAAAAGAAACCGACTCAACCCTAATACTGTGGAGAAAATTGTGCTCCTCAATAAAAATCAATAATAATTTCATGCCCCATCTCATGTGTCCACAAGCACCTCAATATCATGTCATAACAAACCTGTCCAAAAGCACAATCACTTCCCACATTCCAGATTGAAACAATTCACATAAGTCCCTATGACTGCCATGAACTGCACATGCAGTAGGAAGCAGTTTCTGGTATTTTAAATGATATTGCTTACATATAAGACATACATATATATACCATTAATTCTTCAGCTAGTATGATCACAAACATACATGCACAAAGGTGCAGAAAGACAGAGATAAGTGTTTGTTCCACTTCTTTCCAATGTACAGAGAATTGAAATACACAAACAAGGACACACAAACAAGGACACAAGTCAAACCTGAAAAACAAGTTTTATTCATATAGCAATCCATGTATTTATTAGATGATTTATTGGTTCAACTTTTCATAATCATGTTCAACCCACAGAGACTGGGCCAAAATATCAGCAGGGCCGAGATCCTCCTTGTGCCACTGGCACGCAATGGCACTCAGTGGTTCTCTTGCACTACAAGTTTTCAACAGCAGAGGTCATCATAGAGTTTGCGATGCATTGAATGAATGAACCTTTTTCCAATACAATTGGCTGGAAAGCTTCACTGGTTCGGAAAGCTTCACTTTGCCATCACACTGCATGAAAAGTGAGATTTTCGTCCCCGTAAACGCCCGGAAATCTCCCTAATTTCCGACAATTTCCGACAATTTGCAACCCGCGCACGTCGCGTTTGTCTGTGCCACAAATTGTCGGAAACGAACCATGACGTAGGCAGTAAGCTGGCGGAGGTACGAATGGTCCTAATTAGCATATGAATGCAGCGAAACCGCGGGTGGCCGAGCGGGCTTGAATATCCTTACTCCTTATTGGATGAAACCACAACTTACTAACAAATAAAATCACTCGTGATTGGCAGCAAAACCACACGTGGGCAGACCAGGCTTGCGTTTCCTTGTTCATGATTGGATAAAAACAACTTTCAATCACTCGTGATTGGTTGGCAGATCTGTCGCTATTGGTCACCCGCCTCATTTTATTTATATATTCATATTATGCTGTATATTCATTTCATGGTTATCCTATGTAGGCTACTACACTATTATTAGGATACCAACCAGGACATCAATGAATTTAGAGAGAAAATGAACATTTGCCACATGTTTATGCAAAGAATGAGCTTTATTAACAACACACAAACAACAACTACATACAAAGTGAGGATCTGCCCACACTTGGGTAACGGCGGTTTAAAAACTACAGCTCAGTAAACTGTCCGTTTGCCTCCTCGGGGTTGTAGACAGTCACTGGCGCCGTGTTTTCCGAGGCAGGTCTGTTGTGCAGGCGGCTCGTGTGCGTGTGGCGACCGTACGATCCACCCTGAGACCCCGCCAACAACGCCGTCCCCTCCGCCCGACAAGAGCTCCACGGTGGCGGATTTCCACCTCGTCATCAGCCAGCACTTTGTTGTTTTTACAGCTGCTGGAATCGAGACAATGAGTCAGTACTGTGCGATGCGTACGGACACAACACATCGATCAATGCACCTGAAAAAAGTCAGCAAATAAACTCTGACCGTCTTTCTTCTCGCTCGACTCCGCGCTGAATCCTTCGCAGCTTCCTTCGCAATGAGTGTTTTCCGCCTGAACCTGAAGCTCCTGCGTCCCGTCTCAAAATACGTCTCACAGGCGGCTGGAAAACAATTAAATGTGTGGTATGAATACAAAAAGAAAATCAAACGCAAGTCACAGTAACATTTAACAAGGAAGGAGAAACATTAAACAGTGTCACTTACACACAATGACGTCGTCTAAATCTGGACTTTTCCCGGAGCAAATACGAGGTCACCGCCTCATTATGAGGCGAGGTTAGTCTGTGAAAACAAAATGTACAGTTATGATCGGTATCTATACGTATATATTCCCTTATACCGCAGAATGAAAGCATATTCTTTAAATCTGGAACTGGAGATACAGTTCTTCTGAATATAGTAACACACACGTGTCTGTTTGTATGCTCGTCTTGCAAGTACTGCTGTCTGAGTCATGCCTATAACCTCACACGTGATTGGACGAGGAGTCTAAGGGTCCTCCAATCACATACGAGGTTATTGTTATACGGAAGGACCAGTATTTTAGGAAGACAAATGGTTGGGACTTTGAAACAGCTGATATGCTTTATGTAAAGCAGTGAACGACTTTCCCTAGAAATCTGTACAGTGTGCCTCTTTCTCCATTCCACCAGACAATCTTGAGTCTGACAGACATGCAATGTTGACAATGTATCATCACATGTACCCTTGTGTCACTGAGGTTGAATGTTTTGCCATGACATGTAAACGGGTAACATATGAATGTAACTTAATCGATAGATGCAGAGCAGATGCAAAACTCATTTTTTAAAGAAGTTATTTTGTGTATCTTTTTTACATAACATTTGCCATTGCTAATGGCGTACACAGTAATCTAGCATATTTGAATTAAATAAATCAATTCAAGCCAAAATGTAAGAGTGTATAATCAGGCTACTGAGCCTGATTTATTTGTACCAGAGATTTTCTTACCTTTTAAAAAAATGTCACCTGGGCTAAAACTCCCTCTGCGACCCTGATGTGCATTTGTTTAGCTCACAGCATTTTCATTTACATGTCAAAGCCTCCCCTAGAAATAGGAGGAGGGGGGTCATGGGGGGACAACTGCCATCAATTTCTGACAATTTACGGCAGTTTTCGGCGTTGCCCGCAAATTGCCGCAAACCTGAAATTCCACGACAATTTACAGTGCCGCATACTGCCGAAAATCCCACTTTTCATGCAGTGTCACTAGGGCCCTGTCAGGGATGTGGGGAAAAGGCAGGACTTAAACGCAGACTTCTTAGATAGCAAAAGACTTTAATAGTCACAACGGCAAAACGAAAAGGCCAAGGGGCAAAAACACACAGGAACCAGGGGAAAGACGGCAGACAGGAACTACGAACATCCACGACGATAGACAATAACGCCACAAGAGACACAAGAGACACACGGCTTAAATACACAAGGCAGGTGCAGGTGATTGGACACAGGTGGAAACTATTAGACGATCACGGGATGACATGACAAGGCAGGAAGTGAAGTTGCCCGGGGACACGAGTGGCAGAAAACTACAAAATAAGACAGGAAGTGAACCACACCGTGACAGGCCCAATTATTGTTCATTAAATACAAAAGCACATCTTTCTGTGAACGTACTGTAATAATGTATTTTGTTAGCCAGTGTGGCCTGAAAAGTTAACAAGTGAAATAAAAAGTTAAATAAGTAAAAAGCCCCAGCTTGTCTAGTTTGCTTGGTATGGTTTTCTCTTTGCTGGCCTAAATTGTGCACACGCGAGCACAGATATTCTGTTCTCTACAATAACAGCAATCTGCCCTCACAACTTTATATTTTGCCAGTGACCTGCTCAAACAGAAAATATGAATACATGGAAAAAATAAACATATAACCATTGTTCCGGTTCCAGATAGTCCAGACAGTTCTCCGACGGGTGCATTACGTTGAGGAACAGCTAGAAGACAACAGCGGCATAAACAAGGGCCTTCTCTTGAAGAGTCTGGGTGAGAATGCATAGAAAATTAGTAACACAAAGTTATATTGGACACTTAAGACAAACATGTGGGTCATGTATTTCAATGATGTCATGTTGCCACCGCACAAATGCGCGAGGAGTTTCCATGATCTGAGAGCAAGATTGGTATCTGCGCCAGTGCTAAATTATGCTGACTTCTCCCGGCCCTTCATCCTGGAAGTCGATGCCAGCTACAGTGGTCTTGGGGCAGTGCTTTCGCAGGAACAGAATGGTAAGGTGAGACCAGTGGCCTACGCCAGCAGAGGATTGAAGCCAACGGAACGAAATATGACAAATTACAGTTCCATGAAGTTGGAGTTCTTGGCGCTCAAGTGGGCCATGACCGAGAAATTCAGGGAATATCTCCTGGGTCAGAAGTGTGTGGTGTATACGGACAATAACCCTTTAAGTTATCTATCCACGGCTAAATTGGGTGCCCTCGAGCAGCGGTGGGCGGCTCAACTTTCTGACTTTCATTTCACCATTAAGTACAGACCCGGCCCGAGCCAATGGTAATGCAGGAGAGGCACACCACCCCCAAATCAGTTTTGGAGATTGTTACGACCCCGCCCTTAATCTGCTGGTGGCGGTGTCTTCCAGGGAGAGCGTGGGAGATTGCACACCCCTGTTCCCTGATTGCCTCTTAATTATGGAGAGGATAAAACTCTGGATTTCCCCTCTCCACAGCCTTTCCTCCGGGGGAGCGACTGCCTCTGGAGAAGTCACTTTGGCCTACCTTTGTTTAGTTACCCAACTCATACCAATCTTTTCTCTCCCCATTTGGCTTATGATTTGTCCCTTTGTTTTGAACCTAGACTTTGTTTTGTTACCGTTATTCTGAAGGAATAATTAAACTCTTGCAAGTAATTACATTGTACTTGTTTTCTTTATGTACGGTCGAAACAAGCTGGCCGTAACAGTAGCAAAAACTGAAGAGTGGAAGGTTAGAAGTTAGAAGTCAGTAAAAAAACATTAAAATAGCCTCGAACAAGCAGACTCAAAGTAATCAGACGGAATCAATTGAAACAACGTAAGTAACAACTATGCTGCAGCCAATTCCAATTGTCCGAACTTCTCTCCATGCTGCCCTGTTACAACGGTCCCGAGACAGAGACGATGCTCCCGGGATCCTGACACTTGTTCCGTGCACACCGACGTGTCTCCGTCGTCGTCCGAAAACCTGACCAGCTGCATGCAAAAGGACTGACTTAATAGCAAAAGCACTGTGGTGGAAATTTGTGGATTAAGGCCTTGTGAGAAATCCAAAGTATCATAAACTCGTTTGAGATTAAGTATTTATTACTAACTAGAATATAGAAAAATCAGATGGAATACAGAATTCTGGAAGTATATTGCACACGTTTGCTAAACAAAAAGATAACAAATTTTGAGCGCATGCACATAGTTTAATAAAGTGAACACACAACTGAAAGAGTGTCATTTAGTGCTCATCACCTCGAACCCACAATAACAATAACAGGATGCATACTCACTGCAGCCGCAGGCCGTGACGCGAGAAAGAAAGGAAAGAAGAAAAAACATCTTCAGTGTCATGCTTTGACGCAATAGTTATTGCAATTTTAAACAGTCAAAAAATATTATAACAAAGGCCTGTGGCAGTTGCGTCATGACTCATGTTTTGGCAGCGTAAATGGTGCTGACAGTATCAATGCTTTTATCAGTCGTCATGGCTCACAGGTTCCATCCACTAGCTTAGCATAGAGTTCCGGGGTATTAAGCATTGGAGGACATAATGAGCGAAAAAAAGGAATGCAGGTGCCAGCAGACTATTTTTATTGAGGGGAGGGGAGGGGATTGTTGAGAGTAAGTAGTATCTGTATATGAAGTACCTCCAGAACTTTTGTCGAACGTTCTGGATATCAAACACATGTGATAGAAATGGACTTTCACAGAAGGTCGCCCTACGCACTGGGGCAGCATCTCTTCGTCGTCATCTGTGGTGGGGGAAAAAAGAGCAATACTTGGAATGGGACGTCACAATCCTTCACAAAAGTCGACACGCAACACCAACTTGACAGAAATGGAAGTTGGCCTCGTTCACTCACTATTTCAAAGCAGTCCTGTAGCAAGAAACACGCTCCCCCTTTTTCCCGATGGCGCTCCCTCTGAACAGTACAGTTCATTTAGACCTGCGTTGGGAGGAACACATATGCACGCTCCATCAAATCCATTCCAGTGCGGCGCCTATTGAATGAAATGCATGTACGTGTATCTACACAGAACCTCGAGACTTTTTGCTCGTCACAGTATCAGTTTGTTACCTCGGTATCTTCAGTGAGAAAGTCAAAGTCTCCTGACAGATTCAGTTCAACCTGGAAGATGGAAGAAAAAGTTAATAGTTATCATTTTTTAAATTATTGTATTGAGACAGACTCAATTTTAAGGCTCAAAAACACCTTTGCCACTTCTCGGGAGTGAGAACGGGTAGCAAAAGAAAGACCTGCTGTCTGTGTCCTGATGACAAGCGATTCAGACGTGTAATCCCTGTAAATATCAATGCATGCGTGTCTTTGCAGTGTTTCCCCTACCATTATAACAGCCCCCCTCCCCGTCCGAATGGCGCATTACTTTTGCGAGTGTATCTCTAAGCCCAGTGGTTCCCAAAGTGGGGTCGGAAGGCCGACCGGGGGTCGCATCTTCATCACCAACCCTGACACACAGCCACGGTAAAAAACAACAACTTGACATCCGGGCTCAGGACGCGCGCACCAAAGAAGGGGAGAGAGATGCGCAGCATCTGAAAGACACCAAAAAAGACACGTCCTGTTAAACGTGTAACTGTTTTTTTGTCAACTTCAATCTTTGAAGTAAATTTACTTTGAAAATCTGTTCACAAAATGCAATATAACTGTTAAGCGGAAAAGTTAAGTGACATGTACTTATTTGATAAATAAAAACATATAACAAACCTTATATCATAAGGAGGCGCATCTCCTGGCGGACCACTTCTTCCCCGCAAGTAATTTTTCATACCTGCCATTGAGGATAACTTTCATATATGTGTAGCAGAGCTGCAAATTCCTGGAAGAAATCAAAGGACACAGTTTTTTTTTCCCCCGCGGTGGCTGGAATGCGGAGCACATGGAGACCCTTGTCCCAAAGCAGAGGTGCATAACATACACTCAGTAACAGTCAATCAATCACAATTTACATGGTGAGTCAGGTTTATTAATGTGAGAACACTTACGCTGACCCGCTGAACAGGTATTTCCCTAACGCTGTTCCGATGCTAACCGCTAACACTGTGTCGTGTTAGTAGCCACTAGGTCCCGCTCTGCAGCTCCAAATCCCACGTGAACTCATGCCAATGGACTTAAAGGGGCAGTACGCCCTCTCCCTCTGTGCGGACCATCTAGCAGTCCAAAAACCTCCCTGCCCCCACTTCACCCGGTTACATTCTCCCCTGCTACAAGTCAACGTCCCTGGTGACTTCCTGCCATCTACGTTTTCCTGAAGCTTTGAAGTATAGAGGACCATACCGGCTAAGAGGTCAGAGAGTGCATCAGGACTGAAAGACAACGTATTGCAAGATGACCTAGGCAAGTTAAATGGGTTTTGGTGTGACCCCGCCGTTCTTCTCTGACTCCTGCGTAGAGGGGAGGGAGAGTATGTCAACTTCACCATTTCCGTCCTTTCTCTTCCCTGGAGTAGGCACCGGCTTCACCACCACATCCTCAGCATGTGGACTGGGTTTCTCCGACATGGGTTCAGGACAGGATCCTGATGTCTCCTCCACATTGTGATCAGGTGGGTCACGTCTCTCCGGCGTGAGCAGATCCCACCCATCACCCATATCCAGGTGGCCCTCCAATCTCTCAGACAGGTCCAAGTCATCACATTCCGGAGTTGCCGCATCCTGGCGTTGGACCTCGAGGTCCATCAACGATCCCCCGCCTGAGACCAGGAGATCGGAGGATGGCACAAACGGCACTGAGTCGGGGGAAAAAACTCTGCTGAGTCCTTGAAAGGTTGCGTCATTCTGTCAGGCAGCTGCATGGCGGGGAAGGTAGGACTCAGACGCAGAGTTTTCAAAAAGAAAAAGGACTTTAATTGCCGCAAACATCGCTGTCTCAGCAGAGCCAATGTCCGTTCAATGCCCTGATGCCCCATCTGGTCGTGCACACTTTTAAGAACTTGCTCCTTGAGGGAGGTAGGCAACAAAAGCTGTTCAATCTTCTTCAATAACACGGTACAGGAGTCCATCCTTTTCACTGATCCGTGGCCACTGTTTCAGCAAAGAGCGAACTGTCTTAGATAAACTCTTCCTCTCATGGAAAGTAGGTTTCTTCTGTCTGCTCCAACACTCTCTCACTACACCAAGTGTCGGGTCTGACGCTTGAAATGCCTGAAGTTCTGTGTTAGAATATCCTGGCAAAGTTGGTGTGTTATTCTGAGCTAGCTCCCTTGTCGCTATCTCACTTGCCTCAGACGCACGTAGCTGCCTGACCCTACCATACTCAATCCCGGCTGCAACTAAATCAAGGCCCAGAGCTGTGCCTGTCCTAAGCGAGTTGCATATGGCCACGCACCCATCATACTCTGCCTCCTCACTCTCAGGTTCTGGCTCATCGGCTGCTGGTTTCCGGGAGAGTGCATCAGCCGCAGAATTGCACCTACCAGGGCGATATTTCACATCAAAATCGAATACAGCCAGCTGACCAACCCACCGCTGTTGAATAGCCCCTAAATTGGCAGTAGAAAGATGACACAGAGGGTTATTATCGGTGATGATGGTGAATTTGGATCCTAGAAGATAACTCCTAAACTTTTCAGTGACCGCCCACTTTAGAGCAAGGAGTTCCAACTTCATACTGCTGTAATTTTGGTCATTCCTCTCAGCCCCTCTGAGCCTCCGGCTTGCATAAGCGATGACTTTTCGCTTCCCGCCGTGGTCCTGGTACAGGACTGCACCTAGACCTTGAATGCTAGCATCTGTCTCTAGCACAAAAGGGGAATCAAAGTCTGCGTAGCCAAGCGTGGGGGCGCTGGTCAGCTTCTCTTTTAAGAGCTCAAAAGCTTGTAGGCACTGTGGCTTCCAGGCTAACTTGAACAACAACCTGGCTCTAGCAGCATGCTGGAGTCCCCACGCAGCGACTTCCTGAGCCCCCTGGCATAAACCGTGGCAACAGCTGAAGCAGGTATGTGCACTTTCTGTTTTCCTACCAGGTGGGCTGTAGACACTTTTCTGGCAAGTTCTGCCCCCTGCATTTGATGGAATGCGTCTCTCCAATCAGAATCCAGCACCCCCTGTAGAGCTGTGTCAAACTCTGACATTACCATCTGTCGACACCTTTTTGCGATATTCATCCCAATAATGCCAGGTGGAGATGGATCTGCTCGCTTGGTATTATCGTTTCCCATTATTAAGAACCCACACTCTGGAATGTTGAATCCCCATCACCTGTACATCTAACTCAACATAGCCTAAATAGGGAAGAGGTAACTGATTGGCTGCTGTGATCTTAAGCCATTTAGCTGTACAATGCATGTCTTCATCTTCCCCATGCAGGTGATCTCTGAAGAAGTTTTCTGTCAAAGTGCTTACATTGCTACCTGTGTCCAGTAGGCACCTAAGCGGAACACCACCAATCTGGATGTCTACCTCCGGGCACTTGCCTACAGCACGTTGTAGAAACCGTTCTTTGGTGAGGATATCCTGTGAGCCTTTCGACTTGCCTCGCATTGCGCAGCTCATAGCAATGGAGGGTTCCTGTTTCCCTGAACCGCAGGATTGGGGTGAAGGTTAGAAGATCCTCCTGCGTCACGTTGTCGATTGCAGTGTCTCGCCATGTGCCTAACCCCCTCACATCGCAGACAAATCGGCTGTCCATCATCTATATACTTTGGCTTGATTTTAAATCGAAACCTCCTTGGTTCCCCTCTCTGAACTAGCATGGTGGATTGTGAGATCACGGACTGCATTGGTTAGCTCACTTATTGCTTTACCCTGCTGCGCAATTATTTTAACTACGTCCTGCAAAGGGGTGGTTAGGTCCGTCTGTGCCTTATCGGCCATATCTGTCCCTGCTGCAACCTCGTCTGGGTCGCCGGCCCCAAGATTTCGGCTCCTCACCACATTAGTACTGTGAGGCCGGTCTTCAAGTGTCCACATCATTGCCTCTTCTCGCACATCAAACAGGCTTAGGCCAGGCTTCTCCCTAATAAGCCGACGCAACTCACGTCGAAGGGTGGAGTCACGTACCCCTTCAATTAACTGGTCTCTAAGTGCTAACTGTACATCAACTACAGCGTTGGGGGACTGTTGAAGAGCAGAATTAAGCAGATGTGAGAGCGCGTGTGAAAAATCCCGCTAGTCTTCCCCGTCTAACTGCCTGCGCGCATAGAAAGCATGCAAGAGTTGTGGTGTAGTACGTCTCTCTCTGAATGCCTCCCTCAGGTATGAAAACAGATCACTGGATTGCTTAACCTGTCCACCCACACGTAACTTAACCTCCTCCAGAGCTGACCCCTTTAACTGCGAGAAAATGAAATCCACCTGCTCCTCCCCCTGTAGGCCCCTTGCTCTCATCGTACGCTCTACCTCCTCTATGAACTCATCAACAGTGTGAACGTCTTTCCCTGGTTCACCACTAAAAGGCACAATTTGTTTTTCTCTCGGAATGTAAACAATGGACCTCGGTTGGGCATCACCAAGGTTGGCAATACTTGACATTACAGCATCATGTTTTTTTCCCAGTTCCAAAATCTGTGCCTGCAGTTGTACCACAAGGTTACCTCCCTGGTCTCCCATGGAGGCAGCCAGATTGTCCTCATGGCGGCTGGACCCGGCCGTTGGAGCAGCTGCCCTCTCTTCCTCGTCCGACATTTCAACGTGTCCCCTTCTGTGTCCTCACTACAGCAAGATGACAGTTGTGACGTTTCTCACTCCAGCAGCCTCCCAAAAAGGTGAATCCCGATGGTCCTCTCTTCCCGCAGTCTACAGCAACGATGCAGTCTCCCTCGTCGAGGAGCACTGGTCACCCTGCTGCTTCTGGGACCCCTCACCAGTAGTCACCCACTCTGATCCTGGATCTGGAGGCTCCTTAGCCACTACTGTTGTTTTTATATGTATTATCCCTGTCCCTGTCCGATCCCACTTCTGACACCAAAATTAGTGTAGCCTGATTAAAATGATGACAGGACACTAAGATAAATTTATTTCTCTTTAATGTGGGTTCTTTATTTCCCCCGACTGCACTCCTGGAGCACAGCCTTAATGTGTCAAATTAAGGAGGCACTTGGAACAGTGTACAAATAACCAATTGCTTCGCTTCACTAACTAACAGGATGTCATGGAATAGAGCTACAATTACCTTAAGCTAGAAATTACATGAAGCTAACAGTTACATAAAAAACAACAGTAGTGACCCCTTCCTGTTAAACAGAAACAAAAGAACATGCACATCGGTCTCATGCTGTTCAAATCCCACACCATTGTCGTTCCTCCAAAAAGTCCCGAAAACAATAAACTCACTCAAGCGCCGGCGCGCACGGCTCCATGCACGTGCGACCTCAACCCACAGCAGCTTGTTACTCCCCTCTAAACGAAGCAGAGGTGCACAACCCAAGAACATACACTCAGTAACAGTCCATCAATCACAATTTACATGGTGAGTCAGGTTTATTAATGTGAGAACACTTACGCTGACCCGCTGAACAGGTATTTCCCTAACGCTGTTCCGATGCTAACCGCTAACACTGTGTCGTGTTAGTAGCCACTAGGTCCCGCTCTGCAGCTCCAAATCCCACGTGAACTCATGCCAATGGACTTAAAGGGGCAGTACGCCCTCTCCCTCCGTGCGGACCATCTAGCAGTCCAAAAACCTCCCTGCCCCCACTTCACCCAGTTACATATGTGTATAAAAGCGTTTTGACTGCTCGGAGACGCCGTGTCCACAGAGCTCTGTGATACGGGTTTGTGTATTTGACCTCCTGCTTGCAAGCAATAAATGGACTTTTACAACTTTGATCATTCATAAAGACTAAATATTCCACAACAACTTGGAGTCACGAGCAGGATACACTGACCGTCCGCCAGGCTACAGGGGACCGTCCTGAGAAAGGGCCGGCGGAAACCAAAAGGACGTGCTGATTGACGTCACGTGTATCCAGCAAAAAATAAGTAATTTCTATAAACGCAGGTAAGAAGTTGAAATTCCAATTATAAAGTAGGGTAAAAGTTGAACATAACAGAGGCAGATGACTGATCATGTGGTTGTTATAGTTTGGGGAAATACAATTATATGTAACATTTGTGTATTTTTATTTTTGAGTATTACACATGAATCTGGGATATCATCATTTCATGCGAAAGTAGAAGACATGATTGCGTAAGGTTTTGACTCTGAACTAATTCCCTGAGATTGTAACCCAGATCGCTTGACTACTATAAAACAGATAAAATAAGATTGTTGTTATATACTAAAAAGACGTGAATTTTACTGAATTACCTCTAGAATAAGCGTAGGAATAACAAAATGAGGGAATTTTACGCTGAAACTGTTAAAAAATTTGTAAATTATAAAGACGTAAAATCCACTGAATTACCTTTACAATAAGATGGTGGTGATGACCTAACGTGAATATTGAGTGGGGTTTTTGCAAAGTTTTTTCTTCTATAAAGAAACTACTGTGGTGATTATGATTTCTGGGCCTTTATTTAGTGTTGTATATTTTGATCCTGGGTGCTGGCTGGCGCTGCTGTGTTTTCAGGCTGGGCGGGGCGACCAAGAGGAGCGCTCTCACTACCCGCACCTGTAGCCATCCGAGTTATAGCCTGCTGTCTCCCAGGCCTCCTCGTCGGATCAATACCTCTCGTCGACGCGACTCTACGTCACGCGCCAGCACGCTTACGCAGCCTTTGCTCCGGATCCTGCACCCGTGACCTTCTCCTCACGAGCCTCTTGAGAAATAAAGATTTTCGTTTGTTGACCACAACACTTTGTCCCCGGTTCTGCTTTTGGATCCTGTCCTCATCAACCTTAACTACTACGCCGTACAGTGATGACTGTATTGTAATAAGATCACCTGTTGGGTTCACGCCTTAAAGAGATGGGTGGCCAGAACGCAAAGCAAACAGACCCCTCAGGTCCAATTGTGGAAATGATGCAGCGGAAATATGGGATAATGTATGAGTGTCTCATGCTGGACAAAAGAGTTTGGGTTTCCAGAAAACGGCTCATTGAGTGCTGCTAAACTCAAGATGTTTTGGATGGAATGAATGTGAATGTGGGGGAAAAACAAATGGCTGAAGAATATTGTGCTTTATGACCACAGTATCTCACAAACCAAGGTTGGTGGACAAGATGACCAATGTGTTTTTTTCCTACCACGTATCCAAGTCTAACAGATGCTGGAGGCCCTTTTCTCATCACATGTCCACCAATACCGTACCCTGCCCCAAATGGCGATCGGCAGCAAGAACCACTACAACTCGGTTCCAGGACACACAACCTGATTGGCGGGAGGTGGCGGAGGAGGAGGCATCCATGCGGAGACCTCACATGATAAGGGAAGTGAAACACACACACACCGCAGCCTGCAATGAAGAAACGCTTTCTGCACTAACTGCATGCACGCACACTCACACACACATCCGAGCAGCAACAAGCTCTCATAGACATCACAGAGCAATTGGAAGCACAACAAAAGCTTTCGCTCAATCACACACATGAAAAATCATTTGAAAATATGCTCACTACTATGGTGCGAGTTCAAGGGAAACTTTATAATTTTTGGTTGATTCAGGGGCTTCACATTCTGTAATACAACAAAAAATATTTTCCAGGTTAGAAATTGAGTGGCAGACGTGTCTTCTGTTTTTCTAACAAAATTGGTCCTTCAAGCTGGATCTCAAGAACCATTTTTCCTCAAGGTTTGGACCTGAAACCCGGACCTGTGTCCAATCACCTTCACCTCCCTTGTGTATTTAAGCCATGTGTGTCTGTCGCGTCATTGTCTTTTGTCCTGGATGTTCCTCGTTCCTGCCTGCCTTTTTGCCCTCCGGTTCGTGTGTGTGTGTTTTTGCCCGTTGGCCTTCTACTTTGTTGGAGTTTTGACTATTAAAGTCTCTGTGTTTTCAAACTCTGCGTTTTGAGTCCTGCCCTTTTCCATACGCAACATCCCTGACAAAAGCAGTCCCGGAAAATAGTTTATATAAAAGCGCTAATAATTATATAATATAGAATGGGGTCGCTTCCCAGCAGCAGAAGTTTGAAAAGGAAATGGGGTTTTTTGTAGAAGAGGCGCAGGTGCGCAAGGAGGGAGTAAGAAGAGTAACGAGATGTGATTAATTTCTCCTGATTTGTTTTTTCATTTTAAGATGTGATATACGGGAGACTAAGCCTCCTCTGCCTATTTCATCCACCAGTCACGTCCTCCACCTCCTCAGTCCCCATCACAAACCACAGTCCTGGTCCCACAGAGCCCAGAACTTGTTTCTGTATTGACCAAAGCTATGAGCCAGAACTTCAGCATCCAGCTACAGGACAGCTCCCACCAGATCGGACAGAGTGACTGGTAAACAATAAATACCAGTACATTACTCCTGGGAGTCTCTGAACTCGTATCACAAAATATACTAGCAGCAACGGAGCAGAGAAAGAAAATACTAAATACGATGACAATGATGTTGAAGTGTCTAAAACCTGTTTGTTCTTATGTGTATATCTGAGACAAATAGAGACGCGGAGGCCTGTGGACCAGATGTTGTGGGGGGACGAAATGAGTGGAGCAGGGAGGAGGCCTTCAAAAGACGGGATGGTGTTTGGATGGAGGAGAGAGAGAGGAGGACAAGCGGAGGATGGTGGATCCCTCTTCAACGCACAACAGGTCATATGCCCACAAACACAAAGCAATAGGCGGATGGGGAACAGGAGAGAAGTAAAAAGAAATGGGAGATAAAATAAATAGATTAACTTTAATGGTAGAGGATGTGAGGTAATATTTTCTGCGATTCCGGAAGCACGAAAATCTGTTATTTTAACCTCAGGATGAACAAATAAAGAACATAAGTTGATACATATACACATATGTTTATTAATTGATAAAACTTTAGGGTGAGACTACAAACTAACACCAGCACACAGACTATCTGGCGGTGCAATTAATGATCATAGATCCAAAAACTGGTTTACAAACGAGACAACAATTGATATTATCAAAGAATTGTTTAGTGAACCGGTTTCGTCAAAGTGAATGAAAGTTATTGGAATGAAGCATGAGTGACTCAAGTGAAAGAGTTTAACTCAACGAGCTATAACTACAATTTTGGTTTACCTATAAGAGTTAATTTATTAGTTACACAAGAGCTGAACGAAATTTATAAAGTAACTCCTCGATCTAAGAGAATAAGTGACGTGCACGGAAATGTTTCTACAGAGACTCAAGGTCGAAGACAAGAGATGCACAGACATTCTTTAAAACAAAGACGAGCGAAGACTAAACCAATCTTTGTTGAAACAACGACGGGTTTTGAGAAACTGACGTGTCACTGAAACGGTGGGGGCCAACAAGGCAGCCCAGAATGTTATTTCTCCTTTTTGAAGTAACTTAAGCAAATTCAAGAACACACACAGTGTTAAATTAAATGAATCCTCAGCGGAAATATTTATCTGGGATATAATTGGATTATGCACTTTACTCAAATACAAGAACATAAAGATTGTATATTCGGCTTGGTCTTTTATTTAAGAAGAATACGCTCATAATTGCTGGAATGTAAAAATTTACAACAAGCGGATTATAGAGAAAATGTTATGACATCAACTAACAGATCAATATTATAATTGGTATTACAACTACTAAATAAAGCAAAATAAAGAACAGGTTTAAATACACAGCAACAATTGGTGGTGAACGTTTCAACAGGAAACCACAAACCTGATCAACTTGTGAGTGAAGTGAAAACCTTTGGGGGAAAATACGACTGAGATGCGGAAGAAGGTAAAGACCTTATATAGAGATTTGACTATTTGTGTTGAATTAACACACAGCCCATAACATTATGCATTATTGCTCATTGTAGATAAATTAACCAACAGAAGGTAAGGGATTCAAAAAGGGGAGCATACACGTTAATACAGAAATTTATATGCTTTTAAAACTATAGGTATCACACTGGTTATAACATAGAGTGATGTTTTGAATGTAGGACATTTACTTATGGTGGATTACTTTAAAAATATGTTATTACTACTTTTACTGCAGCAAATAGTAAATAATTCAACATCCACTAATTACTTGTCAGGGATTGAGGGTCAGGGACTGTTATAATTATTATTATTATCTCTCGACAAAGTAAATGAGACAGAAAGTGGTTCCTAACAGGGGCCCTAATTATTGTTCATTGAATATAAAAGCACAGATTTCTGTGAACATACTGTAGTAATGTATTTCGTTAGCCAGTGTTGCCTGAAAAGTTAACAAGTGAAATAAAAAGTTAAATATTTGCCTTTGTGCTGTAGTGGAGTAAAAAGCCCCAGCTCAGAGCTGACGGGAATTATTGAAATGTATTGTTACCTTTTTGGATATTTTTAAGAAACTCAAATAAATATTGTTCTCTTGGGAAATATGTTTTGCTTTGGTCAGTTTACACTGGTCATCTGTGGGTTCGTGGTGGATTAATTAATAGCCCTACGGCACGATATCCGCCCCTCCGTACCTACGGCCGGTTACACATACAACATGAGTAACATGAGTTATGTTGGATACTTACAAAGACAAACATGTTGGTCATGTATTTCAATGATGTCATGTTGCCACCGCGATCATCCAGACTCGCTGTCGTCGGGTTCGTCATCACTCACACAGTAACAGACACACAAAACGTTCAATCCGAGTTGACTTTCTACTGGCAACTCTCTCATGGTGAGTTTACATCCCAGACTAAAGCAATTCAGCATTCCAAGTACTGTTCTTCCAAGCTTTACACTTTGTCCTCTTCCTCTTATGGTAAAAGAGCATAATATGGCTCCTTTAATAACCTCTTAGTTTGTAGGCCAAATGTTTGTCTCCTAATCCCCTCTCCCTCACCCAATCCCATCATTACAAAATAAAAGCCCCAACTACGACCACTACTAATGCTACTGCTATTAACACTGCTACAAACGGTTCTACTCGACAAGATCACGACTCTTCCTAAACCTTCCTAAACTCTCCCACACTCCTCCGCTCTCTTCACTGGCTACCGGTGGCTGCCCGCATCCAGTTCAAAACACTGGTACTTGCGTACCGTGCTGTGAATGGATCGGGTCCAGTCTACATGCAGGACACGGTCAAACCCTACATCCCGACCCGCTCACTTCGCTCTGCATCTGCAAAACTGCTTGTCCCTCCCTCAGATCACGACTCTTTGCTGTTCTTGCTCCGAAATGGTGGAACGAGCTCTCTGATGACATCAGGACCACAGAGAGCCTTCACATCTTCTGCCACAAACTACAGACACACCTCTTCAGATTCTACTTTGACTAAAAGACTAACAAATTGTAGCACTTTAATTGTACTTATAATGGCTCTTATCTAATAGCAAGTTATAAATCGGCTTATTTGATGAAATTGCACTTTCTTGTTCTTCTGTGTTTGTATCCTTATGTTGTCAGGGTTTATAGTGGGGCTGAACCCAAACGCAGAACGAAACGACACGGCATTCAGATAGCGAGTGAACAACGTCTGTTTAATTGAATGATACGATGGCAGGTGAGGGGCAGGAACGGGCGTAAGGAGTGCGGATGATGAAAGTGAATCCCAGGTGACGATTTCCCAGATGGTGTACGAGATCCAGTGATAATCCAACGTGCAGGAACCGACAGGTACAACTGGAACAGGAGGTTAAACGGGAGGTACACTGACACGAAACAAAAACCACAAACAGCTCTCTCGATAACTTGACTCGATAACTCTCTACTGAGACTAGCCAACGACGGAGGTCGACATCCGATGTTGGCTGGTTGTCCGGCTCTCCCTCTTATACCCTGGGCCCGGTTTTTCAAAAGTAATCCACTAGGATTTTGGATAACGGATTGGATCAAATCTTGAAAAGAAAAAACGGATTACATAATATGATTAGATCACGTAATCCAATCTTGGTTTTGATCCGGATCAAACCTTTAGTTTGGGTTTTTCAGAACTTTTTTGTAGGATGGATTGGATTGGATTACTTTGATCCAAAAAGGGTGGATTCAGCGTGGATTTCATGCCCAAAATGTACTGAAAATTTTACAAATGCATCAAATAATACTATATTTGGATCATGCATTATCTTACAAGATATCCTATTTATTCATAAGGTTTTAATTTTATTTGTTCATCCGTCAGGCTACAGTGATTAGCTAGGCTTTAACGTATTCAGCCTTTCAGTATAGGCCTACAGCAAAGTAGAAAGAGTTTGGCCTCATAAAATAATCCCCCAAACAGCTGTCAAAATTGACCAAAACAATACATTTTATTCTGTCACTAATTGATATATATATATATTCATCACAATCGAAAATATTTTTTGAATATTTATTATTGATGCATGCAA